CTTTCCGTCTTTTTGGGTCAAGTTACAGTCTTCGTGGGCCAGGAAGAGGTTGCGACCTTGGACAGTATGTAGCCAACGGCTTGTAAAAGGTTCTGCCAAGCTATTCGACCCAAAGAAATTCTTCAATTCCGTCTCCATCTGCGTGCTATGCATCGCTCAATGCTTCCTGTGTACCTTGACCGGATTGAAAAAGATTTTCTGCGGTCTTCTTCCTTCAATGCGTCATATCAAACTTCTTTGGAGCTAGTTTTTCCGTCGCTTGTACAAGCGGCGGTTTTGATACTTGGAAGCGGGTCTGATCGCCGCGTCCTGATCAATATGACGGAATCAGGACTGCTTTCTGGAATACCCTGGCAGTAATTGGCACTATAACGTATCCACTTGACTTTCAATTTTGAAAGGCCTTGGCGTACTGTTCGGAGCACGCTCTGCCCCTTTACAGAGTCATCAAGAAGGACAAACCAAACAGCTGACTTTGGGATGAGTTCCGCCGCGGATCACTTTTTCTAATTGCTTTTCAATATTACATTCCTTGAAGTATGAAAAAAAGAGTGGAGTCTTATTCAAGGGCCATTGTTTATCTGGGACATAGTACTGGTCGTACGATAGAAGAGTCGCATCCTCTTCCAGGGCGACCAGCGTCAAAGCAGGAACGTCGAAACCGCAGGCTGCCAGATGTGGGAGGACGCTGCAAATGATGCCAGAGTTATGCCATGGAAAGAAGTGCAGTGCGCTGCTGGGCGGGAATGGAACCAGTTGCGATTGTGAATTTAGAACCGAGCCCATTTGAATCAAGGCTGCTTAAGAACTCATTTTTATGAATTTTCACGTTATAATCGTCTGCGAGACGCTGCTTTTGGCCTTGCTTCCTTACGCCGCGGCATGAATACTACTGCGCGAGCGCCACATCTATGTAGGAGGCGCGCGCGCAGGCGGAACTGGAGCTCTGAGCGCGGAAGCGCCTGACATGCTGGTGCAGTAGTAGGTTCAGTCACTTTTCCCGTGAAATAAATGACTCTTACAAATAAGAAGAGGTTCTCAAACTTCATTTTGTTCACACGCGGTGCCGATCACGGTTTCACCACACTTCAAAAAAGCTGGAATCAACTATGATTTATCTTTCGGCGAAGCTGGCGAGGATTGAAAGACCTGGCGGTGCGCCCAAACATAATCCACTCTTACTGATCTATGATTGCCAGAGGCTCATTCCTCGTTTGGTATAAAGTCAATCAGTCTACAAAACAAATGGAGGAGTTGCGGCGGAAGATGCCCCTCTCGGCGACGCTGCTGCTTGCCAAGAACAAGCCTTTTTACTTATCTGAAAACCGAATCCCGAAGTCCAAATCCCCAAGGCTGAGATTATGAGATTAAACGCCCATCATGCTTTCTGCGGTTGATGTTAACGAACGGGTCGAGTTGGAAAGATTTGATCTTTGAGCCAGTACACTCACGGGCCACGAAGTGTGTATAATAGTCTCCTTGACAGGGCGCTTTTCGCCAGCGTTGGCAGGGTCGAACAGACCGCAGCTTATCTTTTCTCAATGAAAACAGAACTGACTGTGGGCGAGGGCTATTTGCATAGAATATTAGGGACGGGCTACGCCTTTGCGTAATCTTCCCTGGCCAGGATGCGCCAAAGGAACTTGGGTGGGAGGCCGCCCCACAGTTCTCCCTTGAATTCTGCTGAGCTAGCGCCATCGCCTCTTCTTCGTAAGAAGTTGAAAATCATTCATGTTACTTCTTTTGCCCGTGCAGTATGAGTTTTGTGCTTGCTGACTTGCTGTCTTCGACCCTACCAACGCCTCTGAAAGTCAAACTCCTCCCCTGATTTGCATGGTGGGGCTCATAAGACGTTCGCCGGTTATGACTAAGCTCGAGCACGGCCGTGCACTTATACGGTTTCTAAAGGAACTGTGCCAAACGTGTAATGAAAATTGTAAACGTCTCAGACGTGAACTGGTTATACTTCGAAGGTGGATTCAGTGGATTGAATTTGGTTGTACTTGGTTGGGCTTTTTGTCTGTCCCAGCTTCATGATTCGCTTCCAGTCGAAAGCGAGGTGGCGTTATAGTGTGCCAACTACGACTAAGTTTGGCTTGCTGCTGTTGCTCCGGTCCATTGGTCTTACCGATTTGCCCGCGGAACGCTGATTGCATCTTGCTTTCGTGTGCCTCGGCTTGGTCGCTATGCGAGCGCCACTTTCAGCATTCATTGCGCATGAACGGTCGCACGGTCCGCGCGCGTGGGTGTGCGCGCCGGTCACAGGCAGGCGCGGGCGAGCGCGGGCCGCGGTCTCCGCGAGCGCAAGCGGCGGGCGGGAGGGCGTGCGCGCGGGCATTAGCGTCGCGGGGGGGCGAGCGCACGGACGGGACTTGAGCTGTCAGTACAGCTCATTCTCGCTGCATCGAGAACGGCTGTGAACTGGCCTTTGAACACATCGTCGGGCCATTCAGACTTTGCGGAGACCGAGGACGCTTTTTCCTACTGTGACTCATATAAACAGCCTTTCTTCAGACAAATAAAGTTGAAAGCCCTCGTGGTGTGGAAAAGGTGTCGCTGTTTTGATGGCTCGACGGTGCTGTACAAAACCGGCGCGGCGCCCGCATGTTTTCAAATACATGTAGTCACGAGCGTCGTTTGCTCGAACCGTTCCGTTTGACGCCACGGGCCAGAAGCGCAGATCTCTGTGCGGATGTAAACGGCACGAAGCTTAGAAGCTGCAAGTCGCGCTACTGTGGTTCATCATTCTATCCTTCGTACGCAAACATTGAGCTGGCCAGGATGAAGGTCGATCTTGGTTCAATGCCAATTGTAGAAGTTTCTCTGAGCCAGATTACTCAATCCAAGCGTCCGTCGCTGCTACATCTCTGCCTCTGTGCCCAGTAACCCGGTTCTTCCCTGGTCGCTCTTCAGGGCTGAGCAACGCTCGTCCCCAGCTTCTGTCACGAATCGAGTGCGCGGCTTGGGGACTGCGCTGTTCCATCTTCCGGTCCGTCACCAGACTTACAGAGAAAGCTCCATAGGGCTCCGTTAATGTATAATATGTCCTCTTGAACGTCTTCAAATCTTCCTTTATCACCATCTCATATTCTGACGCCGTTCGTCGGTTCGGTCTCAACCCTACTCCTTTACGTGCTCGAGAGCAAGACTGCTTATCTTTCAAATCCCTGGAAAAGTGGACTGGTGTAGGCTTGTGATATGCGCTTGAAAGCCTTCGGCGTCGCTTCTCGGCGCCCTGCCCTTAATAAAGTCAAAGAGTATGGACAATTATGGATCGGATTATTCTTCCAAAATCAAAGTCTAATCTGTTCAAGGCCGCGGCCAGGATAAAAGGACCCGGTGGGATCAAAATGGACCCACTTTCCCGCCGGGAAAGATTCCTTGAAGCCATCTGCTCAGTTGGCGACTGGGAGGCGGCGCTTATCGTACCAGGTCATGAAGAAACTTCTCTTCTGTTGATTGGAGTCGTGCTTTGTCTTCAACGCCAATGATAAGAATATGATTGACCGGCCAGTCAGTCTTGCACCCATTAAGCATGTTTCCAGGGGACTTTCTGACGTCGATCTTTGGGCATTTACTGCAGGTGAACTTTGACGCACTGACACCGAGCAACACTTGATTTCAGCACCGTGCTTTCAAAATCGTGGCCGTTAGAATCGACGGCACGCTCGATGACTGTACTGTTACGGTAGTGGGGACACAGGCCTGGCGAGATCAGTAAGATACAGGAAACAAACCGTCAGGAAACATCAACGTACAGTATCAGGGGCGACGATTTTTTACAACCAACTCTAAAGAAAAGATCTGAAGGACTGTATGCACCAGACGGGGCGGCATCCCGAAACTACTCAACCCAGATCTCTTGGCTTCGACGTTGGCATCCTTCGGTTACCTCAGGCTATCCGATTGTGGTCACGCGCGCACTACGGAGGCGGCCTATAAGTTGCTCAATCACACGACTTACACTCCGAAGGCGGCGGATGCCACCTCAAGTGAATTCCCTCATGCTCGTTTAAGGTCCTGAAGTCATGTATGCGTCGGATCGATTCATGCATAGGCTAGCTGCGCGACAGTGCAGATGGCAGTGGATGGCCGATCAAGCGGAAAATGAATGGCAGAGTGAGTCAGTCTTGTCAGCAAAATTACCGGCCTCATATCGAGCTTAGCGCCTGGCATGCATGAACGTAGTAGCAATTGAGCGCATGATATGAACGGAATACATTGCCTCCGACGTTCCGACGTCCGCTCGCGGACTTATACATCTGTTGAGCGGTCGTCGGGGCAGATTGATATAACCAAAGAACAACTTTCAGCAAAATGGGTGCATGATGAAATCCCGACCATACGCGGCAGCTAGATGAAAGGGTCGTGAAACATGTATATACAAGCGACATCATGCAACGATCCAACCACGCGCGGTGGCCAACTATAAGAGGCCGGGCCGCTCTTCCATGATCGTACGCTAGAGAATGGCTTGAATGATAAGCGGCATGTGTGGCGCGGCGGGGCCCCCGGTCGCTCAGTGGGCCTGTCCGCGGCACGGCGCCCGTGCCGTTTGGGCGCGCCCCTACCATGTGCCGCGCAGGCCAGCCAGCGCTGTGCCGCACGCGCGCCGCCGGCAGTGCGGCGCAGTGCGGCAGCTGCTGGTATGTGCATACCTCAGTAAGTCTTGTCTGCAACCAACACTTTGGCAATATGTAGAAGCCAATTGAATGATGTGCAAAGAAAGTCAAGCTAGCCATGCACTGAGGACAGAATTGCAATAATTGTCACACTCGACTTGGCTTCAGGTGTTTGAGAGTGTTTCACACCAACCAGAGTGGCGGAGACACTAATAAAAGGAGACTGCTTTGATAGTTTTGCTGCACGGAGAGCACGCCCAATTGGCGCAAGGGCTCGGTCATGTTACTGCTACCAAACGCTTTAGAAACGTGCAAACCTACGTCAATAGCCTAGGCAGGGACTTGACTCAAACCATGGACTAGCAGCTTGATCGTCACAGATATCCGGCCGGAAAGTTGTGACGAGCTTGGTACGTCACACGCAAGGTTAAACCAACAAGAATGGACAACATTGGAAGCTGAGTCGATATATTTTAATAACTGGATATCTTGCGATGCAATTCGTCGTTTAAAGACGATTTAAGGCTAACGGCTAATTCGCGCCAGTTGCACCACCGGGTAGGTCCTCAAATTCGGCTTTGACATCTGTAGCTGTAACACTCTGAAAGCTTAAAACGTACAAACAGAAACAGGCTCTAGAAACAATTGTGACGTCTTGAAATCTTTGAGCGTCGGCGTCGCTAACTTCGCCTAAAGAATTACAGGCTTCCCACGTCCGCATTACCACCATAAGCTCTGAACGCACATGCGTGCAAAACTGCTCTATGTGGAAGCCCCATTCGAAGCAATGGGGCTTCCACGGTGGAAGAGACCTGCGGCTCAAGTAAACGAGAATGTCTGCCGCCATGACCGGGTCACTGTCTCTCAGTCCTCCATCGCGGTTCTGCGCAACAATTCTTCTAATCCTCCAGCTGAGAGAAGGCTTCCCCAGCAACTCGCAGTATCCCCGCTACCTTGGCCCGGTCCGTTACCATCCATTCCTGCAAGGCAGCTCAGAAAATGTTCTGAGCGGAACCCTAGATTTTGCTGAACCCTCACTTTGCTGCTACGTCGGTTTAAATCCGCGGACGAAAGGCAATCGAAAACCAGAATTCAAAGAACACAGACATGCAAGGAGGCGAGGACGTATCGTGTAGAGAGCGCTTTAACGTCGAGGACATCCCGGTCAGAAAGCCGAGCGGACGCATGTAGGTCAGGACACCGGTTTCAGAAGCCTTCACGGATACGTCGAGGAACGGCCGCAATATTGCACCTTGCAACATTCACATCCCAGTAGTACCGGTCTCGGAAGCTCGAACCTCTGAGGAAGGAGCTATATCTCAAACCAATGTCCTTAACTGGAGTAAGCAGCAGCTATATTCATCGCCAATTGCAGACTTATCTAGGTGGTGCTGCGCTTACCAAAGGGTGGTGAATCAAGTTCAGCACCCACGGAAAAAAAAAAGGGAGGGGCGGCGAAAAGGAAAATACCTGGTCCCCGGGCATGACTGAACTGGTGCAGCGGTCGAAGGACACCTCGGGGTTGAGGAACTTCATCCTGCTGCGCATCGCCACGCGCGCACTGCCGTGCAGCTCACGGACGCCCGCGCGCCGCACGATGTCCGCAGCGTTCGCCTCGGACACGCCAGCTGCGCAAGCAGGAGGAAAAGAGGGAGCTTTGGCAATATTCAGAAGTCAAGCCTCGAGAGAAACGACTGAACGGTCTGGATCCGCTCGTAGGTTTAGGAGAGTTTCAAGCATCCGTTTGTCTCACCCGGGCGCAAAACGACTGGGATTTTTCATTAGGACGTCTTGAAAGCGATTTCCTCCCTTCAAGTTCTCAACGCACGTTCTTAAGGCTAAGATTTGGAAAAAGTCGATATACATTCAAGATTCGAGCTGTATCTTAAACGGGAGCACCTATTTGCCGACTTCTAGTCGAGTCGTAGAATCACGGACAGTGACTACCGGATTGCTTCGCTCCCTTGAGGTTCGATCAAAATACATGCCTACTAGGAAAGTGAGAAAGAAAAGCATTCGATTCGAGAGACGGACGCACCTCCGGCCATGACCTTGATTCTCCCCCGGGCGGCCTCAACCAGGCTCTTCAACACGGGTACGCCCTGAGCAGCGGTCGTCTGCTGCCCTGAAGTCAGCACCCGGGGAATCTCCAGCTCGATCAGGGTCTGAAGAGGACGGCAGAATATCAAAATGATGGCAGATTGGATACGCTTTCAGCTCACAACGCCCTCGCTTTGCTGGTTTTCGACTGGAGGCTGGACTACGGGTCAGTTGTTGTCTGAAGATCCTGAGCCAGATAATTTTGTCAGGAGATCCTGAGCCAGATGTTGTAGTCAGAAGACTTTGAGCCAGAGGTTGTCGTCAGAAGTTTCATCGACAGGCACCCTGTTGGCTTGACGTCCGCAGTGCCAATTCGCGAAAGAGCTGTACTGAAACCACTAGGTACCCGGAACTTGGCTCACATAATTCTCTAGAATACTTATTGGTAAGCTCAACGTATAGAGTTATACTAGCTAATACTAAAAACCTGAACCCAACTAATCACCTGCTCCGCACCCGTACCCACCCTAACCCCCATACTAATCCTACCCGTCTTAGTTACTATAATTTGAGCTCACTAGATCTATTCTAGAGAACGATCTGGCTCACCTCCAGGGCTTGCAGAGGGTCTCTGCAGACGTCGAACGCTCGGTGGAAGGTTATGTCGAGCCCCAGCCGCTTGCACAGGGCCACGAACGGCTTCATCTGCAACGACCAGCGGATTCATCGGAGCAAAGCTCTAGAGGAACAGTAGAAGCTTTTTCGGATTGCCGGGCTTATGAAGAGGATAACGGGCTCGGCATCGTTTCCAATCTAATCAGATAATCATTCTCGAATGGAGAACGGCACCACAGTTCCATGTGAGGCACCCGTCGAAAGGATAGTTGCTGGCTTGGAGACAATGGGAACGGACCCCTCGACCTTCAGAGCACTAGCAAGGGCTAAGGCGAGCGACGACGAAGAACCTTGGGAGGGCAGTTCCGGCTCGTGTACGAATCGAGGCAAGCAAACAGTTTCGTTGGCCATCCAATGTCAGCCGGGGGTTCGAGGAGGGTCTTCCCGGAATTTCAACTACTCACAGCTTATACACAGACAATTCACCACCTGCTGGTTGGCATTAAGGAGCAGCAGGCTCTAGTACTTTCCGGAAAGAGTCAGTTTCCAGATCAGAAACCGGTTGCGGTGCCCTTTGCGCGGTAATCTCAGCTCGGACAATTGTTCGCGGGAAACCTTACAATCGCAACAGACAACGGTTGAGCGGTGTTCGTTGGTCCAGCATCTTTGCAGAGTCGACTGGGCAAAACAGTCTGAATTCGTCTCAGCATGAAAAAGCAAATAGAAATGAGCAGCTCACTCGTTCAACATCGATCTCTCCCGCAGCATTGAGAACTCCCAGCACGATCCCGTTGGCCCCCAGAGCGGCGCAGGCTTTTATGTCCTCTCGCATAACCTGCAGATGCAAAGACCGCGTGCGTCATCTGACCATCATAAGGTTGTCAATGTACATGGAAAGACCGTTCGTATACGTGGCCCTCTGCAAATTGGCATTGCTTGACCTTGTGCATGGATTGGTTGCCCGTAAGTTTGTGAGCTCATTGAAGCTCAAAGCTTTGAGAGCGTCAGAGGAACGTCAAGCTGAGACATTCGCCAAACACCTGCTTCCCTGTTAGCATTTCTAATATATCGAAAAGAGTTGGGGTACTGAAGTATGATAATCTCCTTCCTCTGCTTCGAACCTATTCTGCTCGTCAATTGGAATGTTTTCAAGCTTACCTGCAACTCGTAGTCTGAGTATAAGAAGTCCCCTCCTCTTGGCCGGATCAAGATGTAGACGGGGAACTTGGCCAGCGAACGAATCGTCTTCACCACTGCGTTTGAAGGAGACATCCAACATTAGATGCACTTCGCAGATGTCACGGTCAACTGGGGAGGTACGGGACATTGTCACGACGAAGTCTAGCAGTCTGAAAAGACGCTTGCACAATGCAGATCGCAAAGGTCCTACTATCAAGTTGCGGTTGTCATGCGCAATTTCGATTTTGGAGCGCACCTACTTTGACAAAGAGTGTGCATCGAAAGAGATTGTTCAAGGGACGCCACAGCTTCTGCATGAAACTCACTTCCTATGCTGGGGGTCGTACCCCCCTCCATGAAGTTGGCACATAGCTCTATTCTGTGAGCTCCACCTGGGAAGACACAAGAAAGCTAGCTGTGTTGCCACAAAGGATTCCAGGACTGAAGTGGTTAACAACATAGACTGAATTTCTAAAGCAGGAACAGAGTTCGGTAGAGCAATGCATCGGCCAAGATGGCTGTCCTAAGAATGCACGATAAGTGACACTGCATCAGTTGGTGGCAGATTAGAAGACTTTGGCATCCTATACCACCAGTTACGCTATACAGAGGATACATCTGACCGACAATATGCACCAAAGGGTCTCTTAATCCTTACATCGTGTTTGAGCTTGAGCCTTGAACAATCAATCTGAGCTTGGCCATCATCTTCTAGAACCTTGCAAGAGCTCTGAGCAAAGCATCGAACCCTCTGGAAAACCTGTGGGAGTTGCCCCGCTGCACATGTCCTGGCGGACACGTCATGATGGTAGGACTATCTGGCCAGATCAACCTTGTGATTAGCCTTCTAGTGGCTAGCAAACTCCCAGTGTCTGCCACCTAATGTAGGCCTACCATGTTCAAGCGTTGAAACAGGCAAGGCGCGGACTGCTGACCGGCAAAGTAATGCAACTCACCTGCCTGTGCTTCAAGCGCCGATTCAACAGAATCGACGCAGACCTCGAAGAGGAATCCCATTCCGATTTCAATCAGCGCAGGAGTAATTTGGTCCAGAGATGATACGTTGTGTTAGAGCTGTTTCAGATCAATGACTGAAGTGAGTATCTATGGATGCTGTTGCAGGGTGTTTGCCCGACCCCTCGCAACTGCATAACCAGACGGTCTGCATCTCTCTTTGCAGCGAGAGCGTTTAGACGTGATGATGGACCGCACCCTGTGCACCTATAAAACCTCTCATTGTTTTCCGTAAATCTGCATTGTTGCGCGTATTGCCAAATGCACCAATCCCTGGCCCTGCCCTGCCCCTGTTTTTGGAATGCACAAGCTTCTTGTCGGTCCAGGGATGCCCTCAGGAGAGGGAGATAGCTCCTATAAAGCGCGCCGCCTCTGACATCAGAAATGTCTGACAGCAACCTGGGTGGGGCCTGGGTGGAGATGCTGATCGGAACCCTAAAATATCCGTCACGTGGCCGACGCCGTTCAACATAGCTTATAAGCAAGCTTGAAAATAAATTGAATTGATTGAAAACCCCTTCTAAACCCGTGGCCCGCGTGTCGCGCGTACGCCAAGCGGCGGGGCGCGGCCAGGACCGGGATCGATCGAGCTGCATGCATGATCGTGCATGAGTGCCGCGCGGGCGACGTACCCGTCCCGGCAAGACGGTCATCATCTGCACTGTGCAGCCGCCTAGCAGGCTGCTGGCGGGCGCGCTTGCGCATGTTTGCTCCAACCGTCTGTGTGGTTAAAAGCTAGCCTAGGGGCCCGGTCACGGCGCCGTGGGGGCCAGCCGAGCCAAGCGCGGCCCCTGCGCGGCCGGACCATCAGAAGCTGGTATGGCAACGTGAGGCTGTCCTGTCACTATCATGCATGCCAACGGCCGGCCGTTATGCAGCAACTCCAAATCAGGACAAGTCGAGGGGACTGGATCGCAGATATATGTAGGCTCCGTTATACCGCACATTTGGGATCATTCTGAACCAGCTAACTTAATCGGACTGATACGGTAAGCAAAAGCCGACCATTCGAAAGTCCAGACCGTGGCCGGGCATGCCCTAAAAAGATGACTAGTCGGCATGTTTGCATCACAGAAACTTGCACTGCCAGATATATTGCAACACCGCCACTTTTTGATCCGGCAATGGGACGTTTCTGCGAGCGAGTCCAGAACTCTCAAGCAGCCAATAAGCTCTTCCGAGCTAGAGACAGCTAGTACAGGGCGATGTCGTTCAGGTCGTACCCGTTAGCGTGCATGGCCTCTTCTGCTTGCGCTTTTCCACCCTGGATTTATCAATGATATTGCATGAGGACGATCGTTGTCAATCGACAGTCCTGACTCAAACGAAGTTGGTCAAGCGAGCCTGCTTCCAAAAAAAAGGCATGCGGCTTCGTCAACTTACATTTTGCTTGAGTGATTTGACAGCGCTTTCAGTCCTTGTTAGCGTATGAGTATTCGACGCGCTAAAGGTTGCCCCAAATGCTCTGTATAGGAGCTCTTTGGGCACTCACGTCCGAAGTCAGATCAAACAGAATCTTAGCCGCGACATCTGAAAGGCGGGTATCGCCCATCGCAATATTTGCAATCTGCGCTTCGTATTGAAGCATCCTGACTCGGTTTCGGGGATCTCGTGACAGACTTTCCAACGAGAGAGCGGCTTTTCGGCTGACCTCCAGCGAATGGTGTGGCTGAGTCATGAAGGACATCAGCCGGTGCAACGCCCTGCAAAGAAATCGCTTTCTAAGTTACCAACGCCGAACAGCCAGAGCCAAACGACTCCAGGAACACAGCTTGTGAATTGTCCATTGAACATTCAGCAGTATGAGCCCATATTCGTGATCGGCGCGTTAAGACAGGTAGAAATGGACAACTCAACTCTCCGAGGAGGAAGGGTCGCTGGTCTGCTTAGGTTTTTCTCTGCAAGTTTTCACGACCAACAAATATGAAGCACAAATAATCTCCCAGTCTGCCTCAGACACTAAGTCTGGAGGGGACTGCTTGTGTTGTTTCTGAAAACCTCCGGAGTTTTGATCATGAAAGATAGCGCAAATCTCACCACTTTTCGCTGGCGATCCTCTCTCGAGCATCGACGTCCACTTCGACGTAGTTGTAAATGACTGCGACGGCAGCAGCCCGAACGTCCGGATCTTCCAGGCCCATCATCTCGACTAATCGGGGGTAGATCTGCAAATGAACCGGGTTGTTTACCTGCTCAGAAAAGTTCTCGGAAGGTCGTCGGAGCAGACTTTACGGGTTAGCTAAGGCGGAGATGTCCAAAAAGGTGCACGACAAAACAGGCGCGAAGCTTCTCCACGTAAGGTTGATTATGTCTAGAGCGGTCTCGAAAACAATCAACGGCAATGGCGGGCCTAGAAGCGTTTCCACAGACGCCTCTGTCAGTTGGGTTGCTTGCAGCAAGATTTTGGCAGTCGGACCCAGAGAAGCAATGATACAATTAAGAAACCCCAATCGCTCTCGACTGCTTTCAAGCAGAACAGAGTCTATCCAAGTGACGATAAAGGCCGATAGGACATTTCTTTCCTCGCTAACCTTGATTCTGCCACTCCAGTAGGTGGCACCCCGCTTGCAGCTGCGGCCACTCGACCAGCCACTCACTTTCCGCCTAATGTTCCAAGCACGTGACGCCTTTTAGACACCGCCAGGCGACAATTGATCAAGGAACCGTCCGGCTCAAGAACCCTGTGTTCGATGTTGGCTCACCTTTTGCCCGTACGCCACGAGGTGGTTCTCGTTCTCGTCTTTGATGACCAGCCGTCCGAACGCCTCCGCGGCGCCGATGCTGAGGCTTTTGCTCTCCGACCGGAGCAGCGCGTAGAGGGCGTCCAGGATCCGCCGGACGCTGTAAGAATGGTGACGCACTGTTGACGTATTTTACATACGAACGCCGGACGTCACTGTGTATGGAAAACGTGAGCAGTAAGGCCTTGCTCTCCGGCCAAGCAGAGCGTGAAGTGCGTCCAGGATCTGATGCTGCAAAAATGGTGACTCAATCTTTTGCAGACGAACGCTACGACGTCACTAATCCGGATTGACCGATTTGGGGCTTTCGCTACAGTGGACGGTCAGTCGAGGGAGAGAAAGGCGAGGAGCATTCGCGGGATGGACGGAGCCTCCGGCCTGGATTTTCGCCGGACGCTGCATAACGCTGACGTCAGCTTCTGGATGAGGACTCGACGGAGGGAGTGGTCCACACAAGATCACAAACCATAATGGAACGCTGCTGGCCATTCAAACAAAATGGTAGTAGAAAGGTGCTCGTGCTTCTGGACGCATATCTCGGCGCCAGTATGAACGGGGAAAAGCATGGTAAGCAGTCCCGCTTCCCAATTTAAGACTTCGCTTCATCCGAGCAATCTAACAAGGCTTATGTTTGATACAGAGATTCCTGGCGGATGAACAGAAAAGCATTGAGAGGAACACTTTTGGCAGAAGACCTGACTCTTATAGCTCTGATCCAGACTCATCACTGTCGCTTGGAGCAAAAATCTGATCATCATTAACGACACAAGAGAGAGAGAGCCCCCTCACCCAAAGTGGTGCTTGTTGTGCGGCTCTGTCCCCTTATGAAAGTTTTTAAGGTTTATCAAAGGCGCGAGGTTGACCAGCGTATCCAGAGCGTTCCCAACAAGCTCGTCGTCTTCTGCAGCAAGAAAGAAACTGCAGGCTTGTCTTTCGGTTCGATGAACTCTGTTAAGCTCCTCACAACCAACGACTCGTAAGATTCTGAGACCCAGTTCGTTGTTCCCCGTACAGCATAGACATTCATTGTCAGGGGCACGCAGTGCTCCTGGTCGCATAACTGATGGACTTTGTGTATGCCGAAAGCGGTGCAACAGCAAACTGTGCGTCTTCTCATTGACTCTGCTTTCCGCATCCTTCAGCAAACTTCGCGTGAATCGATAAATTCGTACATCCGGTCCCTGGAGCCATCCCTTCATCACGTAGTTCCATTCTGTAATGTAGCGGGCAAGGTGCGCAAACCCAGTCGATGGCAAAACAGTTTACCTGTTTCATGGTCCTCGACCCACTCCACTAGCGACTCGATGAGCCGCTTGGCGGCTGCCATCGTCCCTTCGTTCTCCGGCATGAAAGACATGTTCCTGAAACACACAGGAGCCACATGTTGTCAAAAGTCGTAGAAGGTCCCCCGACCGACCAGGTTTGCAGGCAGGCCAGCTGACACAAAGTTACCAGCAGTCCCACCTGAGTGCTTCGTCCACCTCCCTTTCTGGAGCCCAAAACATGGATAGCCCTCAAGTCTTTCGACAGTACCAAGCTGCCAACGCGCACAAATCTCTCTTCACTCTGTTCTTGGCGACGAAGGCAATCTTACTTGAAAGCCACCCAACGCAGCCAGCGATGTCTGCCACCTCCTGGCTCACCTGATTACATTTGACGCTCCCACCGCCCACTGCTGCCGTTCCTCCCTGCCCTCCTCATCCAGATTAAACAGCCCCTCCTCATCCCACCACCACTCCTCCTCGGCCTTCGCCCCAGCTTCATGCTTCCCCGCTTTTGCACTCTTTTTCCCCTTTGCTCCCCCTCTCTTTCCCAACGGACTGGACTCCCGCGGTCGGCCCCGGCCCGGTGTCTCGCCCTGAGTGGCCCGTGTGCCGTACCGTCCGCTCGTGCTGGGAGGGCTTGCCTCGTGGTGGGAGCGTTTGCGGGCCTCGTTTTGGGGGGGATGTAAAGTGTCGGGGGCCGCTCGAAGGTGCCAGAGAGGATCGAGGGGGTCAACGGGGCCTTCCGTGGAGCCGAAGCCGGTGAAGTCGTGGCCGAGGCCCAGCAGGCGCAGGCGCGCGGCGCGGGCGCAGTCTCGGGGGTAGGCGATGTCACGCCATTCGTCGACCTAAGAGGTAGAAAAGATACATAAAGACAAGGAGATGTGCTGGAAAAGAGTCGATGACGCCAGTGCATTTGGACTTGTGCACAACGGAAATGACAGCATCCATCTCCTGTACGGCTTGAGACGATATCCTGCTGTTGCGACCACACGCCAATCGTTCATGCACGAATGGAAAATATGCGCACTTTAACGTCTCTTTGTATTGCTGAAATCTTTCGAGTATCTTCTAGCACGGGGGTGTGGTAGTAGTAAAAACGGGACTCACTTTCGAAACAGTCAATTTCCAAAAAAGCATTCCTTCAGAATGGAGCGAACCCCGCTGAATTACTCACCACTTGGATCAGCGCATCTAGGGTGCCCGGTATCTTAGCCAGTGGTGTGGTTGTCTTGCGGAAGTCGTCCTTGTCGCGGAAGGATAGAACAGTCAAGGAGTTGAGGGCCCAAGCGACCTCAGACTTGAGTCCACTCTGTAGCGCCAGCACAAGCTGCTTGTGAAACTTGTCTGCAAAAATGGATATCCCATGGTCTGCTTGTGATCAAGTTGGTTCTCTATGTTGATATACTTGTGCAGTCTACCTTCATTTGGTGGCACCTACTTGATCCAAAGTCTACTGAAAACGAGACGAGCGAGGAGGAGGCGAGCAAGCAAAAGTTCTGCAGTAGATCTGGTGCCTAGGAATTGGAGATTGTGGTATCAAAGGTCTTGCAGGTCCGATGCATCTTTATCGGATTGGAGTAGCAGGTCGCGAGCAAGCGCGGACAAAGTAAATGCTCTGCCATGTCAACCGTCAGAAGCATTTGTTAGAGCATTTTCCATGTATTCCAAGAGGACATGCGCAATCACCATTTCATTTTGATGCGACAGCAAGTGATTGAGAAACATTGTTCAAAGAAATGATATGCGCAGTAGCACTGTGCACCTTGATCTCATGATCTCATGATCACAAATATGTGCAGTACCACTGCGCGCCGCTGTTGATTGTGAGATCACAGATAAGCGACAGATAGGTGGTGTTAGAAATTACTAATAGATGTCAACAAACTTGCCTGCCATGTCTATCTGCACCTGGACATGAGGCCCCAGGCTTGGAACCATGGGTAAGTTCGGTGCCGCCAGGGTGCCGGACCCCAACCCGAAATTGGACTTCTCCCCAGCAAAGCCATTCAACCTGGCTCGCTTCTGCGGAGGGGCCACCGATTTTCCTGCAGAAGGTGCAGCTTTCGCAGCTCGTGCCGACTGATTCTGTTGCTGACCATTGGCCGCAGGCTGTGCACCTGAAGCAGATGCACTCTGCATGGTGGCACGGGGCTTGAACAGCTATCCGACGCTTTGGTCCAAAGCAGCTAGCTATGATCCAGCGATCAATCAGCAGTGGCCCCTGCTTTTAAATGAAACTAATGGCGTGATGTTAAAGCCAGCGCCCATTCGAAGGGCTGTCAAGGGCTACAGCTTTTTGAAGCTTTCAACGAAAGCCACACTACGATTTCTGCTCATCCAAGAGCCCTCAATGCACCACCATTTACTGTAGCAAGCGCCCTCCAATGCCCCCTACACTGACGGCTCTAGCATTGAACTGGTGCAAGCTACCGGTAGCTGAGCTTCAGATTTTAATCTGCTCAAGCGGGAAAGTTGACCACAGCAGACTTGACCCTTCGCTGGCCACAGCGAAGAACCGTCAGATGCTATTGACATTGCCAATGGACGGCTGCAGATACAAGTATCCCAGAGTACTGGTGACACGGTTAGGGGGTAGGTTATCGCATAACCCTACTCTCTATCATGCTCTTTCAAAGAGATCACTCGTTCATGACTTCAACTTCAACCTCAGCCTCAGGCTCAAGCCTGTTACTATTATAGGGCAAACGCTCAGGAAGCAAAACGATTGGCGCTCCTCTGCAATCAATGCACTATTGTGGGGCACGCTCATGAAGGATGGTGACCTTCTCTTGCAATAAGATTCTTGGAAAGACGTAAAAGATGTACCCGCTCCAAGCACGAGCAATTGCTGCGCAGTCGGCAGCAATTTTCTGCATTGCATTTGGATTTGTTGCAGCCATTGTACAGGGGCATGCAGACGCCATACTTCTGCCGCTTGCCAAGCCTTCCGCACAACAACTACGCAACCTAGAAAGCTCGTCTCTGATTGCCTCCGAGCATTCAGCCACTTATCTTGCCTGCCACAATGAAGACATCCCACTAGAAGCACGCGCAAACACAGTTCTTTTCTGCAATACAGCACTGTCACTGGAAGCACGCGCGAACGACCTGGTCTCACGCCTTACATTAAGCGAAAAGATTGGCCTTCTTTCAAATGGCGCAAAGGCAGTGCCGAGGCTTGGGCTTAGAGCTTATGAGTGGTGGTCAGAGGCACTGCATGGGGTCGCATTCTCCCCAGGTACACATTTCAATGGCACCGTCAAGTGTGTCACCAGCTTCCCTCAAGTTATCACTTTGGGAGCCTCTTTCAACAGAACGATGTGGAATGCGGTGGGCCAGGTGGGTGGAACTGCAGCTCAATTCCACTGATTCTGAACCTGGAGAAAGTTCGACAACTCAATGGAGGAATTGAACCTGTTCAGGTGATTGGATTGGAAGTACTGTGGTTTGCACTTCAAAGGTCAAGATGTTCAAAAGAGGTTTTCCAGTCACGCCTCAAGATCGATTCTCCGTATTGACAACTTGCAAGAAGCAGGTTCCAGAGAAAATTTGCTTCAAGCCTTTCTTGAACAACAGTGGCAGGTCAAGGCGCTATCTCATGCTTTTGGCTTGAATTGTTTCTACTTCTTGTTTCTCACTGAAATGTCTGCATGGTGCCTTCTTGAATTTCTAAAATGAAGTTCAATCTGATACAAGTTTCTTTTGGTTCAGATCATCAGCACGGAGGCGCGCGCCATGTTCAACACTGGCCAGTCTGGCCTCACTTTCTGGGCCCCCAATATCAACATCTTCCGAGACCCCCGATGGGGCCGTGGACAGGAAACAGTGGGAGAGGACCCCCTGGTCGCAGCAGAGTTTGCGGCCCATTTCGTTTTGGGAATGCAAGGGGGGCCAACTAAAAAGACTTATGGGGGAGATGTTGACAGTCCAGCAGCCAGTATAGATACCACTTTGGTTGGCAAGAGAAGGGAGGACACTCGTCAGGAAGGAACTCGGGGGCGCATTCACAGTAGAGGTGAAGCGGCTGGCAGAGTAGCCAGGAAGAAGATGCGCGAAAGAGGCGAAGGACGGCGTATGGAAAGCAGTGAAAACGAGGGGGGCCTTCTGAAGGTCTCTGCGTGCTGCAAGCACTTCACAGCGTACGATTTGGAGAGCTGGGGTGGGGTCGACCGGCACTCCTTCGATGCCAAGGTATGCACCGATGGGAAAATGCGTTTGGAATTGCGGTCAAAATATCAGGACGAGTAACTTTGGGAAACCGAGTACTTCCTGATTCATTATCCAACATTTTTTATGACGTGAAGTCTTCTGTGTGCAGGTCAACAATGCCGCTTGCAGTAACTATGGTGATCCATAATCAATCACAAACGGCACGCAGTGAAAAGCCTGTTGGACAGTGGGTGACCAGCTTTGCGGGTCACATAGGTTGTTACAATCCGGTTCTAGCCTTGCAGAACACTTTTCCCTGCTGGTGACCACTTTCAGGTCAAGCTCAGTCCCTTCCCTGACCATTACAGGAAAGTCGAAGCAGAACTCGCAACACACGCACCTTGTTTGAAAGGTGACTTGGTCCATTGCTCCAGCTCTGCTCTCTTCCAGATCAGGAAGCTGGTCAAGCGGTCAGGTTTGGTGACACGTGCACTAACCCGTTTCTAACCGTGCAGGTTACGAAGCAGGACCTTGAGGACACGTACCAGCCCCCCTTCCGGAGCTGCGTGCAACGCGGGGGCGCGAGCTGCATCATGTGCTCCTACAACGCCATAAATGGCGTCCCTGCGTGCGCGGACCGGAGACTCCTGACGAACACCGCCCGAGGTGCTTGGTCCTTCGACGGGTGTGTTAATGGAGACCGATTTTTGATGGGAGGCTTCCATTGGCTGGCCAGAACAAATTGTTGGAGTACTTAAGCGAATGAGGGATTGATCGAAGGACTTTGTCCGTTTGAAAGTGGTTAGGACTTGGAGGCGTAGCCCTCTTTCTAACGCTTTCATTAAGCAAAGCCAGGTGAGCGACGCAAGTCTGTTCACAAGAATTATCAACTCCTCAGTCAACAACTCAAACGCAGAGGTGTTCACGACGCGAAGTGCGAGTCGACTTCACATACTCGGCGACTCCCTTTAATTACCCCAACAATCCGCGACAGCGTAACTCATGCTCACTGCACCGACCTCCCTCTTCCCAGTGGTGCAGATACATCACCTCGGACTGCGGCGCCGTAGCTGACGTCATCAAGGCGCACCACTACACGTCCACTCCCGAGGACACGTGTAACGTGACCCTCTCCGCGGGGATGGATCTGAACTGCGGCTCTTTCCTGCGCGAGCACGCCTCTCAGGCGGTCGCCCGGGGCAAGCTGGCGGAGTCGACTATTGACAGAGCTGTACGGAACCTTGTCAAGGTAAACCGCTGGTGCGGAACTGAATTTGAGGAATTTCCGGCCTTGACTCGACTATTGACAGAGCTGCACAGAACCCCGTTGAGATGGAAAGCTGGTGCGGAACCGCGTGTTGAGCATTGTTTGGCCTTGTTACGTTCCTTTCTGCCTGCAGCAGTCGGATCCGTCTCCGTGTGGGTTTTTTTGTCAGGCGGTCGCCCACAACAAGCTGGCGGGCTCGACGTTCAATATCGATGGGGACGCGTGCTCTCTAGAGGCTCATTCGGCCCATTTTGAGGATCCAGAGGGTTTCACTGTGCTTTGCAGGGTCCTGACGGCGACAGTTTTGCAGACTACTCTGGTGCATATGTCGCTCGAGAAGCTCCTTAGTTGGGCTGCAAAGGCTGACTCTGGCACTGAACCAGATCCTTAACCAGGCTTTTAATTGAGTCCGTTCTCCTGCTGTATCATTTCATCGCTGACGCTTCCCTTTTGCGCCTTCGCAGGTGCAAATGCGGCTCGGCCTTTTCGAGGGTCCGGGCAGCGGCCCCTGGGGCCGCCTCGGACCTGCTGACGTGGCAACCCTCGCGCACTCTCAACTGGCCCTCGAGGCCGCTCGCCAGGGGATTGTTCTACTCGTCAACAAAAATGGAACGCTGCCGCTAGGCGGGGAGGCCGCGAGCGTGGCATTGATCGGGCCTCACATCGATGCTGGGGAGGCTATGCTGGTGCGGCACTAGTAACTACCTTTCTTCTTTTCTCATTCTTGGCGTAAGCTTAGGCTTGATCTTTTGGGCAAGAGACATTTTCTGTTGACGAAACCTTCTTGCTTGTTGTCGATACAGCGTGAATTTGTAAGTTAAAGTTGCCAACTGAGTTTGCTTCCGACAGGGTCTTGATCGCTCGCTATCCTTTACCGACCGCCACCTTACACGCAACGGGTTGTTGGCCGCATTCTTCTCGGAATCGATATTGTGCTCCATTTTGGTTTTCTTCCAGAATGCCTGCCTTTTTCGCAGAAACGTAATTTTGGTCCAGCCTCCGAGTTTCACCCAAAGCTAGATCGATATGATCTCGCTTATAGCGTATTGCCCCACCTTACTGCTATGCTATTCACCCGCAGGGCAACTACTTCGGTCCGGCCTGCCACGTCACCTCCCCCCTCGCCGCCCTCCGCTCCTCGGGCCTCCGTGTCCTGCCCTCCCCCGGCTGCAAGGACGTATCCTGTGCCGACACGTCTATCTTTCCGGACGCCATACGGACCGCCTCCGCCGCTGACGTGGTCCTCCTCTTCGTCGGTCTCGACCAGACCCAGGAGAGGGAAGGGAAGGACCGGGTGACCCTGACCCTCCCGGGGGAACAAACCGAGCTGATCAAGCGGGTGGCGGCGGCTGCAAAGCGCCCGGTAATTGTGGTGATTTTGTCAGGGGGCCCGGTGGATATTAAGGAAGCGGTCGGGGATGCGAACGTGGGGGCGATTCTGTGGGCGGGGTACCCGGGACAGGCGGGCGGGAAGGCGATTGCGGACGTGTTGCTTGGGCGCTACAACCCGAGTAAGTCTCCTATGATTTATGTCTGACCAGCTTTTACGAGGTGCTTTACACCTAGAACGATTGACGCTTCGTAAAAGGCGTGGTACGCCCGAACACGGTATAAGAAGCGTCGCAAAATGCGGGAGGGACCCGGAAGGAGACGAAGCCGCTCTCATGGGTGCGGATTTGACACCGTGTTCAATCCTGTTAGTATAGCTACTGCTCACATATTTGGTTTTGAGCGAACTCCGAGTCCCGTGCCTAACAACTGGGCTGATCCAGGTAGTGTTCTGAGACCGTCAATCGCCAGGCGGGCGTCAGAACTCTGAATACGAACTGCCAGGAAAGGCTCCATCTGTCTTTCAATCTGGGCTCGTGATATAAGCTCACGATCGGCATCCGACGTCAAGCACGGAGACACTCTCTTTTGAAGAAGTCGACCTAATTCGAAAACTGATACCTTGGATGTTCCGCTTCACAGGTGGGCGGTTGCCTGTCACGTGGTACCCCCAAGCATTTGTAGAGTCGGTGCCCATGACGGACATGAGAATGAGACCCGACCCGGAGCGAGGCTACCCTGGCCGCAGCTACCGGTTCTACACGCCGCTTAGGCCAGACTTGGCGCCCATCTTTGAGTTTGGCCACGGCCTCAGTTACAGTCGCTTTGAGTATCCCGACTTGACTGCTCCCGAGAGCTGGAGCGGAAACGGTGTCTCTCGTGGGGAACCGAGCGACAAGCGGGGTTCGCGAAGGGAGATGGAAGCGCAATCTAGTCGATCTGGCCTCATGCCGAGGGGCTTAGACACGTGGAAGGGTTCGCTTGATTATGAGCTAAATGTGGCCAGCAGAGATAAGCGTGGGGCCGATGCACTTTCTGCTTCCCTTCGCGAGAGAGCAACGAAGCTGCTAAGACACCTAGCGTCTGGCTTCACAAAGATATCGTCGAGAGTCAGGGCCGCGCAACTGTACATAACACAAGGGGCCGACAGTCAGCATGACCGCGAGTTGCATCAGCGTGCAAGTTTAAAAATTAAGGTTTCCGTCACTGTTCAGAATACGGGTTCCTGCACAGGTCAAGAAACGGTTTTGTTGTTTGTTTCTCCTCCCGAGCAGGCGGTTCGGGAGGATGGCGCGGCTTTAAAGAGTCTGATAGCGTTCGATAAAGTAGAGCTTGCGCCCGGTGAGAGAAGAAACTTCGCTTTCACCATACTGGTCGCGGACTTGAGGATAGTCGATAGGAATGGAGAGAGGCGGCTTTGGCTTGGTAAATACGTGTTCAAAGTAGGAGCTCTGCAAGCGGGAACCTATATCGGCGTTTAGACAATTTTGTAGAGCGGATCCAAAGGTCTCAGAAACTCTCCTTTTGTACACCAGCGCAGAGTGAGACTTCATGTATATACTATGATAAAGGTAGACCGTCCACTTTCAATTTTGCGAGCTGGCTTGTTGCAGGTACGTTACGCTTGTTGAAACTTCAACAAACATATATGTGTTTCATGAACTGGAAAAGGTGGGATTGGTCTGAAAGGCTGTTTGTATACGTGCCTTGTCATAGAGAACCCTCAGAGAACCATGCGACCTTGCACCGGTGTCAGCATGGCGTTTTGGTCGCGGATCGATCTGGACCAGGTTCTGTACTGACGAGATAATTTGCAATCATCACGTCAGTACCATGGGCGGGCTCGTTGCCGGGCGAATCTACACGTAGGCCAGATAACGGTCAGTGACTGTGCCAATAGTGACTTAGGTCACCTTACAATCAATCACGTGCGCATATACCATGCATGGGGCGCGGTCGATCAGATCATATGACTATATAACAGTATAATAGCGCCGTGCGGGCCAGGGCCCACGCGTACGGCCGATGCTGCCTGGCAGGCCTCTCCGGCCCGCCCGTGGGCCACTTGCTCTATAGCTGGCGCAGAACTACTCGCGCGCCGCGCGGACGGTCAGAATGCGCTGGGCCGTTGCGTCGTCATCCAGGAGTCCCTGCCGCGCATCGACTGCACGACCAGCGCCGCCTTTGAGTTAACTCTAGTTGTTCCGACGCGCGCTGTTTCAATTCGATGAGCAGGCTGTCCTTCACTCATGGGCATGATGCACGCACGTCATGTCAGTATCAATGATCCATAGAAGCATGACGTGCTCATATTATCGTGGCGCGGCCGATTTCAGTCGTTTCAGAGTTGCGTCGATCAGGCGTAGCATCTCACGTACATAACTGAAGTTTGCAGAACCAACGTTTCCGTTCATAGATCATGAAGGACGGTTCAAACATGAATCCGACCAGGAACCTAACATATCAACCATGCACATTTGCGGACTGCAAAAGCTATTTTTATCGTGCAAGACAAGTGCCCGGCCGCTGGGTACCGCTCAACATTCTGGCACGAAATAGAATGACTTGTATCTGTTTTCTGATCGAGTACTTAACACGTTCTTCTACCCAGTTTCTACGCGTCCGAATCGGTGCACATGCGAAAGGACATGACACCTCTGAAAGCGCTGTGTTCTCTTCATACAGAGAGTTACGTCGTTGCTTTGTTTCTGACGCAAACAGACAAAAATACGTATACGACAACTTATTTGCAATCTATGATTGGCTGAAATCATTTAAGTTTGGCGCAGATCTATGCAGCCAAGCAAAAGAGCCAAGTAGTCTGTATTGCTTTAGCTTTATAATTGTTCTTTAGATACAGGCTCATCCTGGGATTGCGGCGGCAGACGGAAGCTTCGTCCTTGATTACGAGTCGCCCCAAGTGATTACGAGGATTTTTCCCATTGCTTACCCTCAATCAGACCAGAAAGTCTCACGCCTTAAGAAAATCAAGATCAGGTGTACATCCTTAGCTCGCGTATCTGTAGCCTATTCCCCTCTGCTGCTTTTTGCGAGATCGGTACGCTTCGTGGTCTCTTTCCGCTCTTCCGCCCCCTTTCCTTTTCCGCCCGCGCCTCCTCGCCACTTCTTCTGCCGCTTCGCATGCACTGGGCTCATGAGGTGCAGCCGCAAGTTGTCAAAGAAACGGCTCTGGCACTTCGACCCACTCAATCCGACTATGCGTCCGCAGGGCTTGCACCGGACGCCCAGTAAGTCCGTGTCCGCATGCGGCACCAGCTCGAAAGCGTCGCGATTGACCCCCTCTCCTAACGCTTTTAGGAACTTATCGAGCTCACTTGATAGAAAGCGGAGGTCAGCATCGCTTCTCAATTTATCCCCTGCTTTCTTGTAAGCTTCCTGTCTTTCGAGTCTGAACGTATCCGCAATGGGCAGCTCTTGTCCATCTGTTGCGGGCCTTTCTCGGCCTTCCAATTGCAGGGGGGCTACTTCAGCTGGTCCTTCTAGTGCTCAGAAACTCTGCTCTTTCTTTCTGCCTTCCCGGCTGAAAAATGCAGCGCTTCCGGGGGGGCGTGGAAGTTGACCGTATGGCCGCAGAGGCAGCGCAGCATGTCCTCCGGCGCCTTCACAAAGAACAGGCAGCGGCACGCGTCGCGGGTTCGCGCGGCCGCGGCGTTGCATCTCCCGGCCATGCTGCCGTCAGCTGCGGCGCGCGCACCTCACGTGTCACTAGACACAGCGCTTTCGCCCCGGTTAGCTGCTTCTTGCAATTGTACATGTAGGTTGAGCCCGTGATCCAGCAGCAGCTCGTCAAGTTGTCGTAGCAAACGCAAGTCTGCTGGTGACCTGCCTTCCGCTGTTCCTGCAGGCGCTATGAGTTTCTCGTGCAATCTACATGAAATCTTTCCGGAGACGAAGTGAGCAATATTCGCTGTTTCTCAAGCATGCACCACTGGCCCCGCACGAACGTCGTGACTCAGCGCGGAGGCCCGGCCAAGCCTCTGCCCGTGGCATACGCCGCACGGCCGCGGGCTCGCCGCGACTTTCTCAATGGCAACTTGGCTTCAAGTTGCGAGCACGAGGCCGCGTCGCGTGCTCTTTGTGAGAAAGTCGCGATTTCGCGCGTCTGCAGGCGCTTGGGTGACGTGCCCATTCTCTAACTACAAAGAAGGCTGTGCTTGAATCGGAGACGCTGCTGGGAAGGAGAGATCTGTATAGTTGCTTAGTCATCGACCTCGCGTGCGTCTCCCGCGTGAGGGGGGCTGTCACCGAGGTCCGAGGATTCCTGATTTCAGCAGGCAGTCGAATTCTTCTGTTCTCACTATCCAAACTAGAGACGCATTCGTGCTTCGACTCCTCAGAATTGGAAGGGCGCTTCGGCAGGCGATCTTCTCTACCAGCAGAGAGTACGCTTCAGCTGCCAACGTCAATCTGCTGAAGAATGGCGGTCAAAGTGTTGCCGCATCTGATTGTTAACCATTCGAGAGGCCAAAAAGGTGACACCACTGACGGCAAAGAGCCAGCTGATGTTGGGAGCTGGGAGTCGGTTTGCTCACGCTTGTTCCTCAGAGAAGATTTTGCGGTCAATGAGTATGACCAGGCACTCGGAGAGCTGGACTGTGACCAGCCACTGGAAGCGATGCTGAGCTTTGAAGCAAACGAAGAAGCTGAGGCTCGCGAACCAAAAGGAGTTCCTGTCGAAGAGACTGGGACGGTGCCCTGGCCAGAGGAGCACGTGGCGTGCCGGTATTGCTTGCAGGCGATGGCTGGAAACCCGAGATACGACCTTGCGAATTTGGGAGAGGGTTTGTTTTTGGGTTCCAGAGAGCCAGCTTGCTGTCCCTTTTATCTGAAGAAAATGGGAATCACGCATGTTGTGAGAGTGATGAACACACCTCCAGAGAAGTTCTCCGGGTTTCAGTAATTGACTCTCTCCGTAGACGATTGCGTTGTAGAAGCGGGGAATCTAGCAGCTCAATGGGAGGCGGCTTTTAGATCGATTCGGCGAGCGACAAAGCAGGCCAACGGCAAGGTGCTTGTTCACTGCCGTATGGGAATCTCCAGAAGTGCTACAGTCTGCATCGCGTATCTGATGAAGGAGAGGGGCTACTGCTTGGAAGACGCCTGCTTATACGTGCTGAATGTCCGGCCCTTCATTCATCCGAACGATGGCTTCCAGGCGCTGCTTCGAAAGTTTGAACAAACACTGACCTCCGAGAAGCGAGTCCAGGGGCCGAGGGACGCATCCAAGCGTAAAATTTCCTTTCAAGTTGCTTCAGCTCGCCATATGACGTCAGCCAAAAGGGTCGTTTCAGCTCGAAATTTAGTAGTATCTTCAAGTCTAACGTCAGCTGGCCATAAGATATTGATAATCAAGATGCAGAACGGTGAATTGAAGCCCGCGGGGATGGGGACTGTGAAAGGTGTTGCTCCGATACCCGGCTTCGACAGCAAGGCAGACATTCTCAAATCCCAAGGCCTGGTCGTCCGTAGAGTTCGTTTTGGGTCTTTGTGAATCAAAGGCGTTATTAAGGTTGCTCAAATCATTTGGCTTTTTGCTCTCGACGATCCATCAATCATGCCACGATACGCATGCGCTCGTCAGCTGTCTGCATGAACCTTTCGTTCTGCAGGACGCCGACTGCAGACCGTTGTTGAAGCGCTTGAAATGATTCATTTGGCTGCCAATTGGCTCACATGCGGACACGATCGTACCGAATAAACAAGAGCAATCTTCCCTGATGCTCATTGTCGATGGTTCGGCGCTGCATATCTCCGGCCACACTGTATGCTTCCTCAAAGCGCACGAGCTTCAAATGAAAAACTTTCTGAAGCTTTAGCAAGACACTCACAAGGAAGGTGCCCCAATGTTATAATTGCGTCAAGGTATCAACACAGTCGATTTACAAAGTCTCACTTACATGCTATATATGTGTAGATGAACGTATGTAATCGTCTGTGCACAGATGATTCCATCAGACGAACACTGCACGATACTAGCCATGCTGCATCCGTTTCGCTCTTTGAATTTCAGTTGTCGTCAAGAAGAATATGACGCATCGCCCCTGAGATAGATGTAGGCACGCATCTGAAGTTTGAAAACCTTTTCTCTCACGCAAAGGTTATTTTCGATGTTGCGACCATGAAACGTGCTGAGTAAGCGGGTTCTTCGTCTCCTTCTCTTCCGGAAACCCCCTGTTGTACTACAAGCTGACGTCCTTCATGTTTGCCGTTATCGTCTCGGCAAGCTTCTCCCTGACCTCTTTGTTGTGTTGTTTGACCACGTTTCTCGCTTCCTTGTCACCTCTGGCAGACTTCGTAGTGTGGGGCGCATCTGCTGCTAGCTTCATCGCGTCGCACTCGAACTTGTGGTCCTTCCGCCAGCCTATTCTTTGGCAATCTGGACAATCAAAATCACTCACTGAGGTTTGGATTGTGTTAGAAAACAGAACGAAGGCACACTGAATGCCTTTTTCAGACGCACGATTGCTTCATGTCAGTGAAATAATTCGATGTTAGACATTTCGTCTGTCCAGCTGTATAGAAGCGCGTGTGGTAAGAATTTTGCATCTAAAAGTACCTTCATACCCTGCCACAGACAAATTAGAAGAGGTTGCATCTACCAACTTCGATAGTTATCCTTACCTTTGCAGCAGTATTTCACATTCAGACATTTGCCGCACTTCAGAAGTTGGGGACTCTTCTTCCTGCACTGAAGACAGAGAAAGGCAGGTATCAAAGCAAGGCGGGGCGTCGTCATTGAATACGAACGCCAGCGACTTGAATCAGGACGTACGTTCCAGATCTAGGCGTTGGCCAGTCAGTTCTGGAGATTCAGCAACGCCGAATAAAGTCCTGCTCTCCTGAAAGATTCCCCATCAGAAATTCTGTCCGATTGGGCTTCTTCCAGTCGCCTTACAGTAGGCCCAGGTTGCAGAGTCTCGTATGCTTTGCTTCCACTTGCAAAAAGTTGCCTGAATATCACCTGAATCTTGAATAAGTGCTTCCTGCAAACGGGGGCAACTAGCTGTCTGCAAGTTCGGATCCAGAGAACGGCTATTCAGATTCTCACGTTCCAGCAGTGGTCCGCAAGGAACACCGACTCGTCCATCAGCTCGTAGATGAAGCCCCGGTTTATCGCCGTGTGCGGGTTCAACAGCTCTGCCTCTGCTCTGGTCTTTGGGACGGGGTACATAGGCTTCCTGACCGGTCCCTCCCAAACGCGAAGCCCCAGCACGCCTCCGTAGACTGGATAAGGCTCGAGCTCAACCAGGCCCTCATCGTTCCGTAACTTCGTCACCTGGAAGTAGAACGGTAGACTCAGACCGAGCTTGAGATCCTCCAAAAGATACCCTTTCGCTTCAATAACTTGAAGCAGAAGAATCTGGATCCGAATCAACGATTCAAACCTGTCTTACTTTGCTTTTTACAAGATTCTATGATTAGAAACAAGACCTCTGGTCATTGAAAGTAAAGCCAGATGATAGAACTAACGACGGATCTTCATCAACTTCAGCACTTCAGGCTTTACTTCCGTTCCTCGTGTCAGTCCTTTACGGAACTCTGAATCCGTTCCTCTTGTCAGTCATCCCGTTTCTTTCACAAGCGCAACTCCGAACCCCCTTTCTGCTGGATACAAATGGCCGCCATTACATCCTTGCAGAACTAACCTCAATTATTCAGAGAGACTGTCTTGCCATTGACTTCTTGGGTCGTCTTCCAACGAAGAGGTCTGCAGCTCACCCAATCTAGATTGGGCCGAAAGGAAGCCAGAACAGGCAGACTGGAGACCAAAACAACTGGAAGCATCAACTACACGTCATGCAACTTTTCCTTCCTTTGTGAGAATTCTCTAGAATGTAAAGAACACGTAGGAGATAGATGATTCATGGTTCTCTATCGATGAAGCTACTTCTACGATGGCCTGGTCAAGGAAAGGAAGAAAACAGTGACGATATCCTCACCCTGTACGGACGCGCCGAGACGAAACCAGAGCCTTCATGCGCCATCCTCTCTTTGTTTGAAGGAGATTCCAGCTGACCCGCTAGCCACCACATGCTTTTGACGCTCTCGCAGTTTCCAACGAACACTGTACCATTTAAGAAGGGGATGACAACAGTGCTTGTAGCAGCACATCCTAAGGCTCCTGCGAGGCACTCAATCACGCGCGGAAGAATGAGCCTTGGGAGCGCTTGCTGGTCCTTGAAAAGCATCCAAAGCACGACAGGTTCTCTCTCGTAGTCCTTGATGCAGAAAATTGTGTGTGGATTGCTGTCTATCTTCTCATATATCGCCTGCATAGCTCTTTTGTCACTTACACAAGCGCTTTCGCAATTCAGGGGCGAGGGAGTTGCCTTGTCAATGTTCTCAACAGCAACCTTGAACGCATCAGACTCAGAAAGCTTAAAGATCTGAAGAGCACCGTTCGAGATCCACATGTCGATTCCTTCTTCGACTTTCACCACCAGAGCTGTCATGAGCTCTCCGCTCCGAGTGCTAAAATTCCGCATGACAGAAGTCCGTTCCCACGACAGCAAGCTTCCTTGATGATCTGGCAGGTATGCCAAATCTCCCTTTTTTCTGTCTTGCTCTTCAATTAGGGTCTTGGTCTTTACCGCCAAGTAGAGTTTCTCTGGCACATCAAAGAAGCGGGGCCATTGACCAAAATCTGCGGTCTTGAGCATGAGTCTTAATTGTTGCGCGCATTCCTCCTCTGAGCTCAAAGGACCGTAACCAAGCTTCTTATGCAGATGAACAAGGTTCAAATACACAGGTCTTGAAAGGCCAGGGATGACTAATTTGTGTCCGTCGTAATGCTCCTCGGATTCTCGCACCGTACTAGCTGACCCGTTGAACTCCTTCAGGACTTCTTGAAATATCCCCTTGAACGCTTCAAAGCTGACTTTCTCTTCAAACACCCTTTTCGCGCCTTCAGGCGTCCTTGGATTGGACATCATGTGTTTCATGTCCATGTTTTCAACTCCTACTAGACCAAGCAACGATATCTGCTGCTCTGTGCAGCATGCTCAACTTAACTTGTCATCGCCTATTCTGGCTTGTGTGTCCAAGCAGTCAGTGCTCAGCTTCAAGCGATTTAATGAAGCACGGCCAAAGCCCTCTACGCTGGCCCTTACGCGCGCGTGCGCCAGGATCCGCCCTGCGTTCTTGCAGGGACTCTGCGCGCACCTCCCCTGCGCCACGATGAAGCGCTCTCTCATTGGGAGTCTCTTTTCTGCGCAGACTTAAAGTCTCTGAAATGTGATAACATCAGTCTTCGCGCGGAAGCTCCGCAGATTGTGAAATCAACTTCAAGTCCGTTAGGCTGCCCAAGGCTGAGAAGTCTTACTTAAGCATGTAGGGCTCAAAAGCATTCCGCAAACGGCGCAACGTAAAGCAGGTTACTCACGTTTACCCAGCTCGTGCATGCACCCTGGGATTCAAATCGCAAAAATGGTAAGACAACTGCCTCACGCTCTCGCTCGAGTTGCTGACATAAGAGATTCATTCACAGGGCTGCTTTGCCTGAAGGCCACCTTGACGCTTGAGCAGCAGATCTCATTAGGCTTAGCACATCTTAAAGCCAATATTCGCGCGCACTCCCTATCAGATCGAGATGGCGGGCCAATGCAACGCCGTGGAAGGAGAGACGCGGCAAGACTGCCGCTGCCTTCACTTTGTGGCGACGGATGAGGACGAAAAGCTCTGCCTCTGCAACCACACCGTCAACTACCACGCACTCCCGCCAGCAAGACAGGTCTTTTCTGCTCCTCAAAGAGAAGAGCAAAGAACCAGGTTTCCAGTCGAGGGTGGAGGCAGAAGAAGATCAGAGCCAGCACGTGCCCCAGCCAATGACGAAGCGCAGGCGGAACTAGAGGTGGGAGAATCGGCACAGGCCTCTCCTGACCCCGTCCTGTTGAGCAACTACAGCGCGTTCCTAGAGGAGCTGCAGGGGCCTGAGAAGACCGCAGACTTTGAGCTGGCACCGCACCCCCAGTATGGATACATGAGCGTCAAGTGCAAGCCCTGCGACCGGGTGCTGGGACTGAGCCGGTCTAAGTCGAAGAACCGCTTTCTCAGCAACATCCGCAGCCATCTGGTGAGCTCGGGGCACCTGAGGAGGATGGAGGGCCGGCCAGTGTTAGGCAGCGAGGCAGGCAGCGATGCAGGTGCGTGTCAGGATGTTACTCTGCCAGTCTCAGATGCATGACAAGCGCACGGAGCCATATTTCGGCTTTCAAATGTGTTATATCCTTAATGTGCTGATGTGCTTTGCCAGTGCTTGCCAAGTGTACTGATGCTGGCGCTGTATTTCAGCTACTTCTGTCCTTCCATTGTCTTCTCTGACGATCTGGGGTCAAATCTCGGAGCGGAGAGAAACTGCACCTTTGAACTCCTTGAACCCATTCTCCGTTCGGTTTCAAGGCCCGCTCATTCTACTTCAAACACGGTCCGGTCTACGTTCTTCACAAAGTAATCTGAGACGATTGCTGTTATTGTCTCTGGCAAACACTCTGATAGCTTCTCGATGACAGCGAGAGACATATATTTGTACCTTCTGAGAACTTTTTGTATGTTTCCTCAGTCGATGATACTGTTTGATCCCCATCCCGTTCAGGTGGAAGCCTTAATGCGGAAAGCTAGACTTCTAGACCTTGCAGGGGCGCCTGAGGTCATTGAACGGACTGTGCGTGAGATCAACAAACGGGCGATTGTCATGAGGAACTCAGTAGCATGTGCAGTGCCATTGAAGGTGGACCTTTTGTCCAGTTCCAGGCCTTTCGAAGTTTGATTGAAATGCAAGTCAACCAATCTGCTCGATTTGTGATGCCTTTCTAGCTATTCTGTAGCTAGATTGGATAAGATGCGTTTATGATCATTTCAAAGAGATTCGTACGCTCCAAACCTTCCTTCCAAATGAGGCCGTCAAATGAGTGTTGAAAACAACACGGTCTCGCATCTTGTCAAGAGCCAGAGTGCCATCATGGCGGGATGTATTCAACATACGAAGTTGCCATATATGAATGTCTGATGACGCTTGCCAGCCTGCATGGCCGGGTAGGCCGACTTTGAAAACTCTGAGCTGCCACGTAACAGAGGATATCAGTTGAGTTGATCCGCGGTTAGTACAACATGTGGTTGCAAGCGCCTCTAAAGCAAAGCTTAGGCTGGAGCTGGCCGTCGTGGATTGCACACAGCCATAGTTGCATGCTGGAATATCTGGATCACCGTCTTTGGAACTGCAGGGGATAACGCGTTCCGCATGTGCCCAGGATATCGATCGACTATGATTAGTGAATATGCGTATACGAAGTCTACGTAGTGTTCACAAACATCCAACTATAATCCTAAATCGAGGGGCCCGGATGACAACAATCGTAAAGTTGATCATGACAGTATGCAATGAACAGCGCATGCTAGGGGCTGCCCGGCCCCGCGTTCCGCAGTTGCCTAGCTTGGTACTGCTTCATTGCCAACTTCAGAACATGCGCGGCATCAAGTCCAAATGAACTCCTAGCTCGCACCGGCCAGCAATTAATACTTTGCCGTAGATACGAATCTAGATGCAACAAATTTCATATGACTGTCTCGAGGCCCACATGCGGGCACTCTGGGTGATGGTTGACTCGGATGTTTAGTGAAGGATGACGTGGACATGAATCAACCGCAGGTTCTGAGACCCGCCGGCTGAACGCCCACAAGGCTTTTGAATGTTGCAACCGCGCTCGTCTAAAGTAAAGCTGCCGGCCGACTGCGAGCTCATCCGAAAAATGATCGAAGGAATCTAGTCAGCAGAATCTCGTGAAGCATTTGCATGGAAACGGGTCTAAGCAAACCGACATCCATATGTTCCTCCTTTACAGGACCTATTCTCACGCGCTAACTTCTACCTACTCAAAAGTCGCTCAAGCGGTCTGTGAAACCTAAGCAGTCTCCGCTTAGATCCTCTCCGCAAAACCAAAGTACACCTACGGGAGCAGTAGCATGCATATACACACACGGGCTACGGGGGGTACGAAGCACGGCTCCTGCGGCGGGATTGCCTTGACGCGCTACCACCGACTCTCCTCGCGTCTACGAATCTCCACCTTCCCAACTCTCGAGGCCTACCTAACGAAACCTGATTATCAACACAGCAAGTGGCCAGTAGGAGGAAGCCACGTGGCTTGTCTACGCTGGGGGGAATCGAGTCCTACATCCGAGAGCCCAGTAAGCAACGCGCGATGTTGATGCAAGCACCAAACCTTCAAACACACCCGCCCACCTCTTAGGCCTTCGACGCCCCTCGTCAAACTCTACTGATCGCTTCTGGAGCGTTATGCACTTCGTCCGCCAGCATCAACGCACGAGAGCGGGATCGAAAACTTGTAAGGAAGAAGTCACTCGCGCCCGTTCGACAGCGACGCTTCGTTCATCCCTTCGAAAGCGACCACTCAAGTCAACCCGTTTTCCCCCGCGGACCGAACTTCCCTAACCGAAACCCGCAGCCACGCTCCCCCCCCAGATTGAGAATGCAGCATCTTCCTATGGAGACCCAGGGCGTTACACTCTGCCCCCCGAAACTTGCAGCCACGCGCCCCTCATGGTTTGGGAATGTAGCGTCTTTCCAAGGGAGCCTAGAGCTTTCCCCCCCCTGAAACCCGCAGCCACGCCCGGCCCCCCCTAACCAAGGCTGTACCGATTGTTCCCCCGCAGGGTCCCCGCCGACTTGGGCCGCTGCGTCTGCTGCTTCGGCGAAGCCGCCACCGACATCCGGTTCGGCCCCCCCGGACTAGACGCGCCGCTCCCCGTGCGCACGGGCGGGTCCAACGGCCCCGAGAACTGCTTCAGGATCTGGTTGCGCCGCTCCTGCGAGTGCTCCAATTGGAATCCAAGCCCCGACCCGCCCACGAGCTGTGGGCCCGAGGGGCTACGTGGCGACTCCCGGTTGGACAGCAGGATCTCCGGGCGGACGCGGGCCTGGGAGGAGGACACGGTGGAGCGCTCGCTGGACAGCTCGGTGATGCGGCCCTTGGGCGCGGGCAGCGCGAGCTCGCCGCCGGAGCGGTCCGCGAAGTTGTCGCCCGAGGCGGAGGTGTGGGAGTTGCCGGACTGCAGAGAAAAGAAAGTGAGGTTGGTTGAAGTGCGCAACAGCTTCTCTGGTTATCTGCCGACCAGCGATCTGGTCTCTGCGAGCTCCTGCACATGATTCACGTCGAATGCTGCGGTGAACGAGGGTTCAGAATCCTGTCGCGACAATTCTAGCAGCATGTGGACGACGAACACACTGATTAAGCTGTTTCTGGGTCGCCCACGTAGCGAAATGCACGTGCAGGTGACACATTAAACAGGCGGGTAGGATGCTCGGAAGACCTCCAGCGCAGTCGAAAACGTGGGCTTTGAATTGAACTCCGCCTGTGCAGGTCCGAGTTTCAAGTATACAAAGGGCGACAAAAAAGTTTCTCCGCGTTCTGGCCGGCCAACATAACAATTCGTAGGTGCCAAGCATAGAACCGGAGCCGTTCGTTAACCCGGTTCAACGCATCAAACGGCTCACATTCTTCAGCCAGACTTTCCTAAGGCAGCCAGCTCTAGAAGATGCCCATCCGACCAAAAACGGGCAAGCTTTTCAGCGTCCAAAAGATTTGCCCTGAATGCTCGGTGCGCTCTGGGCCAGCCTCTCACCTCCGAATCCGAGCCGTCGTCGTGTATCCTCCGTCGAATCTCCGACTCACGGAAGACGAGGCCGCGGGACTGGGACAGCTGCTGCGTCAGGTAGTCGGAGCCGCCCGTCTCGAGGCTGCGAAAAGAGGGCGGTGTGAATGAGCACCAGGAGACTGCAACGGGGCTCGTTGTTCCGCAACGTGAATGGACCCCAGAAGCATGCTCTAAATCGAGTGCCCAATGAGTGTTTTGATTTGAGGACCAGAAGGAAGTGGGAAGGAGCACCGGCAGCGTCGCGTAGCATCACTGAAGAAGGTTTGACAGAGTACAGTTTGGATGCGAGGTCTGGACAAATGCTGGGTGACCAGAAACGCAGAAAAGGAGCTGGGATGCACACCTGAACCAAAAGTGAAAGGGAAAAGCGGCTTAGATTGGCACGTCAGAAACGGAGCAAGTTGCACAATCATGCGGACGTTTACTCCAGCCGATCCACAACACCAATCGTCGTCGAAACACGCCATCAGTAGGCGCACTCCAAGCCCGTCTCCCAAACGGCTCAAACCATGCTTGGCAAAGCTCAGGCTTGACTGTCAATCTGGAGCATCCTCTATTTTCCCGTTAACACTATTCTGAGGCTCAAAACCTTTCTTTATACTGCAGTCCATATCAAACCAAAACTCCAAGAACCTCACCTACCGAAGTTGCGGCTGAGATGCTATGGCCCCCAAAACCATCCATCAAAAATCACAACTTGCAGGCTTGATTGATTCAGGACCGAAGCCAGGTTTAAAATTCGAATCAACCCATCACCGAGATCCTCAGCCAAAGCACAATTCGAACCCCTCACTTGGCGAAGTTGAGGCTGAAGTGCCGGCCCAACTGCGGCTGCAGCAGCTCCCATTGCTCGCTTGTCACTTCACCAGACTCTACTCTCTTGTTCTCAAAACCGCCAACAAAGCACAAAACTTGCACACCATTACTAAAAGAAAAATTTCTCACTTGGCGAAGTTGAGGCTGAAATGCCGTCCCAGTTGGGGCTGCGGCTGAGGCGCGTTTGCGGCGGCCGCATACGCGCGCCCCTTGAGCAGGCCCGGGATGGCGGGCGCGGCCGCCTGGCTGATGTTCTCAACGCTCGCGCGCATCGTCTGGCTGCGCATGCGCTCCGCCTGGAGAACCTCCTGCGCCTCCGAGAGGGCCTGCTGCTGCTGGGCCAGCGCGCGCTCCAGGGCGCTCATGTTGCCGTGGACCATCTTCTCGATCTGGAGAAGAAAATAAGAATAGATTGTAAATCTGACTTAACTCGTGATGTTTTAGCTGTGGAATATTTTCTCGACCTGGGAGGTTGAGATAAGAAGGGTATTTTTATGGGGGAGAAAACATTCGAACGGGAGGATTGTTGCGGCTGGGCCCGCGCGCTCGAGGGCGCTCATGTTGCCGTGAACCATCTTCTCGATCTGGAGTGAAGCAGGAACAAATCAATAAATCCGACTTGACTCGTACTCTTATAGCTGTAGACTTTTTTCTCGCCCTGGGAGGTTAAGAGAAGAAGGTTCATTTCTAATGGGGGGAGAGAATATTCAAACGGGAAGATTGTTGCGGCTGGGCCACCGCGCGCTCAAGGGTGCTCATGTTGCCATGGACCATCTTCTCGATCTGGGGGAAAAAAGAAAGCGAGGAATGTCCATAAAGGTAGTGATTCGGCTATGGACCACCTGCTTAATGGGGGGGTAATTAAACAAAGACTTGTTTTGGCCTGCTGCTGCTGGGCCAGCGCGGGCTTGAGTGCGCTCATGTTGCCGTGCACCATCTGCTCAATCTGCAAGGAAGAGACATCGATAAGTCAAGACGTCATTTGTGTATCGAGAGAGCATTGCTTGACCTGGGTGAGACAGCGGACTCCGTGAGGTCGCTTGATCTGGTTCTGGACGCTACGCCGAAAGGAGAGGGGAAGAAAGAGCTGCGCGAGCACCCAATCAAGCGGACTTATCTTCCTGTAGACCCGTAGAGGTAAAAGAGATTAGACTTCTGAAGAACGGGGAAAAGAGCAGTTCGCAGAAGGTCAAAGTGAGCTTCTTCAACCTAGCAAAGACCACAAATGAACCGACTTCTATCAGTCAGTCGTTCCTTGTTGAACTGTGAGCGACGCACTCAGGGGAAACCACCAAAACAAACAAAGGCTGGCAGTCAATGATTCAGCATCTAGTGGACAATCAACGATTCCCAAAAAGCGAGACCCACCTCGTCGTTTTTCTTCTTCTCTTCCATAATCTGCTGCACCGTCGCCGCAAGTTCCTCCTCGTACAGATTTCTGCACAGCGCCAACTTTTTACTTCAGCAGGTTTCGACTTGAAGACTGGAACACCCGGAGCGCCGTGGGCGCATCATGGTTAGAAGCACATGACTAGTACCGCATATAAAAGTATCTGCAAGATTGACAGACCGCAGACTACAAGGGTCCAAGCCCGAAGACCGAACCCATAAATACAGACCTAACTTTTGCTGGGCACAAATTCAACCTTCGGCGCATTTTGGTCTTGAGCAATTTTGCAGCGCCTACGTGCGCTCCTCTTTTTCGCCTGCTGACGCCCAAAGCCAGAGTCCCGAAGATTTGACCACAGTCAAGAAGTTCCGAACCGGACGCCTGACTGCCAAACCCACCTGGTCTCGAGCAGTTTCTGCAGCGCCTGCGTGCGCTCCTCGCTCCCAATGATGATCCCCGCGCGCTGCCGCGCCGCCTGCTGCTTCACCTCCTGGATCTGCTGCTGCAGCCGCGAGTTGCCCTCCTCGAGCAAGCCCAGGTTCAGCTCCTCGAACTCGTCGGGGGACGGCGCCGGGCCGCGGGGCTGCAAAAGATGGTTCAAAGAGGAAGTTCAGCAAACGCTGACAATTATGCTTTGCACTCGTTAAGGCAATCAAGTTTGATTATCAATCAAGTCCGGTAGGGGACGGCGCTGGGCCGGTGGCTGCAGAAGATGGTTTGAAAGAGGGTTCAGGAAACTTGATATTTACCACCACCGGATGCATCTTTCAGCAGGCTCCTCTAACTCGTCGGAAAGGGCGCTGCGCCACAAGTGGCGAGAGAACAGGAGAAACAGGCTAAGCACAGCTACAAAGCTCTCGCAAAGAATCATGTAAGGTCGGGTTGCGCCCTCGATCAGGTCCACAAGCAGGCCCACCGACCAGGTTCAAGAAGACCACCCGACAACAAGCGAACGTGAGTGCCGGACTCAGGCAATACATGCAGAGCAGCAAGATCCTGTCGACTTAGAAGAGATACAGTATACAAGCCATCCACTGCGGCTTTTCCTATGCCGTTGACAAAAGTCTTTTCTCGGACGACGTTCTCTGCAATGCTGGTTACCCCTCAAGCACCACTCGAAGCAATTATTTTGAAGCTTTCGACGTCCATTCCATCCTCGTTTCAACAGTATCGACTGTCTGTCACGGAGAAGGGCTGAGGCACGGCTGCTGACTCACCGACATGGCTGCTTCTAAAGCAATCTCTCCGATAGCATTTGCAAGCTTGAGCTCGAGCATCGACCTGCAACATAAGGAAAAAGCAACGGATGAAACCGCATTTACGATCAACAGCATGCGAAAGAAAGACTGAGAGACTGCGCAAACAGGAACAGTCCTTCGCAGAAAAGGTAAGCTTCCAATCCTGCTTGACCCAATGTCCGTATAACATTCTTTTCGCCACAAAAGCCTTCTCCCGGGCTCCAGACTTGACGTCGGTTGTGCAGACCGAATTCAAACCGCTACAAAACGGGCACTCCACACAGCTCCTCCTTCATTCGCTGGAGCTGCGCCTCTGGTGTGGCCGCTTTGGTGCTCTTCTGCTTCTCTCATTTGGCGCGCTTCTACTCATCCCAATATTTAGATATCCGAGATCCTGAAACCCTGGTCTTAAACCCCTCACCTCTCCTCCTTAAGCCGCTGGAGTTGTTCCTCTGGCGTCGCTACCTTGGTATGCCTCTACGTTCTGAAGTCCGCCATCTCTTGCTCCTTCCAAATCCAAAACCCTTTTGTTTAAAAAGCTTTTAGACTGGAAATCCTCGTCTTCTAAAACCCTCACCTCTCCTCCTTGAGCCGCTCGAGTTGTGCCTCTGGCGTCGCCGCCTTGGTGTCCCTCTGCTTCTCCAGGTCCGTCAGCTCCTGCTTCATGCGGTTGATGTCCCCCTCTAGTTGCGCCTGCTCGGGGTTCACTGCCGGCTTGAACGCCCCGGCCGCCTTCTGAGCCATCAGGCGCGCGAGGTCCTCCTCGAGTTGTGCCCTGGAAGAAGGGAGGAGGGAAACTTTGAGATCCTAAAAGGCCCTCTCAGTACAGAAGGGTTTGCAAAAGGTTAAGAGAGAGCGATGAGGACGCGGTCGCCCTGGCCCCTTCTTCAAGATGAGCAGCACAAGGCGAATTCAAGCAACGCCCTGCAAAATCCCAGATCGTGACGTTGGCACTCAAAAGCTATGTTCGATGGCTTAGCAGCGGCAGAGACTTGCTGGGCCCAAAAGCGACACCGCAAGGGCGATCTGAACCTCCAGGAAACTAGAGTGCCAACTTTGTGCTCACCGGTCCCAAGCCGATGCTCCAACGACAACAGCTTTCAAGACCCTTTTTGCGAAGGGTCGAACCCTCTCCCTCCATAAAAGTCAACTCTTAAGCAATCGCCTTTCAACCACTTCCGCATTCCTCTACCTAACCAACTTTCTGCACCCTCACCGCGTCTCCTGCAGCTCCCAGATCTTCTCAGCCGCGCCCTCGGCCTCCCGCGCCGACTCCAGCGTGCCGACGAGCTCCTCTTTGGTCCTCTTCATCTTCGCCACTTCGTCTTCCAGCTGCCGGATCTCGGCGTCCTCTTTCCCGCGGTTCCCGTCGGGGAATCCCCCTCGCTGCCCGGCCGTGAACGTCGACCGCATCGAGCGCTGCAGCGAGACCTTGCGCTGCAGCTGGGTAATGTCCGCCTCTAGTTGCGCGCGCTTGGCGTGCAGCATCCGCTTCTGCCGGTCGGCATCGGCGCTGTTCCCAGCCTGCGTGAGGGGGAGGAAATGCAGGGGCGGCTCAGAATTGGCAGCAAGAAACACAACGTACCCCGAAATGCATTTCTAAACGAGATTGTTGCGCAGTGGGCGATTGCTTTGACTGGCATCAACGCTCTGCTCAGTGTGCGTGGTCAAAGGTTGCGGGGTGACCTTGAATGGATGCAGGCGTTGCTCAAATTAGTCGGGTACGATTCGGGTCATTAGAAACACATTCGTGGTATTCTCAGTCCCAACGCTGATGTTCCTGGCTTACTGGATGGAGGTTGCACATCAAGGTACGACAGAACTGTACGAATCGTTTACAAGCTCGAAGGAAGAACAGGTGGCAGCATAGAAATCACTTCTCTTAGGTAACCTCAGCTTCAGCCTAGACTTCAATACAACCGAGGAGTCTGATAGGGCTCATTGGAACACCGGATTGAAGTCAGAGAATTCGTTTCGGACGCTTCGACCAAGAGCCTCAACCTGGTCCGAAGCGAAGGAGAAATCTGCATCAAAAGCTTCAATCACAGACGCAAACACTGGTCCTTACACTGGGGATTACCACCGACCTTAACGACCAGACTTCTTCACGCAACATCGATCTGTTGCCTCGAGACAAGCCCCTGGCAACATTAGAAAGTGGCAGTTTTGATCAAAACAAAAGCCAAGCGCGTTCAGACTCACCTTTTGGTTCAAGCTCGCTTGCAAGCTCTCCTTCTCTTTTTCCAGCTTGCTTACCATCTCCCTGCATGCATTGGAGTGCACCGTTCAGAATCATTCAAAAATTTAGGCTGAGCTTCTTCCCCCCAAACATTGCTGGCGTGTTCTGTGCTGTTCCCTTGAGGACGACAAAGCGGGCAACGTTGTGATGTTCAGCCTGTTTGAAACCAAAGATCCACATTGGAGCAACGAAAACAGTGGTGCGGGCTTTGGTTATGCTGACAATGAAAGACGACCCAAACCCGTTTGCTGCAAACATCTGGTCGGAAAGGACAGCAGAACCCTCCAAAACACCATCCGAATCCAGGTCCAACGTCCGTAGCACATTCCAGATGACACCTGAAGCACTTCCCGTGACATCTGGCCCGAAAGAAATGCTTCTCAAAATCCGTCTCGAGTCTGTTTCCTGATATTCGCAGCCTCCTCGGCCCACTAATCACAATCTCGGAGCCCTTCGCAAACCCCTCAAGCGGCATACCGATCCAGACCACACAGGTTCTCCAACCAGACCCAAAACACTACAGCCTCAACATCCGAACTCACCGCTCAGCGTCGTCATCATTCCCCCAGAAGATCACCTCCTGTCCCGCTTTCACTTCCTTCCCGCGCCCCTTCACCTCCCCGTTCTCAGCCATCTTCGCAGTCTCCGACCCGAGCGCACTCTCAAACTCGTCTCCGGCCAGCACTCGCTCGAGCACGGTGTCAAGCACCGGGTCCAGCCTCTCCAGGGAACTCCGTCCGAAATCGTTTGGCACTGTGCGGGACCCGTCCGAGTTACTCCGGCTGCCGTCCGGTCGGCGAGCGTGGCCGTCCGAGGGCCGTCCGATGGCGTCCGAATGCCGTCCTTGTGCTTCGGAGTGACGTCCCGTGCCGTCCGGTTGCCGTCCGGGTGCGTTTGTAGCACGGTTGATTGCGCTCGAATCCAGGCTCCGGGAAGACTGCTCGCGGCTCTTCTTCTCCCAGGCTTTCTGCGACGCCGCAAGCGCGTCGTCCCCCCTCCCCCCTCGGGGGGTCGCCTTCCCTTTAGGAGTGGGGCTGTTGCCCCGCCCCCCACTCCACTCCTCCTCGTCAAAGTCCGGGATCGATAGGTACGGCGTCTTGACGTCCGCCTGGTTTGGCCTCGCCTTTTCCGCAGGAAGCTTCTCCTTTTCCTGAACCGGTCTCGGTTCGGGACTCCTGGCGTCGTCTCGAGGGCTGCGAGACGACTTCTTGGGCTCGGGGCTCATGCCCTTGCGCGCCTCCCGCAAGTGGACCTCGGCCATCTTGATGAGGCCGTCGAGGTCCATCCCTGCGGCGCCGAATGCGCCAAAGAGCTCTGCAGAAAATGACTCAAATGATTGAGGCTTCTGTCAGACGTGTTACTACCAGGGGCGATTGTAGTTCCGAACCAGAAAATTCTGGTTTGGTGTCACCGTTTTCAATTTGTGCTGCCAGTGCTGTCCACTGCGTGATCGAACTTAGTTGGCAACGGGCGTTATACCTGGATAATCCAATTACAGGAGGCGAAGCACAGGTGTGGAGGGACTTTCTCGAAGCAACACGAAGTGGCCAATTTGTAGGTGCTGACCAGGCGCATTGACTGTGGAGAATGCCTCCAGATGCATATTGCATCTCAAGGATGCATGATTTGAAAGAGAAAGAGTCTCTTGTCCTGCCTTCTGCCAGCAACATGTGCTTGCAGGTGAAAGGCGTGCGCAAACAAAGGGTTCCTTTACAAGCTGTGTTCATTCAAGAGCAATCAATTCGTTTCCTCGGAAGCTTGGCACCGGAACCGACGTTTGGCGAATCTACACAGGCAGTCTGGCATCGGACTCTGCTGATTCAGGAAGCACAAGTGGCACAGTTGTGTCTTCCGAGTTGCCTTCCGTACTGATTCCGAGAGTTTGCAGCACGTTACAGTCTGATGGGGTTCTAGAGTCTTCAGATCTCTTGCATTATCTTGCAGAATGAACGCCAGGGCTTCAAGCTTAGTTGAAACCTCTCGGCGCTTTTCTGACGTGGTTGGCAAAACCATGGGACTTACAGAGGGGAAGATTAGTTGCAGAACCTGATCAAATCAAGAAACTCTGCACATTGCTCTTATCTACTATAGTGTCTGGCAGTATGCCTTACTTTTTTGGCAGCGGCCCAAAAAACAGTTGAAGGGGCACACAACCATGTAAGCAAAAGCAACAAAACAAACCAGAAGCAAAGGAAAAAAATCTTGAGTCAAAACAAGAAGCAGCAGTTGCAATTTACCGACACTCACCGTCAGTATCCGACGTCTGCAGAATCTCTGCAGCATCCAACGGTTTCTCCTTCTCCGCGTCACCCTGCCTCCGCCCCCTGAGTTTCGCCTCTGCTTCAGCGGCGGCCGCGGCCAGGCCCGCCGCATTCCTCGGCATTGACACCGACTTTGGGAGTCCCTGCGCTGGCCCCCCCTCCCGCGACCCGCTCCCCGGAGAGAACGAGTTCGCCTTCCTGAGCGTCGGAAGATCGTCCACGAAACTCACTCGTCGTGGGGAATCCTTCCGGCCGCCGTTCGGAGACAACCGGCCGCCAGCGGGCCCGAAAACCCCTGGAGGCGATGGTGGCTTTGCAGTCCCCTGGCCCTCCCTCAGGTCGAGGTCCTTCATTTCTTCCACGAAATCCGTTGGCAGCGAATTGCCGCCCGAAGGCCCGCCGTTGAACCGGCTCGTCGCTTTAAGAATGGGGGGAAGCGGGGGTTTGGTCGGCGAGTGCGGGCTGCGGGGGCTGGTGGCCTCGCCGCTGCGGGGAGGGAGCACCGACATCGGGCTGGACGGCGTGCGCCCTTTCGCGGAAGCGCCGCCGCTGTCCAACGACTTGCTCCGCGCGTAGTGCGCCGGCGCGGCCAAGTTCTCCTCCACCGGCTTCTCGGCCACATCCGGGTGGTTCTCGCCAACTTCTTCCACCAGTTTCGCCCCTTCTCCGGGGCTTATTTCGCTCACGCTGCGCTGCATAACCCTGACGTCGGGGTTGCTTCTCCCCCGGGAACGAACCTCGTCCCCTTCTGGAAGCTCCTCGATGACTGCGGACCCAGGGGGTGACGGCGCGCCCGCCGGCGCAGCCCCCCCCTCCCCGGGCTGGAATGCATGGACGGGGATGAATCTCGACCAGAAGTTTGGGACCGGCCCCTTACCCGGGGGTTCCCCGGCGCCCCCCTCTGGCATGCTCGACGTTGAATGCGCCCTGTCCCGGAAAGCACTCACGATTGGGTGCTTGGCTTTTCCCTCAGGACTCTTGAGCGAACTATCCCCCTGGGAATGCAGCTTCAGATAAGCGGCCCCCGGGCTGAAACTGTTCCGAGGGGGCAGTCCCTGCTCACTTTTCTTTGGGGCGACCGGTGGGACGGACCCCCCCTGAGAGGTAATCCTCTCCGCAATCGCGTCAATCTCAGCCACAATGTCGCCCGGCATTTGCTTCAGGGCCCTGGCCACGTGCGCGGGCGCAACCTGCGGGCCCATGTTAGGCTTCTTCTCGGCCGCGTTTGCTATTACAGGGCCTTCTGGGGTTGCGTTTGCCCGATGAGAAGCAGCCCCATCATTAGGGTTTGCTGCGCTCTTCTGCTCTGGCAGGCCGGGCTTTTGGTCCTGCTCTGGCGGGGCAAGCTTTTCCGTGACCTCCTTGCTAGGGGTTTCTGAGGCCTTCTCCGACGGCACTCTCTCTGCTGTGTCCTCGGTCTCTACCCTTGCATGGCCTTCTTTACCAAGCTTAGAATCCCCATTTTCTCCCCCAACATTCTGCTCGACGCCCGTCTTTTCTACAAAGGCCGTCTCCGCTTTGCTGGCCACCGCTGCACCTCCAACTTCTTGAGCAGCGTCCTCGCTCACCCCAGAAGCTACCCCATTTTCCACTGGCCGCTTGGCAGCAGACGCACCGCTGACGTCAGCTGACCCTTCTGCGGGCTTCCTGCGCAGCAGCCCCCCCGCCAGCTTCGACTTGAACGGATTGAACACCGGCACGAGAGGCCCGGCTTCCTCTTCCGCAGACGAGTAGTCCTCGCTGCTCGAGCCTTCGGACGCCCCTCCAGAGAGCACCGCTGAGAAATGCACGACGTTTCCCGGCAGCTTCCGCTCTCCACCTCTACTTTGCTCGCCAGCTTTGGTCTCGCCCTCCATGGGACTGTGCGGCTCCATCCCCACAATATCCGACAACGGAGCAGCTGCATTGCTTACAGGAGCTCCTGCATGGTTTGGAACGGCTCCGGCGTCTTTTAGAGCTACCCGCCCAGTGTCTTCGGATGAAACCTGCGGCCTCCATGAGTCCACTAGCAGCCCCTTGGCTGCATTTTTGAGCGAGGGACCGTGGCTTTTGCTGACCTTGGCAGCCGTTCCCCTCCCCATTTCGGCTTCCTGAAGCTCTTCCCCCAACGTATTAACCAGATTGCCAGTCACTTCTTTGTTTACCGCTTCCGCCTCTTCACTGTAATTCTCGCCCTGACCGGTCTTTGTTTCCCGGCTCTCAAGCTGGGCCAGACCTTTTACCCCCTCTGGGGAGGCCCATTCGACCTTGGGAGCGTCCTCTTCGCTGCCCGACTCTTCGCCCTCTGCCAACCACTGTCTAAAGCGGTCAGGCGCACCCGTTGGACCAGGTCGCCTGTGTCGGGTCTTCACCATTCTGGAAACACCTCAGGAACTCGTCACCCGCTCCAGAAATGCAGCTGCATGCCATGCTCCTGTCAAAAGGGGTCGGATGCAACATATTGAAAGATGAGGCAAGCTTCCTTGAAGAACCCGCCCCCGCTGCCTCCAGCTTCCTGTTTGTATCAGCCACATGAGCTGCAAAATGCAGCTCCAGGAAGAAAGCAAGGCTTGTTCATTCAACAATTTCAAGTTGGGACAGTTGACTCCGAGAAAGCACATGGCGCCAACTTATCCACTTTTGGTCGTTTGTGTCAGAGTACCTCTAAAGGGTTTACCCGCAATTTACGGTATCTGCCCGGTGGGATCGAGTCAGGGTGAGATGCTCCAACCGGGGGCTCAGAAGCCGTGCTCGCATGGTAACGTATACGGGCTTACAAGCCAAGATAACCCGGTGCATACAATCGGGATACCTAGTACAGTTACCAGTACCCCGGGAAGAAGCTTTGAGGAAAGTCTTCCGTGCCAAGTGGACGACGCAGAAATTCCGATTGCCCAGGCGGATATTTCTCGGGGTCCTCATCGGACGGCTGAAATGGTCAGTCGCTGCCAACAACACACAGCCCCTAGTTGGAAATCTATACCGCGCGCTCGCGCATGCGCTGTATATCGTACCGTTGACGATTCGGTCCATACCGGGACTGTTACCGACAAATCTGGAAATCTGAACATTTAGCCCCAGTAGAGCAGGCTCAGAACCCGGCTGCGGCTGCAATGCACAGGCCCGCTTCGGCGGCAGCGCTCTCGAGGCCGAGTGTAGCGCTCATGCAATGATTGCCTGCAGCACACTTCGATCAATCAAGCGGCGTGCTGGACTACCGTATTCTTCTATGATAGGTATTAGGTAGCAACCGGACCTTCCGCTTGGAGGCTACGCCCAAAGAAGTCGAATCAGCAGGTCGCCCATGGCCCTGGGCTCGCCCTGGGTAACCGATTATGGGATTAAATTGGCGTTGCCTAGCCAGGCTACGAAGTTGCGCCCAATGTTTGTTCCAACCTAGAGGTCTGTTGTTTGTTAGAGTGATCATCGGTTATCAAATTCAATGCCGCATCTATACCTTATATTAGGCCATGACGACACCTCGAAATCGATTCATCACGTACTCTGATGGCAGATTGACCGCGATTGAAGTTGCGTGGCGGCCACCAATTGTTCGGCAGCGCGGCCACCAGCCTGGCATGCACCATCACCATGATGACCAGCAGGTCTTTGGGGACTAACCCACGCAGGATCCCGCGGCATACACGGCGTATGGTATAAACTTGAAAGCAATGTTCCATCATTAACCAGCGGTCGAACATATTGTCCTATGATGCACACAACGCACGATCATTTTCGTGTGCTACCCTTTTATGCTGTGAGAAGCCGGCCGGAAGTTGGAAGCGTGAGGCCATGCATACATGCACCACGTACTCGCTACGAAGTCTACGGGAAACAGGATTGTAACATGCCATGCCGCTCTCAAATCAATCCACCGTCAGCCATGACCATTTAATTCGGGAAATATTGCAGATCATGATATGTGACACAGACGCTCAATCGCTCTAGTTGACATACGCATGCGACCCACATGCGTATGCTTTTGAGAGAGCTCTCTACTCTTTACCGTGAACGCTGCGAGATCGAGTGGCACGTTGAAGTTGCTCGATCTGAGGCCGGGCCGTTCAAGTTTCCAAGAACAGCAATCCGAGTCGAGAAAGGCAACGCCGCTATTCCAGATTCAGGGCTGAGACAGCCAGTTGATCACAACCGAGGAGCTGGCATGGGAAATGCCGCGGGGGTCTCAGCAATCAATTGTTCACAACACCGCCTTGGATAGAGTCTAGCTCGCCGACTAGGACAACTATCTCAGTGGATATCATCACACTATATTTCTTCTTACTGCGCCAAAATTTTAACTTCTTCATTGTCAAGTTTGCAACTAGCTAGTCACCTGTGACTCGCTGCTAAGGAACGATAGATGGAAGCACAGCGCGATAATGACGGAAAGCTTCGTGAGCAAAGAGAAGAAACCCGACAATTTGTACCTACCTAACAAAGAATTCTTGAAACCCGGTTGATCCTTCTCAACCATATGATTGCCAGACTTCTTCTGTTTCTTGTTCCGCTTCTTCGACGAAGGGCTGCTGCTCCCGTCGGGCGCTTCCGATTGTGATGCTGGTGAATTTGATGACGCACCCAACTATACGAAAGCACAGAAGCAGCTAAGAGAACGAGCGCAACGAGACAGGAACCAGTATCATCAGCACTGAGATGCTTTCAGAAGATTGCATGCCAGTGGTTCTTGCGTTCAATCGGCTCGAAGGTTAAAGTTTGCCCACTTTTCAAATCACAAAATCTCTCATCAACGCCAAATGCACAATCATGAAGCAGGTTGCGCCGATGTGCGCCAGCTACTTGCCTCTTTCCGTAAGGAACGGCGATCCCAAATCAGTCGAACCAGGCTGTCGACGGCCGTTCCTATCAGGACTTGTACCTCGCTCTGTTCCCTAGCTCCACTCTTCGTCCACGGATACAAGGACAGGAACGTCGTCAACGCAATCGTCGAGCAAACGGCCTCGACCTGTAGACGAGACCATGGGAAGAGATGGATGAGACCGGCGGATCACAGGATTATGTTGGGTCGGAGCTCAATCGTTAAGCTCAGGTTGAGACTAGACTTGGGAGGCGAAATACGAACGCTCCACGACACAAGCGGACACGCGCAACGAACTGGCCGTTGTCAAGCCTGGTTCACAACGCGCCTGAAGGTCACAATTAGCCGTCTTCGCTGACGATCTGAGTTGTGGACATGATGATTTCAAGTCTCAAATAGTCACCATGAAGGAACATATTCTTTAGCATTCTGTGATTGAGCTCGCAACTTGGAGATGGACGAAACGAGAGCGGCTATCAACAACCGTCGTCCAGAAGCGTCGCCCAGGAGGTACAATCGGAAGACCCGTCCCTTCTGAGAAGAAGCCGTGTTCATGTTCCGCAACCTCCAGATTCAAAGGTCAAGCACTGAATCGAATAAGAAGCGCGCACAGGCGAACGGTTGAGACGGGGTCCGATCTAGGTCTCACCCATGCAGACGTGCGCCGCCGATCTCCGCTGAGAGCACTCTGCTTCTGTCCGAGTAGCCAGGAGCAGCCCGTCCGGAGCAACCAAAGGGCCACTCCCAGGTGCACCACAACCGCAGCGAGATGGACGACTCTCAGCACCGTTCCCAGGCCCCTGCTAACCTTCGACGGCTGTGAGCTGTCTGTGTGAATGAGGCCCAGGGACACTTGAAATTTCCGGACTGCCTGGTCGAAGAGTCTCTTCACACCCGTCCAGAGCTTACTGACAAATAGCAATGCGCCTTTCGGAGAAGAACCGTGGTCCATACGAATGCCGAGCTTCTCTTCGACCGAGTTCTCTGTGTGTTCGGAATCAACGTGTGCTTGACTGGCGTCTAAAAGGCCGCTCAAGTCTGGGAGGGGGTTGTGCTGCTTGGGGGCCCAGACGCCTTCAGCCAAGATGCTGATCGCCTCAGGTTCTGGCCACGTGGTACTCCTGGAATCAAAGCAATCGTTCAGGTTCATGTTTGTGCAAGAGCAGAATGAAAACGGAAGAAGCTTTAACAAGACCGAACGAGATTTGCCAATCCAAGTTTATTGCAACTTGCACTGGCAAGGACACCCTGATCCATCAGTTCATGCTTTAATTTCCAAAAGTCTTTGCGACGTACAAATCTGGCAACAACTTCTGTGATCGTGCAGTACTTTGCTGAGCAAGTCGTACATAGCCAAAAGTACAAATCTGAACGCCTGTACGATGCCAGCTGAGCAACAGATTTTTCAGCCCCCTTTCATTGCCTCCACTAGGAAATGGGGATATCAAATACAATTTAAATGGACATATCTGCACAAAAAGCATCTTGGTAAGTACTCACTCTCTGATGTGAGCAGTTACAGCCTCGAGCTTCTCTCTCAGTCCCTGTGCGGCGACCCTGGCTTTCTCGACCCCAGGTTTGACCTGCTCTTTGACCGTCTCTACCGCTCTCCCCACAGATTCCAACAGAGACTGCCCAACTTTCTCGGTCCCCTTCTTAAGCTGTTGCGGTGCTTTCGAGGCTGCATCTAGGGCGGGTTCTCCTGCGTCAAGCGCTTGTGCCCCTGCGTCAAAAGTCTTCTCCAAAGCTTGGCCAGCAGCACTCTTGGTCGATTGCAGTCCTGCAGTGTAAAAGATATCTGAATCAGCAATGTTGGTAAGGCTCAAGGCAAGGCGGCACACCTCACATCTTTGGCAAGAAGTCCGAGACAGATGGAATTAAGCAATCACCACATTGACTGGTGTCCTCTCCAGAATGACACTCAGCTGCACATAGCAGAATGATTTCTTGGATAATCTTTCTTCCCAGCTGTCCATGTACTGCTTCCTCAAATATGTTTTTCTGGCCAAACTGAATTTTACCACTTCTTAGATGACGTGTCCATTGTTTACTGTGACAGTAGTGACTCACAAAACAACACGGCAGCACAGATGATCACCTGATGATGCAGCCTGCTCCAGGTCCTTGACAGAAGCTGACGCAGACTCTTTGGAGGCGTCAAGAGAAGCCTCTCCAGTCTCCACCACCTTTTTGGCTCCTCCTTTCACATGTTGCTTGGCAGCATCAGCTATATTGTGGCTCCCCTCTGTCATTTTCTCCGCAGCATTTTCCAAGCCAGCCTTCACTTCTTGTATCCTGTTTCCGCCTGCTGACACCTGATTGTCCACCGCATCTATCAAAGAATCTCTAAAGTCCCCAACTTGCTGAGCCCTTGTCTCAAGTTCAGACCCTTCCATCTTGCCGCTTTCTTTGCTGACATCAGCGGCGAACTGTTTGGAGGGCTGTGCAAGGTGCTCTACATTGTTGATGATGCTGTGCGGTGGTGAGGGCCCTTCGCTCTGATCAAGCAGAGGGTATGGAGAGAAGACCAGTGCAGCCGCTAGGAAGGCCATGGAAACAGTGAAGCGCGTTGCTAACTGCGACAACATGGCTACTGCGACTCAAAAATACACAAGGAACAACCACCAAGGGGCAATGCAAGCAGTAAAGCTGTTGTGCTCCACAAAAACTTACAAAAGTCTTGGTCACAATCCACCCTCAACAAGCTAAGTGGTTCAACTCCAAATGCAGGATTCTACAAAACATATTGCCCCAGTTGAGCATTTGCCCTGGTCCGCCAAACTGCACTGCGCATTTGGTCCTGCTTTTCCACCCACCACCCACCCTTGCCGTCGTGAAAGCAAAGACTATGAGGATGTCATGAAGTGCACCACTACCAGCTATGCCCCAAAGGCAGCTTCTTCGCTGCTTTTCCACTGTGCGCACCGGCAATGAGAGGATTGGCGCTCCGCTCCGCTTGCACGACCTCCTTTCCGCAGCGCACCCTCTCCAGTTGCGCGTGACATCAGCAAGCTGAGGAAAGTTGTTTCGTCGTTTGTGGCAGCGACACTTGTCAGCATGCGAAAGCCGGAAACTCTTAGCTGCTGACGTGTTACATAGATTGGAAAGGCCTTGTGACAAGCTTAAACCACCAACCCGGGGTTTAAATACTCCTGGTAACCAGGAAAGATCATACCGTAGTGGCACGACCCATTCGCACCAAAAATATTTCGTAAGGCCTTGGTGCAAAAAATGGAAATAAACCCAAATGAAGCTCGAAATCGCGCAGAAGTAGGCTAAAACACTGTAAATCTGCCCTTGTGCGAAAAGAAAATATCCCCCCAAACCTTGGTGCGAAATCAGAAAAGGGAAGAAAATAATTTTCGTAAGAGCTTGGTGCGAATGGGTCGTGCCACTACGGTAATCAAGTTCGCAACTTGAAATTCGCGACGGGCGCACACTGGGCGCACACATACAAGCAGGTACCCTTGCCCACGTCAATACAAGCCGTTTCTCCTTGTTTTGAGCGGCGGTTTCGACATGGCCTTTCCGATGCAACTGAAACAGAGCTTTAGAAAGTGAAACCGCCGAAAACAGTGAAGTAATGCTCTCATTTTCTGCTTGTATATGCTCAAAAATGAACGACTTGGAAGCAAGCGCCTTCGGACCGAAATTTGAATTTCGGTGGCCGTTGGCAAGAATGCCAGCCGGTTTGCCCCGAGATATACCCCGGGTGGTGGTTTAATTAGGAGTCTAGGCACATTGCTGCTTGCTGTAATCAATATTACCTTTTGAAACAGGGCCCCTTAAAGGAGTGCCACGTTGGCAGCTCAAATGCGGTTTTCAAGCAATGACTTGTCACAGTTCAGTCTATAATCGCGAGTTGAGCATCCCCTCCGACTCTGAGCTCTTCATGTGTTCAAGCTTTGAGGTTGAAGTTGAAAGTTAAAGTTAGCTTGAGCTTTGCGGAACGCTGCATGTTGCAGAGCCAAAGGTTTATTGCCAAGGTGTTCAAGGAAGTTCGAGCATGTGGAAGAATACCAATCACAGTAATGTCTCTCTCTCTCACGAATTCTTGCTTATGGTTGCTAGCCTTTTCTAGGCGGCATTGAACAGCTTTGTTGCCAGAAGGTCAACAAGCTCCGCTGGGAGGAAATGTTTTCGGTCAACTCACTTGCAGCAGAACTACCAAGTGAGAAGCAAGGGAAATTGTAGGGTTCAAAGTCCTGTTCCATTAGAAGTAACAAGGATTGCAGCGGGTGGAGAGTATAAATCGATTTTGTGACAATAGCAACACAATGGTGCTCGCTTCCGTGGCCGCTCGCGTCGCTGTCCTCCTAGCCATCCTGGCTGGAGCAGTTGTTTTCACCCCACGACCAACCGTGAAGGAGCCAGAGCCAGAGATTCTCAGCTCAAGCCTTGAATACCTCTATGAAAGGTGAGGAATGACCTGAGCAAAGAATCGCTGCTGACATTGCTGATTCTGTTCGTGGAATGGCGCTCCTGGCGCTCCTCAGCTGATTTGCATGCAGAACCAAAACAAGTAAGAGTCCTCGATGATCCATACCAACAACGAACTTAGAAGCGTGTTGATTGCAAGCTGATTGTGATCACTGGATCCATCATCAGTTTCAAGGGATGCTTGATTGAGAGAGGAGATCATGCACGAATGGTGGATGACTGCCGGGTTGTAATTTGAGTGGCAGTTGGCGGCTTCAACATGTGTCACCAAACGGAAACAGCCAAAGCCTGCAGGTTCATCACTGTCTATACTTGGTACTACATTGACTGTCGTCCTTTCCACCACCAGTTTCTTTGGCTGACTGCAAACCAGACCTGTCGTTGAACAACCTGCAGATTGCCTATAGATTGCCTATGGATTGCCTATTGAATGGAATTAGGCACTGGATGTCATTGCCGAAAGGACAATGACATCCACTTTTCCATCTGGAAGCCAATCGGCACGCCGGCACGAAGCTTGGTAGAGGAGTGAAGTTGGACTTTGCTAGCAAGACCTCACTTAGCAGTCCTTTCCATCTTTACACACGTAAAGTGATGCAAGTGACGTCTTTTATGTTGGCGTTTGTAGAACCGTCTTTGTTAAAAGCTCTGAGCAACTGTCTGTATTGCAGGATTGGTATCGAGGAGCCTTCTGATGTGACCGGCAGGATGAGGGACACTGCTGCATCTTACTACGACTCTGCCAAGGAGGCTGTGGGAGACAGCGCTGACTCGCTGGGCGGGACAGCAGGCCAGGCGGAGGGGTATGCCAGCAAAGGTTACGAGAAGTTAAAGCGCGGAGCTGCCTCTGGCCTTGAGGTAAGATGGTCATTGAAACTTTCGAATCTGCAATCTGCAAATCAAAGACTCCACCCTAGCTTGAGGCTTTTATTGGCTCTCTCTTTGGAGTGCTGCAAAGAACAATCAGACAACGTTTTAGAATATGCAAAGTTGCTTGATGCTCAGGGGTCAACAAGGAGTGCTGCAAAGAACAATCAGACAACGTTTTAGAATATGCAAAGTTGCTTGATGCTCAGGGGTCAACAAGTTTCTCAATCATGAAATGCTGTGTCCGTTTATGATTGATTTACAGAGAGTGCTGCTGAATCCTTCTCAAGGGCACATTTTGATTGATACGTTGTATATTAAGGAACCTTTTCATGCAAGTGCCTATTTTTTGCAATGTCGCTGTTGTTGCATCATCCTTCTTGTGCCTTCTTTCTCGAGCTTTGTTCCTCTACCCTACATGGAAAACGCATTGCAAATGTCAAAGAAAGCTTAACAGTATGTATCTTCCACCCCCACTTGAGTGCCAGGTGTGTAGCAACTTCAAGAGAACGTAGTGTCTATATTGTGCTGTTTGACAACCAGACAGCCAATCACATGGAACCATTTCGATGGTTCCAGTCAATGACAGATAGGGCGTTCCTTGCCCCTTACTGATCAAACATCACTTTGTACATGTGCAGTCTGCCACTGAAGCCACCCAGGGAGCCTATGGCGCCGCCAAAGAGGGCTTCGACCAGGGCATGCAGCGTGCAAGCGGGGAGGCGCACGACTCCGAGGCTCGCCGGCGCGCCGCCGAGGGGCAGGCTTATCTTCAGAGCATCTATGGTGGCAGCATGGAGGTGGCAGAGCAGACTGGCCACCGGCTGAAGGAGCAAGCAAGGGAAGAGGTCCAGAACGCCGCTAGGAAGGGGTATGATATCACGAAGGGCGCCGCAGGCTACGTGAAAGACGCTGCTCAGTATGCTGGCGCTAAGGGCGGGGAGGCGATGGACGTGGCTCGCGAGCAGGCGGAGCAAGTGAAGGAGACCGGCAAGGAAGGGGCGCACAAGGCGCACGGGGTTTACGAGGCTGCGAAGGGAGGCGTGCATGAGGTGATCGAGAAGGTCGGCGATGCATACCACCGCGCGGTCCTGGTGGCAGAGGCCGCAGTGCACCAGGCACAGCATGCGTACGAGGAGGCGGAGCACAAGCTCGCGCAGGCGCGCCACCTGGCGGCCGAAGCGGCGAAGAAGACGAAGCATGGCGCGGAGGTTGGCGCCGAAGATGTCAAGATTGGCTATGAGCGTTCAGTGGAGGCGGCGCGCTTGGCAGCGGAGAAAGCAAAGACGGCGTATGAGAGGGCGGTGGAGAACCTGGAGAGCGCAAGGAAGAAGGCTGGGGAGATGTACGAGGTGGCAGGGGACAAGGGCGCAGCATATTACCACTACCTCAAGGGGCTGGCTGCCAGGACTCAAGAAGGTCTCAGGTAGGGGTTTTTGGGTGGATCGTTGTAGAAGGTTCCGTGTGAACTCTAGTTACAAGATTCAATTAGTGGTTCTTTTTTTTCCGGTAAGAACTAAGGACAACGGATCTATCACGTCATCTGCACTTTATTTCTTGCGACGAACTTCTGGCAAAAGTTCAGATGTGCAGTCCGCTTCATTGACTAGTCGCCCTGTGTATTGAACCTAGATGAAGTGTCACCAGAAGAGATTCACAAAAACGATGCAGAATAAGTAGTGACGACTTTCGCTTACCAGAACTCATATGATTCAAAAACAGACCAGGCTATAGAACGACCCTTAACCGGAAAAGCGAAGACGTTTTGACGTTTTTGGTTATTTTGTTTCGAGGTATTTGCTGTCAGAAAAGCATCTTTGCTCGAACTTTGCAGTCACGCCAAGGACGTCGCTGCCGAGAAGCTCACCGAAGCCAAAGACTACGTTTACGACACCAAGGCTCATGTCACGGGTGATGTCAAGAAGAACGACCTCGGCAGCTGGTGGAACTGGGCGCTAGGAGGAGAGAGAGCCCAGAAGAAGTACGAGGCGAAGAAGTACGGCCAGGTAAGGTTTGAGATGGTTATCATTGACACAACTGACACTTCTCCCCCGTAGCGGACGTCTTCTTCGAGATAGGATGGCGTCTTAGGGTAGCACCAACCAAGCAGGCCTGCCTGTAAATAAGGCCCACAAATTTCTGATGGTCCATTCTCAGTCTGTGCAGTTCCTCTCACTATTTTTGGGTATACATTCTTAATCCTCGGGGATACTTTGAGGACTGAATCTTTCAGAAAGAGCAGGGTCTGAAAGGAGTGGATGGAGGAAAGCCGTCGGGTTAACCACTTGAAAGCGTCCGTCATCTGCATCAGAACTATCTCCGAGACGTGCGTTGCTTCATATCCTTGCAGGTCGCCAATATATCAAGAACTGTCTCACTTATGCAAACGGTTCTTTCGCTCGACCAGTCTCACAGACCTGGTTTTTCGCAAACAGACAGTCGTTAGAAGTTTCCAACCCCCATGAAACACTTGTTCCTGACTTCTGAAAAACGCAGTCCCTTTGCAGGGCTGGCGCCTCTGGTGGTCCGCCAAGGAGAAAGCCGCCGAGTTCGCGGAGCACGCCCCCGAGTACTACGCCCAGGCGAAGGAGAAGGGCGCCGAGACCTACCAGCAGGCTCGCGAGACGGCCGGTGACGTCAGCGACTACGTCAAAGAGACCAAGGACTACGTCACGGGTGATGTCAAGAAGCGAGACGCCGGCAAGTGGTGGCGGTGGGCAGCTTGGGGACAGAAGCCGCGTGAGGAGGACTTCGGAATGGTGCGTCTCTTCTTCATCTCCAAAAGACTGTTGTCTACGGAGGGCTTACTGCAGTATTGTAGTGTGCAATCCGCAGCTTGCACTGTGAAGGTTTCGGGAAGAGTACTTAAGCACCCCATCGAGTAGTTGAAGGGAAGGAGGTTTTACGGGCTTACTGTACCCTTTGATGTCTGTGAAATCTGGTAAGGTCTCCGTGTCTTCTCTGCTGAGGTTTTGTACATAGTTTTTCTTCAGAGATCATGTAATGTCTTTCAAAAGTGACATATCCGTACCCCCATCTTCCGTCTATCTTTACTGATTGACGCTCAACCGTAAGACTTGCTGAAAGTCAAGACTTTTCTGAGATTATCTGCAATGCAGCAGGCATTATATCTTCCCGGAATTCGGCAGATACATGGGTCGAGTGACTACTTACTGGGACCTGTCTGCCAGTGTACTTGGTTGTTAGCGCCCAATTTAATCGAAGCCCTCGCAATCCTCCAGCTCAATCCTCCAGCTCATCAACTGGCTCGCTACACAAAGACGTACATTTTCCTTCCTGCAACGAACGGCATGGCCTAGCGAAAATCATGCGCCTCTTGTGAATTGTCCTTCCCTAACAAACAGCAGTTAACGAGAGCGACGACGATCTTCTACCTGGAAACAGGACCCGCGTCCATTGCAGGTGCTTTGCTGGGTTGCAAAGAGCGAGCCTCAGGTTGACCGTGTTTTGAGTGTCTTACGTAGGCCGACTTTCCATGCTTCGTCTGCAGGGCTGGCGCCTCTGGTGGTCCGCGAAGGACAAGGCCGCTGATCTCGCGGAGCATGCCCCCCAGTACTACGCCCAGGCAAAGGAGAAGAGCGCCGAGTACTACCAGCAGGCGCGGCAGACGGCCGGTGACGTCACCGACTATGCGATGGACACCAAGGACTACGTCACAGGTGATGTCAAGGAGCGGGACTCCGGCAAGTGGTGGAGGTGGGCCCTGTGGGGGAAGAAGGCGCGCGCGGAGGAGGAGGCGAAGCGCTATGGAACGGTGAGAATGCACGGTATAGGTTGTGTGGAAAGCAATCTTGAATTATTAGGCTGGGTAGGTGGTTCGCTGATTTACTGATTGCGGTAGAGCTTGTGCGGCATTCACTGGAAACAAATTCGAATCGCTCCTCTCAAACCTCTATTCACGAAAGTCCATGTTCCCACCGGTCACAAGCAGTAGCGTACATTTACAAGCTCTTGATTGGGCAGATCAACAGCTCACTCTATGAAGTTCACTTATGACTGTGGGATAAAGGCAGGCGTGAATCGAGAATGAGAAGGTCACCTAGATGTCTGTTTTTGCACTCTTTCTTACTTAACGCCTCGACATCTCATTGCCTCTTTTTGCGTCCTTTCCAGGGCTGGCTGTACTGGTGGGCTGCCAAAGACCGCCTCGGACAAGCCGCCGAGCGCACCCCCGAGTACGTCAGCAAGGCCCGCGAAGCCGCTTCCCAGGCTAGCGAGCAGATCCCCGGCTACGTCAGCAAGGCCCGTGAAGTCGCTTCCCAGGCCAGCGAGCAGATGGCCGACACTGCCTCCAAGGTGAAGGATTCCGCGGTGGAGTGGGCGGAATCCGCCCGCGAGAAGGTGGCGGAACCGGCCGCGCAAGCGCAGCAGAAGGCTGGGGAGATCGCTGGGACGGTGCGGAACAGGGCGGAAGACGTCACGGGCGCTGTGAAAGGAAAGGTGAAGCAAGTCAGAAACGCAGCTGGCGAGATCGTGGAGGAAATCGAGGAGCCGGTCGAGAAGTATGCCGGCGCGGCAAAGGAGAAAGGGAGGGAGGCGGTAACCAAAGCGCAGCAAATGGGCGAGGGTGCAGAGGAATATGCGGAGGGCGTCAAGCGCAAGGGGAAGGAAGCCGGCGGAAAGGCGACCGGTATCCTGGGTGAAGCTGAGCGGAAAGCCCACGAGTTTGCGGAAGCGGTGAAGCACAAGGCCGAGCAGCTGGTGATGGGGGCGCGGGGCAAGGCCGGAGAGGCCAAAGAGACCGGGGAAGAGTATTTGGGCGCTGCCAAGGGAAAGGGCGAACGGCTAGCTGAGAAGGCGGAGGAGAGCCTGAGCTCCGCGCAGAGGACCGGAGAGGAATACGCGACTGGTGCGAAACGCAAAGGAGAAGAGTATGCGGGCGAAGCGAAGCGCAAGGGGAAGGAATATCTTGGTGGAGCGGTTCGCAAGGGCGAGGAATACGCGGGTAAAGCCAAGCGCAAGGGGCAGGAAGTCGCGGGCGAAGCCAAGCGCAAGGGAGAGGAGTATGCGGGCGGCGCAAAGCGCACGGGGGAGGAGCTGACGCGCAAAGCGGGCCAACACGTGTCGGGCATCTGGAGGGCCACGGAGGATTACCCCGCTGAAGCGCGCCACAAGCTGGAGGAGCTGACCCGGGAAGTCGAGGAACGCTTGGAGGAGGTCTGGAGAACCGGGGAGCAGTACGCCGAGCAAAGCGGGCGCAGCGGGAACCGCCTGAGCAGAGACGCGAGCGCCCGGATGAGCGCGACCGGGGAGCGGATCAAGGACCGCGCAAGTGACTACGCGGATTCTGCCGGGGACTCGTTCCGGTCGGTCGGCAGCAAGGGACGCCAGTACTACGAGTCGGCGAAGGAGACCGGAGAAGAGGTCGCCGAGGCTCCGCGCCGTTGGTGGCAGTTCTGGAAGCGCAAGGCGGGCGACGTGGAGCGCGACGTGAGCGGCCGCGCGCGCGGCGCGGGCCAGCGCGCGGCGGAGGGCTTGCAGGGTCTGGGCCGCGCCGCGCAGCAGGGCGTGCGTCGCGCGGAGGAGGGCGTGAAGAGCGTGGCGGCGGGAGTGAACGGCGGGCGGAAGAAGGCGATCGAGGTGCTGGAGGTGCGCATGCGGATGGCGCGCGAGGTGCTGATGGACAAGTACCACGAGATCGAGACACCCCAGGTACGGCAGCCGGACTCCTTCTGAAGCTTTTGTTAGGTGTCCAACTATGGTTTGTCGTTTCGGTGGATAGCTAAGATGATTTCGAAGATGGAGTCGGACGCTTTGCTGCGAAAGAGCTGTTCTATATGATTGGCGCATCTTCAAAGTTGCCGACAGAGGAAAGCACGCCGCCGGGACCTCGAACTCACGGCTTCCAATCAAAATCCGAGAAGGGGCTCAGTGGCATCGCAATGAATCTGCATGCTTCATGTCGGCAGGATGTGGCTCTCTTGCTTACTTTTTTCGAGAAGAGTTTCGCTCAGGCTTGGTATATGTCAAAGGGTCTGAATTTACTCACTAGCTTACTCTTTCCGCCCCATCCTCTGCAGCAACTCATGGACCGCCTGAACGCCTACGCCGCGTACGCCACCCACCAGGCCCACGAGGCGACCCACCAGGCCCTGTCCACATCTCTCGCGGTCGCCCACCAGGCGCAGTCGGCGGCAGTCACCGCGGCGCGCGTTCTGCACCTGCTGGCCTTCTCGGTGGCGGTGGGTACCGGCTTCTGGGTCACGTTCGTGGCGGGGGTGGTAATGTTCAACGCGCTACCGCGCCGCCAGTTCGGGTTCATCCAGAGCAAGCTGTTCCCGGCCTACTTCCAGGTGAGGACTTTCACTTAGGACAGACGAAGTTGCGTCTGTATTCCAGAACAACTCACCTGCTTTTTCTACCCCTGTCTTATTTCGGCGTTTAGGCTCTTTTGCTTTGCATCAGCGTCTTAGTGCACAACTCCAGGGGGTCATCGACTACGCCTGAGCCTCCTCCTCACGCTGCTTTTGCACTTGCACACAAATTAAGAAGCAACCGTTTATAAGGCAGACATTGAAACTGGTCTAAAGAGCGCCCCGTGAACCCCGTGTCGCTTGACGTTCTGCCCGCCACCCGCCACTATGCTCCATGTTCGCCGAGCAGCCGACACCAGCACGTTCTCTGAAGGCCCGAAGCGGCTCGCAGTGGATTGGCGATGACATCGCGGGGACGCCCTTTGTTTTCGGTCACTGCTTAGAATCATGCCTACATACAAAGTCCAAGTTTCCGTTAATCACGGTGGGTGAAATTCTGCTGCTTCTGCGCTCACCCCTATGTCTCGTCATCCCCGCAGGTCATGGGCCTGTCCTCGTCTATCGCCCTCATCACCTTCGCGGCCATCCACCCGTTCTGGGGCTCCTCCCCCGAGGAGCGCCTGCAGATCCTGGTGCTCGGGACCACGCTCGCGGCCTCGCTCACCAACCTGCTCTACCTGGAGCCCCTGACGACCCAGGTGGGCATTCACACTGCCGCTTTTCCCGGGCACTTTGTCAGCTGTCAGATTATGCGAAAACGCGTGGCGACGTTGGCGACGGCGGCCAGGGGACAGAAGCAAACAGAACTCCCAGGTTTCTTACGGTTTGCCGTTGGAGTATCTTGTCTGGGCCCTTCGATCTCTGCTTCTGCGGGCGAACATTTTGCAACGTTTGCCTCAGGAATACGTCACCACTGGTATCCTCTTGAATAACTTTGCATGTTTCTTATATGACAGATGAAGTCAGATTGTACGTGCATTATCAGGAACTTGCCTGTTTCCTCTGCAGGTGATGGAGGCCCGGTCTAAGTTCGAGCAGCGCGATGCGGTCGGGGAAGAGCACCCGGCGAAGGGCGGCGCTCCGGAGACCACGAAAGCGAGCCCGGACCTCGCGGAGCTCAACAAGCGCTTCGGGGTCCTGCACGGCCTGTCGTCCATCGCCAACCTGGTCGCCCTCAGCGGGCTCTCGGTCCACCTCTGGTACTTAGCGTCCCGGCTAGTTTTGTAACTTCTGATGATGCTGGGAGTCAGTTCATTTGTCGTATCTAGAACGGCACAAAGATGAAGAGTCAATTTTGTCTAGGTAGGAGTCGGATAGTGGCGGAGAGAGTCGTCCGAATGACTCTGCCGGCCCGGCCATACGGAAGTCAGTTTCTATTGCTATTTTGGGGCGAGAGAACAGTATGTTTTTGTAATAGGATATACGGTCTTTGTATGGATTGGTGGCAGGAACAATTTAGCGCGGCCCGCACGAGACTATTCAGTCTTGAACTAACTTGATCTATTTGTACAGCCTGCAAAACCTATCGTCGGTCGGTTCCTTTCATTCGAGTCGATGCACTAGCCTTGGCATTCCCAACATTTCAATTAAGCTTTGAAATGCACGAGCATCCATGTGCGACCTCAACGGCTTCTCATACATGGAAATATTTGAAGTGGATTTGATGCCAGGCAGCGCAAAACTATATGCGTTCGTGTATTGTCATTTTGATTGAGAGCAGCATCTTGTTTGGCGCCGGCTACATGCCTTGCTTATACATTTACTGGCGCAAGCTCACAAATTGCTCCAATTCTCCGGGGCACCATGCAGTAATACACGATCGACACGTCCGGTCATCTGGTTGTACTTCAGTCAAGCATCATTTCCATTTGTGAGCTGCGGCTTCGTAGCGGGCAGCTCCATGCATGAGCTGAGCGCGCGCGTGCGCGTCCCCATGGCAAGCTAATGCGTGGCGGAACTTTCAAGCACAGCTAGCCTACACTCAGGATGCAGTGATTAACGTCAACGAGATTTTGAATCATTTTTAACTTGCAGAAGGCTACTGTTGGTACAGTTTAAGAGTGCATTCGAGATTCACGGTACACTTAAGAACAGCTTTGATAGTGCATGATATTATCGATGTTCCAACTCTCAGAAATTACTTGGCATCTGAACTTCGAGTCGGTGCCGCCTGAAGAGATAGACTTCTGAGCTGCTTCAGTCTTTCAGAGTAAGTTGCGCAAGGAGGAGGCCTTCTGTTGCCCTTCTTGACTTTTCATTCCATGCAACCAGATCGCGAAGGCAAGCCTGGGGAGGTGAGCATGGCGACTCCGCAATTTCAAGGAGAACTTCAACCCTTGCGGGGAGGCGTGACCTTGTAGGTAGCTCTGCAATTCTCGATCATGTTTTCCACGTGAAAGCTTAGGCTAAAGGAGAGCAGAAGCCTTTTGATTATGAAGAAGCGCACTCCAGGCACTCGAATCATGGCGACAAAAAGAGGAAACTCTGGAGGACTCGAATTCCCTCGCTTTAAAAGACTCTTCCTCTCTGTCCTGACTGAGCTTAAAGGGAAGATAGAGGGACAAGTTGAGGAGAATCCTAACCTGCTGGCGATTTCATTCCCTGGCTGCAGGGCACCGGTGAATGTCAATCTGGATACGTTTTATCAGGGATGCGGATGCGGGCCTTCAGCAACTGAAACCACGTGCCTGGCAGAGTTGAAAAGGGTCCTCCGGAACATCGTTGCAGTCCACAGCGACTTTCCAAGAGCTCCACCTTTGAATGACCTCTTCATTGCAGTGAAGACCAGCAGCTTTGTCAGGGACTTTGAGAAGAACCGAGGCGCCGCAGACTTTTCCGTGGGTAATGGTCGCCAAGCTAGAATGATAGCTCAGCAGTTTGGCAGCCAGAGTGGCGAGCTAGTGAAAGCTGTGGTGATTGCGCAGACCGAATCTGACTACTACATAAGCGACGAAGTGCTCGAATGGTGGAACATGTCGGAGCCAGAAGCCTTCGAGGTGGCCATGCGGAACACAGAGCGTGCTACACCAGACCCCTTCAAGATCAACCATGCAACGATGGGAAAGAATGCACGCATGAGAGCCTTTTTCAGAAGACAGAAGCAGAACCCCTTTGAGGTCTGCTGCATGCGCTCAGCTGATCGGGAGGAGAGGCCTCTCTTCGTCTGGGGAACGTTCCAGGACAATCACGCTCTTTCCAGACTGATCCTCCCGCGAGTCATTGAGAGCTGCGCAGAAGAGCTCCGGTGCTCTGCTACCAGTTTGGTCGTCATCCCGATGAAGAAGTGCGAGTTCTTCGTTGGAAACTGCGAGAGCATGGAGAGCGTGTGGTGGCTCGCTATTCAGGTGCAGGACAACGCAGAGGTTCTCAAGTCTCGTGGACAGCTTGTTTCTTCAAGGCCTTTCAGGGTAAGCTCTTTACTCAAGGAATTTTTCCACGCGTCCTGAGGTTCGTTAACTGAATCAGAATGGTGCAGTATCCTTGTAGGATTGCAAGTCGATCAACCTCAGAGTACATGCATTAACAGAATGGAATCTCTTGTTGGACATGCAAGCTGTCCCTGAAGATTACGAACAAGGGGATCTAGCCTTGAAGCGTCTAGTACTCGCTTGCTTCCCAAAATGATAAAAGCTGCTCTTCGTTTGCAAAGCCTGCATCCCCTCTTTTCCTTCCTATGCTTTCAAAGAAAGGTATCAATGCTGGTAGAAGTAAAATTAAATAGCGCTTTGGATCAAGATCTCAATTGTGTTTGTACGGATTTAGATGAGTCTATATATCCTTGTCGCGACCTTCATTTTCTCCTCTGATCTCGAAAGAACATCAAGAAGCACAGAGAAAGGGATCAATACTAAAGCAGAGGCTTCTCTCCACAATTCCAGGTCACTCACTTGCGCAACGACCAGGGTCTGGTATCTCTCGAGCCGTACCCCCTTCTAGGTGGCACGATTGGACTTGGTCGGTGGGACGGATCGGTCAGGCGGCTCATGTTCCCAATCCCAAGGACTTCAAAAGAGCTGGAGTCTACAGATCCTGCAAGAGACGGCAGAGTTTTCTACACCTTCATCGAGGAGTCGAGCTTCCTGTCGGAGAACTGCTGGAATGTAAGTCCCATTGAAATGGAGTGCCGTTTTGGCTACGTGGATTTGAGTACTTGGTATATTGTACAGATGAATGCAGTTTCGAACTAGCCAGCAGATCCTAACTTCGATCCCAGATCCCTTGGTTGCCCGCTTTACAAGTGGACTTCGCGCATCCCAGCGATGCGGACTTATTTGACTCCCTGGCGTGGGACCTGCGGGGTAGCGTCAAGGAAAGGCAGAGTTCGATTGTTTGCAAGATTAAGCATACGTCTGATAATGGAATGACGCCAATGCCATGCGCTTCTGCAAGCTCTAGCTATGACGAGCTTTTCAGCGCACTTTGCGCCTCCTATCTGTCACGCGGCACAGACCTTGTTCTTGAAGTCCCTGCGGAAGAATGCTTACGCCATCATTTCTGCTGCTTGATGCAACAGTGCCGTCAGAAGGTGAGCCCGCTCATGAAGTGCGCCAACTGCCAGGACGTCAAGTACTGCTCCAAAGGTGAGGAGAGACGTTGCTAACGCAGGGTTCGACCGAGTCCTCGAACACACCCGCTGAAAGAGGGTGTATGACCGGAGCGGCCCGTAACGTCAGCACCGGTCATGCACGTGCAGAATATCGAGCTCAGGGACTATCACCGCACTTAGGTCTGTTGGCGACACAAGCGCAGAGAGGCACGGATTACAGTCGCCACGTCAATAGGACAGGTCCTGCGACGCCCTGTTTAAGCCGACCTGCGCCGCTTGAATAGCAGTCTGGCTGCAATTTGTCCGATACATCGAGCTGCTCTCGTGCTGTATTTCAGTGGAGTTGCTTGCCTGCTCTTCATTCATCTGTAAAGATACTCACTAATGATACCCTGTGAGAGCAAAAATTGAGGGTCTGTGGAGTCTGAGTGTGGGCGATTCCCTACGCAGAGTGTCAGAAGGAGAGCTGGAACAAGGGCCACAAGTTCGAGTGCGAGGCGCGGAAGAAGGCAGCCGATCCGGGTTTTGTCGCGCCCGGTTCTCGAAGCGCGGACAGGTTCGACAGAGAGAGCAAGAGAGCGGCCGCGACTGTCGGACCAAGGACGTTCCGCGAGGTGAAGAAGGAGCTGGCCGAAACGGTGCAGAAGAGCTTGGAAAACGTCAGCCTGTGATCACGGAAACGAGTCAGCAGCTGTTATTTGCTCGGGTGACTGGAAATGGATGCAGCTTCCCCAGAATATTCGAGCGATACGACTATGGATTGCATGATCGAAGAATCCCATAGTTGCAAGAACGTACGGTGGTTATTAAGGGGCTCTACAGCCGCCCTTTCTGCCTGCAGCACTGACGAGGACTTCAGCTTAGCAGAATCGTTGCAGCCCTAAAAACCACTTCAAAATGGTTTCCATCATGAACTCCCATCAGTTACGTGGACATCACTCAGCCCGAATGAAATCTATCGTATGGCCGTCCTGTTGATTACTAAGCCGTCCATACGGATGCCACACTTGTACAGTGCGTCGTTTGGACCGTCGAGTGCGCGTGAGCTCGATCAGGGCGGCTGTACGTACGTTGCATATGGTATTTGCCCGGCTCATTACTGAAGTATGCAATTGCCAACAGATCATGTGCGCTGGCACATGCATGATTGCATCATTGGCGTTCGCGGGCCGGCCCCTGGTAGTTACAAAAGGAGTACGTTGATTAAGGCAACAACCATGTCTTGGTGATGCCGGGGGCCGGCATGCATCACCAGTTGATTGGGTAGATGTCCTGACCAATGGCAACTTGGCAAGTTTTTTGCTATACCAATGAGATATGTGCTTCGAGCTTCTTTGATCTTAAACTTCATTACTCTTGAAACGAGCAGATTGATTTGTCCGTGATCATTGGAACCGACTCATGAATCTCTTGTGCAGACTTGGCCAGCAAATGTGGACTAAGTGACGCCCTATGCGGTGGCCCCCAAACTCATTCCCAGACCTAAGTTGCAAATGCTAGGCACTCTCGACGATCACTGAGGCTGAAATTCCAACCATGTAAGAATTTAGCCAATATATAGACACAGGGTATGCCATCCTACTACTCAAGCATGCATGCGGGCAGCCGCTGCTTTGGAGCCTTCCTATATTCGACTTCCTACATACTACAATTGACGTGTAAGTCGCCCTAAGCTAGCAACATACTACTACCTTTGGAACTAATTTTCCTCTGATATTGTCAATACGAAGTCTTCTGTTCTCTCATGCAACAGGTAAACGGCAGCAATCTTACTTTATAACAGGCTGATCGTATCCACCCAGCCAAACGCATGATGCACATCGCTTGCAGCGAGCGCAGCTCAACATGGGTGACCTGACGCGATCCCCCAAAGCGCGTCCCACTGCACTTCTTTCAGCCGAAGCAGCCTGCCAGACACACCGGCAGGCATTCCCAGCACCCCATATGCAGACGACTTTGTGACATCATCAAATACAAACCCGCCCACAGGTCAGCTCCATCCTAAGCCCTTTGCTTATGCTGCCGTTCCCATACTCAGACCCCTTTGACACTATTTCTACAAACTCGCAAATCCCACCCAACCTACCACAGCGAGCCCATTACGGGCTCACGGCATACGGCACCGCCTCACGGTAGCTTGCGTAACCAGAGTGGGCGCGCCGCCCACCCCCGCCCGTCGGGCTCGACAGCTCCTGCAGCTGTCGCATCAGCTGCATGCGCCGCTCCTGCGAGTACGCCACCTGCAACCCCAAAATATTTTGTTTCTGACCCGCCTGGCTTAAAGGACTCTCGACCGGAACCCAGCCGCTAGAAGGGCGCACCGGATGACACCGGATCAAATCTGGATGCGTAGCTTCCTTCCCCTTCACCGGAGAGCATCATAATCATGTACTAAGCTCTGCATCATCGCTTGTAACTTCGCTAATCGCATCGAGTTACACCGTAACCGGTTCCCGACGCAGGAGCGAGGGTCAACGCCTGGCTGAAGGAAAGGCCACACTAAGTTGGCAAGAACCCAAGCCTACCAGGTCTGTAGGGTAGCCAGAGTATCAGAACTGGAGACTCGATCCATGGTTTGGAGAAAACATCGGGAGCACAAGGAACATAAGTAAAGACTGTTATCCATTCCGTTCCGTTCACAATTTCACGCCCTCCTGTGTCGTTTCAGTCATCCGTTGGTTGCATGGTCTTTCTAATCCTTTTTGACAATCTGTGGCTCTTACCTGCGAATCCAGCGAACCGAGCCCTCGAGAGGTCGAGACCAGCGGAATGCTGGCGGACGAGGTGGAAACGGAACCGGAATCCCCGTTGCTCAGGTTCGACCGCCGGTCCTCGCTGCTCGGGCTGTCGCGCTCGTCATCGTCGGCCGCCGTGACAATCCCCGCCGCCTCTAGTTGGTTCTTCAAGTAGTCCGCGCCATCGGAACCGAGCCTGCAAGGGGCACATCAAAAAAGTGAACACCGGAAAGCGGATGCGGATGTATTACTTCTTTTCTTTTGTGCAACGTAGCTGCTCTCCAGATGCTCTTGTCTTGTATGATAGAGACTTTTGATCAAATCCCGCCGCCGCAATCGGTTCTTCCAACTAACCGGTGGCATTGGCGCCAAACCCGCGAAAAACCAGCGTGGAACCTGTCTGATTATCGAAGCTTCAGAAGCACAAGCGTCGATTCCAAACCCATACCAGAACATCCAAGGCATCAGTGCAATGATCCCTTACCTGTGCAGATTCACCGCCCCAAAGCTCCGCTTTCCGCCCCCCGTTAACGGCACGGGGGGCAAGCGCATCAGGGGGCCTTTCGGCGTGGCGGGAGCGGACCCCCCCGCGAGCCCCCCCCTCGCCGGTGACTGCTCTTTGGACCCCCCCATTTGTTGCAGCACTCCAAATTGTTGCAGCCCCGCAGCCTGTTGCAGCCCCCCGCTTTGTTGCAGAATTTGGGCGCGGCTCATTTCGAGGCGCAGCTTCTCCTGGGCTTCTGCAAGCGCGACCTGCTGCTTGAAGTACTGGCTCTCGCGGGAGGCGATGTCGACAGCCGCAATCTGCGCCAGCATCTGAGGTGGGGGGAAAGAGAAGGATTAGCGCAAGGGATAGCCGCTTTCCGAGAGACAGTCCTCGGCTCTCGTTAGAGCTACCTCGATTGTCACACTTGTATGCGAGCACTTGACTTGATCGTCAAGGGAAATCGGGCAGGAGGAAGTAGTGCGCTGTTCCGGTTTCGGAGAACAAGAAAGGGCTACGGGGGGCGGGATTGGCTAGGACAGTCTTGGGACACACAGACAAGAAGATGGGTTGCACATGGAGAACTGCAAACTGGTCCAATGGGAGTCCGGGAAAAGAGAGGAGCCAAGGGTTTAGGCGATTCTCAGGGTTGACATATGCAGTGAAAACCAAAAGTGTCGAACTTTTATTGAAGCCGTGCACCGTGATCGGACTCCGTTACTTCTTCGCTCACGCAGCAGATATTGGCGAGGACGCCTTCGAAAGGATTTCGGGGTTAAAGACAAACGGGCGTACCTCGTTGTTCTTCTCCTTCTCCTCTGCGTACTTCCTCAGCACCGTGCTCAGCTCCGCCTCTAGTTGCGATCTGCGGAGATGGTAATCAACGACTAGAGATAAGCACTAAGCAACGCAAGCTTCTCTAAGGGAAAAAGACATGAAGAGACTAGACTGACAGAGAGGCACCACAGACACGAGAGGCTGATCACGAGACCGCTCGTCTCCTCACGGGATTGCGCAAAGCGGGCTAGGGACTAAACGATTGAGATTCGGGTCAGGCAGTTTTGCGAAGGGCGACTTTGATGAAGCACATCGTCCTGCAAACTTGCTCTCATAGAGATGCACAAGACTTTCAAGAGAGAAGTGAATCGACTCACGATAGAGCGTTAAGGTCGCATATCCGCTGCAGCCGCTTGTCCATGTCATCGAGCCCGGACGCTTTCCGCCTGTTGAGCATGTCAATCTGTAGGTCGTCGATCTGACACGTGGCAAGCAATGGTCACGTCAGCCTCTTCCCTGAGTGCCACTCGTCGCCAAGCAGCCCAGGTGATTCAGAAAGCAAACACGAGCAACTATTGAACAGAGAAGAATCAATTTGCTGGAAAGATGCAAGCGAAACCAGATAGGCAGACAAGAAAGCAAGCAAGCAAGCAACAAAGAGAACGAGCAACCACGATCACAGAAGTCGGAAACCAAAGGCAAGCCAAAACTCGGACCACGTGATATAGCAGCTGAGGGGGCGAGAAAACGGAGTAAAGACAAGGAGAACCTAAAATCAAACCGACCAAACTGATCTCAAAATCCGAACTACAGCTAAACTATAGTCTGCTGACCTGCGTCCGCAGTCGTGTGACGTCCTTTTCGAGCGCCACAATCTCCTGCAGCTGCATCTGCGCCTCGGGGTCCAGGTCTTTGGAGTGCTCCAGCATTGCGCTCGCGGCGCCCATCGCAATCTCCATCAGCGCGTTCTGGTCCGCCTCGTGCACCAGCGCGCCGTTCAGCCGACGTACCTGGTTATAAAAGGGAAAGCTGCCTTGTGAGCCTCCTGAGCGGAATGTGGAAGGGCTGGGGATCGTTAAGATCGTTACAAGAGCCCAGGCCAAACTCTACAAACCAGACGATGAACACGAAAAGTCCGCAAAGGTTCGTGCCGCCTCTCTTTCTGAATATTGGCGTACAACATGATCAAGGACAAGTAAAATGCTCTCACTGCTCTGGAATCCGTTGCTCAGTCCCGTGTTTGCATTCGAGGTCGGCATACATTCGGAAGAGAACCACTCCAACCAAAAGCTCGGGACCCACTCCACAAGGCACCAGTTTTCCAGCTCTAGACACCCAAAAACATCACACTCCGTAAGCGGCGCCCCTCACCTCTTGCTCCAGATCGTACCGCCGGTCTTGCAAGCTCTGCTTGCGCAGGCGCAGCGCCTCCTTGAGCCCCGCGTTCTCCTCCTTCTTCTTCCACACCGCCACCTCCAGCACGTCGCGCTGCTGCGTCAGCCGTTCGATCGCCGCCAGCTCCTCGTCCTCCGTCAGCTCCCGCACGTCCGGCTCGTTCCGGGCGTCCGAATAGCCCCTCGGCGCCTCCGGATAGACCCTCGGCGCGTCCGAATAGCCCCTCGGCGCGTCCGCATAGCCTTTCCGGCCGTCCGAATAGCCTCTCTGGGCGTCCGAATGGTCGCCCTCGCCCTCCCGCGCCAGGGTCGTGCCGCTGAGGTCGTGCCGGACGGTTGGCTCGTCGAGTGACGTCAGCACATGGGCGCCGTTGACTCCGTCGAGGGCGATGCCGGACGAGGAGGCGTCGCTGTCGCGGCTGAGGTGGGAGGGGATGCTCGTCTGGTATGACACGCGGCTCGTGTCCCGGTACATGTCATCGGAGAAGGAGCGCGAGATGGTCGCGCTCGTAAGATGCTCGTCCTCCTGGAAACGAGAGTTCAGCGTTTCCGGCTTTGAGATGCTAAGTCTTAACATGTGGACTTTGAGTTTCGAGGCTGAGGAATACGAAATTTTTGCTTCGAAAAGGGGACGTCCGGAGGTAGTCAACCATCGAGATCTCAAACGCACCCCGCTTCGGGATTTATTGAAACGCAGATACGCAGTTCGACCCGCGCACCTCCTGAGAACCCACATCAAGCCCCGCAAACGTCCTCATTGATTCTGATCGTGACGCTCCTCTCAACCCTTCCACGTTTCCAAACCCGCCAGTCACATCCAAACTCCACACTTTGAGAGCTCTAACTTTCTAATCCCCTCACCACGAAGAGATTGTCAAACTCCTTCATCATCGCCCGGATGAGCGCACCGCCCACGTTCGCCGCATTCATCGCCTGCAGCATCGCGTGCTCCTCCTCGGACGTCGGCCCCGCGCCCCCGTCGTCCACGAAAATCGGCACGTCGCCCGAGAAAATGGGCCGCAGCAGGAGAGGCGCCATGCACCGCGCGACAGCGTCGGCGTTCATGAGGTTGACGGAGGAGTTTGACGCAACCGTGAGCATCATGCGCAGGACCCTGCAGTTTGGGGAGGATTGGTTAAGTTGGCACAGACCATATGTTCGTTTTCAAGCTTGACTTCGTTGTTTAGCAGAGCAATGTTCATTATTGGTGAATATGAAGCCAACTGGGCCGTGGGAGGCAACTACGAGCAATCAAGTACCTGGCGTCATCAGCGATTGGAGGTCGGGGTCAAGGAATAAGCAGCATTCAATTGCAGCTTTCGCCATAAGGCAGCAAGTTGACCTTGGGCGATGCTCAGGCGAGAACTGCCAACAGCCGTGCTTCCATTAAAGCCAACTTTCGCTTTCCAAAACGGTTGGGATTTGTAACGCTCTACCTGTCAATTATTCCTAACATGACCAAAGAAAGTATGGCCACTACTTATGATAATCATTCTCCATACAATTCTTTTGAACATTTTGTAGAATGCAAATCAAAGCAAATCTCCTCGACAATTTTCAATGAGTCGGTTTTCAGTCCTCTTACCGCTGCAATAGTCGCCTATTGGGCTCGGGGAAACTGTCGGCCACCGCAATGCGCATCTCCTCTATTTGGACGTTCCGATTAGGCTTCCCTGCAGGCCCCAACCGAACATTTCAGGAGCTCCTCATCGAGGAGAGATTTCGTGAAGGAAAACCATCCTCAGGTAGGCGTTCTCGATAACGTGCAAGAAACACCCGAAAAAATCAAAGCGCACTGATATCTGTGGAGCTCGGCGACTGCGAAACCGACAGCTTAAGTGTCTGGTCGCTCAGATTGTGGACGGGTTGACCATGCTGAGGCTACCATGATGCCATTTACGCAGCTTTGCAAACTGTGGACAACCTACTGGCGGTCCAGCCTGTTCCAAAACCTCAAAGACCAGACGTGTTTGCCAGTTCCAAAACGCCCCTTCCACCTTTCTGAAAGAGACCGACATCCTTGAAACCTCAAGGGGATCCCTTACGATATGCCCGGATGAGCGCGGCGCAGCAGAGGTCTGGCACGGGCGACGACGGCAGCTCCCGCAGCACGTGCTTTATGCAGTCCCCGATTACGTGGGCGTCCTCGTCAGGCCGGAACTCGTTCGCACCTGCGGCAGCCAGGGGGGCACGATCGGTGTGAATGGCCCGGGCAAGATTCCGGTGCTTCGCAGGCACCCGGGATTGCGCTATGAGATGGAGCGAAGAGCAAAGTGTTGCAATGGACGCTGGGCGAAAAGGTCTTGAATCAAGACGAGGAGGTTGGGTAAGAGGAACCTGGTATCGACAAAGGTTTGAGTCGGCTTTCTAAGATGGACGGTTTGATTCGAGACTGCGGCTCTGAGCACCCTACAAATCCAAGCCCTGACTCTCAGCACGCTAGGGATCCAACATCTCAAGACTCTCAGCACTCCACAAACAACGAAAGCAGGCCTTGTGCGTACCTTGCTCATACGCTTGCACGCGCTTCTCCACGAGTTCCACGTCCGCCGAGTGCCGCAGGATGCCTTCCACGTTCACGCCGGTGGTCTCGATGAACTGGAGCGCCTTCTCCAGAAACGACGGGCTCCCGTCGATGTCCTCCAGGGCGAGCAGGATGGGCCGTCCAATGACGAGCGACTTTTGCGGGCGTTTCTTCTGAGGGGGGGCTGCAGAAAGCCCGGGCGCGGGTCAGTCAAAAGGAAGCGTTCAAGAATGATGGTAGCCAAGGTAATTTTAGTCTTCGCTACGAAGTAAAACCCCAAGATCTACCCGCTCGCCCCCAAACCCGCCCTGATTGTCGGGTCTCATTGTACCCGTTGCATGCGGTCACCTCATCGTCGTACAACTCTCTTGAACTAGATACTCTAAAGGTGCGGGCCCCTTCAAGTATAGGCATCTCCGTTTTGCTCGTTCTCAGAGCAGTGTACTGTAGTGCAGTAAAAACCTCAGGGTGTTGACGCATAAGTATGGGCAGGAACGACTCATTTGGCTTCATCAACAATCCTGTTCAGGCAGCTTCGGAGAAACCATAAGCACCGAACCTACTGAAGAAAGGTCCCAGAAATGATACTGATGAAGCCAAAAACGAGCTAAGATCGCTTGAAATACAAATAAGAGCACATTTCAAATTCGGAGACCCTACACTTATACTCCCCGCTGAAGTCCCGGCTGCTGTCCATTGTATCGCTCTTGTATGAACTCTCGGGCTCGCCCTCGGGCTCCGGGTTGGGCGCGTCGACCAGCGCTTTCTCGAGCATCTGACGCCACCCATCGAGCTCGTCGAGGGACTCGGCCTACGAAAGTTGGAAATTAGAAATTTTTAGAGCTTTGATTCCCCCATAAGCCGGAGGGCTTTGGGACTGCATCGGCCCTGTGACTCCCGCATTCACAATTAAACATTCCAATTACTAAGTTTTCTGTAAATTGGTGGAACACTTTGCATCATCCCTCAAGTATTTGAGAAGAGAATTTTGCAGGGTCTGGTCGTAGGATACATCCTCACTCTCATATTCTCCACAACTATTGCTTCAAGGTGGTGCTCAATCAGAAACTTTCACGAATTCAGCCCCAACTCTCCTCTTTTCCTCAAGATTCCTGCCGGGCACTAACACCTGTCTCGCTGCATTCAACTCCGGGAAAGTAGATTTCTAAATGGCGGATTCACCATGACCCCCTAGCACAATGACATCAGCAGCCTTGAAGAGTAGTCTCGATTTCATGTTGAGTTACGGCTATGTTGAGTTAGGTCATGCCCGGGGGACGGGTGGGGTTGGTTTGGAGATTTAGGGTGGGTACGGATGCGGAGCATGTTAACTTTGGGTTTAGGTTTTTAGTTTGTTAGCGCCCGGGGTACTGATCTAACTCAACTTACACCTCACTCGACATATAATCGAGACTTATGCCCTGAAGCTCTTGCCAGTCGTGACAATGATTTCCGCCACCCCCAGGCACAAGAAGACACGGGGCTTCTATCAAACTACGTGCGCTCACAACCAACGAATCTCCGGTGCTCAGAACCGGCCGGCCCAGGAAAGACCCCCAACTTTTGCTAACAAAGCTTTAGTTCAGGTCGCTAAGCCCGCAGACTGCTTCGCGCCTTCCGCTGGCTCCTCTCTTCTCTTCTGACTGTCCTAACGATGGTGCAGCTCGTATTGCAAGCTGAAGAAGGCAGGCCCGACCAAGCCAAGAGAGGTGTGCTGTGTATGAATCTTGGCAAAAGCGGCAGCGATTGAGGAAACTGCTTGGTTGTCATGCAGCCCTGACTTTGGAAGGCCCTGGAGCACAAACCGTGGGGTCTCGGGGCTGTGCGAGGGGCCGCTCACCTTGAAGGTGTAGCTGCGGTTGTCCGGGAACATGAGGATGATCATCTTCTTGTCCAGCTTCGCCAGCACCCTGAAGACGATCAAGCGCACCTTCAGACTCTCTTCGCTTCTCAATTTCTTCACAATCTCCCTTCCCTGGAGGCCTCTTGATCGTCGTGTGTTGCAAAGCGGCTATGATGCCCATTCTCCCAACCCCCAGCCTCCTTTTACTGAGTCTCAGTCATGTGGCGGGATGTCTACAGATGGAGGGTGCACCCGAAAGTTTTCCCCAACTTTCTAGCAGGGGAGCCACCTCCCCTGCAGAACAGGCTGATGCTGCTACGACCATTTCCCGTGCTTGCCTCCGACTTGACGCGGTTGTGCTCATTCTCACGGAGCTTTGAAACAGAGTTCATCAATGACAGCAAGCACAACAGGTTTGCTAGAAGGCTCAAAAGTACGCATGGCATGAGCACATAGAAAGAAACTCAACACAAAGGTCTTCTCCAGCAATTTGCTAGTATGCAACAGAGCAGACCATCAGGACGCCCCGACCCACACGATTCTCTCCGTAGACTTGCCAAGCCCAAAGGTTGTGTGCGCACCTTCCCGTGTTCACCAGATTGATGCCGTCCAAAGCGTCTGACGGATTGATTGGCCCGTTCTACACAGCGCCAAAACAGGATTGTTAGGCTCGCAGAGGGACTTGGGGCCTTGAACTTTGTTTTCTTCATGCGCCAAGTCTACCATTCTCCAGTTTGATCTAGCTCAGGTTTGTGTAACGTGCTTTCCGAAAGCAGGATCAACTGATGGAATCATCCCCTTTCGAAAGTGCTATGGAAGAGATCAGCCTTGAATGAACAACATGAGGCAGCTGAACAGCCTTCATTGAAAGTGCTGAATGTGGTAAATGTCATTTCTCATACCCCGCTGCTCCCTCTTTGCCAGAGCCGTCTCCCATGGTTGTCTCATTCTTAAATTGCTAGCATAAGTCGTTATAACACAACTTGGGCGCTTGTTGGGGCACCCTAAACCGCGGCATAACAAGTACAAAAGGCAAACATACGGACAACCTTCTTTTCTTCTCTTTCGGCGCAGAGGTCACATGGTTACTACAGAACTGCGAGCAGAACCAAACTCCAGATCCACATGAGACACGAACGAAGCCACTCACCGGCTCCCCCCTGAAGTAGACGAGCGCCGTGCGCGTCGGCGTCTTGGTAAGAATGAACCACCGCTTCTTCCATGACTTCCACCCCATGCCTGCAGGAAGAGACGAACCACCCGCCCGGTCTCAAACTTATGAGATCAAGCTCCTCAACATAGACACGGATCGTACTGTACAACGGTACTGAAATGTGTCTGAACAGCAAACACTCTTGCTTCTTCCCTCCGTAGCCTTCTGTCAATACACACCCTTCACACAAATGACTTGGTCTCGGACCGGGGCGTCGCCGAGACCGAGGAGCCTCGAGTCCCCCAATTGCAGTTCTCAAGGACATGACAGCCCCTTCAGCAAGCCCCAAAGGGGGGCCAAAGTCCTTGCCCACCCCTGCTTTGACTGTCCCGTTTCATTGGCACGACACAATACGTGCTTGACCCATCATGACATCGCCAACTGGTGCTATTTTCAACATGCCAGCAAAAAAGTGGGTCTACAGACGCGGCCTCCTTTTCCAGGCTCCAGAGTTAGGGTTCTGTTCATGAGTCATGAGGTCATCCTAGCCAACATAATCAATTCCTTGGAAGCTGCCCGCCCCCATCAGTCTAGCACATCTGAATCGCGCTCGTTAGTAAATTACCCCCTCTCAAGCCCCGGGCATATGATGCGCCTTTCGCCGTTCGCCTTTCGCACTCGCACTGCTGTGCTAACCCACCTGCTTGTACTTCAGCATGGCTCCAACTCACAGAAGCAGCCCCACAACGATATTGACCAGCTACCAAACCATCAACTGATAATATATTGCGTGCAAAGCGCACGTCTCAATTCTGCCCCTTTCTATTGTGTCCAGCCCGGCCAAAAGAAATTCAAGCACCACTGTTTGCTGGAACGGCAGGTGGGTGCACTGAGAAAGAAAAGCGGTGCGTACCTCTTCCGGAAATGTAAAGGTTCCCAGCCTTGAGAATCTGCATAGGGCGAGCGTAGAGTTTACAACGTGGAACAAAAGAACGGGTGGCGGACTCGGGAGACACTTCTACTTGAGTGAAATTAGCCCCTGGAGCACTGTACAATTTGAAAAGGGTGTGCAAAAGCTGCAGGTCTCGGTGCTCTGAGGTAATCAGACTGACGCTCGAAGCAGTGGTAGCAGCTCAAGAGGCCCCTTGCGAAAATTCTTTGCTGTTTTGGAGTATCTAAAAGAGTGACCCTTGCTCCAGTGACAAAGAGAGAGCAAAGCAGATCAAATGCCTTCAGCTGAGTAGACCAGGTCAAGCGGAGTGCCCCTGTACGGATTCTACTTTCGCATTTTATACTCACTGCAAGGACCCCTATATTTCTGAAAACATTCCGAGGAGCTGATAAAGCAAACACCGGCTAAAGTGGCGCTGCTGACGGCCAGCATCTTTCACAACTATCGGCCGACAGGCAGAAAGGTGAACCAAGGGCGACAAGCATGCCAGCTGAACAAGCTTGAAAAATCTGAACATCTAGAGGCATGAAGGGTAACCTACCCCAAGCTGCTTCTTGCCAGGAGGCCTGACATCGTATGATGCGTGGAAGGCCCCCTGACCTAGGGACCCAGACATGCCGTTCATACTCAACCGCTCAACAGCAGGCTGTAACAGCGACGAGTGGCGTATCAAGTCAACTTCGTAGTCTCGGTGTTGCTAAGTCACCTCTCGGTGACTGAGCTTGCTGAGTCCTTCCTAATGTCACTCCATTCGCTTTTACCCTCCTCTCGTTTCATCAACGCCGTTACTTTCATTGAGCGACTAGAAGCTTTCAGCACGTCTCATTGAGCAAAGACAAGCTCCTCCTCAACTGGACACTTGCTTCAAATCTTCGAAGCCCTCCCTTTGTATCTACTTTCAAAAGCGGTGAACAAAGACAGCTGCGCGAGCTCCCCTTTTCTCCAACTGGCTCCACCCACCGCATTCAGCTACCCTTTCAATGCACCAGTGTCTTCTCTGACAGGTTAGCTAAGATGCATGATGACCATGATGCTTTACGCGTAGGCCATGGACCATGGGCGCCCTCCCTGCGATACCAGCTCCCTAGTTTGCCGAAGGTTCCATCGTCAGCTCAGCTCGCCTCTCACGTGTGCCGCCAAGGCATGGATTTGCCTTCCGTCTTCTTCGGCATGTCCGAGGGCCGGCTGTTGTGTGCACTGCGCACGGTCAAGACTCAATACGTACTGGTCACAACATGAATACGGTATGCAGTGTCAAATTCGCGGGGGCCAAGCCCAACGTATTTGTGCCCGGAACAGACATGTGCCGCTGGTGGAGAAAGGCTGAACAGTGAAAACCTTGGGTTGTTGGGCGGCGACGTGGGCCGGTGAATTCAGCCGGCCGGGTGCTTGGCACCACTACGAAGGAAGTACACAGCTAGTAATCATCAGGTACCAGCCAAAAGCTGTTACCTAGTAGGTACCGTAGTATGTACCTACCGCTTCTACGAATCTACGGTCTACCTGCTACCAGAGGCCAGATAGTACCGGGTACCCTACTACCCGTAGTCTGGTATGCCTATGCTCCAATAATTGCGGGAACGAAACCCAGTCAGAAAGACTCAGAATCAATGTGATCAAAATCTCATCGTTGATTGGCCTGCCACAAAGTTCTGAAGCCGGATCGACGGCCGAGCTCACCTCTCGCAGGTGCTGAACTTCAATGAAGTAGATTGCGACGAGATTTCCGGAAGGGGTCGGCTGAGAACCGTACATGCTGTCGAGGAACCGGTCGGCATCAAAGTCGCAACTTGCAAGTTGTATTACTTAAGTAAGTATCTACCGTAGGTCAATTGTGATTCGACGATAATCATAACTTTTTGAAACTTTTGGCATTGTTCGTATTGCTTCACACGGTGAATTTTGGTAAAGACGTTTTCGTTCTAGTTTGAAGTTGCAGCTCTTCGTGAGGGAGCCGACAAGGGAGGCACTCAGGAGTCAGGAACTGAGTCTGAGGCTCAGGAAGCAACTCAAAGGGCGCTCTTCTATAGCATCGAGTTGTCCATCTGCTACGATTGACACAGAGAGAGCTGCAACTTTTGCATCTTGTCATGGTGAGTACTCTTTTCCGTTTGCTTGGCTGCAGCAAACATGGCTTCTCAGAGAGGCACTGGTTGTGCACGATGTGCAGGCAATGAAAGCTCGTCAAAGCATGCTAGGAGTGCCTGGAGACTTTTTCAGAGCTTTTATTCATTTAGAGTTTCAGGAAGTTTTCATAATTTCGATCTGGACCTCGCCGCCAGCCGGTTGATGGAGTGGGTTTGATTGACAAGATTGATAAGTTCGATAAGGTTGATAAGATTGATAAGCTTGTGAATTTCCTCGTACTCAAGTTATTGATTGCTAGGGTTTTTCCGGGACTGTTTGGCCACTTTCAAACCTCCTTGGAAGTGTTCACGCTTTGTAGGCTACAGCACAATCTGTAACAACAGCTTGAGTCTTATAGTCTGCCTCATTGATGCAGAAGCAATCAACAGCTAGTATTTATGTTGACTTCGAGCAGCATGGTTATTTTTGCTGCTATACGGAGAAACAATCGCCATGCCGCCCGCGTAACACAAATAGAAAGCTACCTCTGGTGTTGGTTATTGTGCATCATCCTCACAACAGGATCAGAACAAAATCTGCGGGCGTCACGGGATTGTTCCTATGCGTCGGGACAAATCTCCACGTGCAGATGAGCGTTTCGCCACCGCACAAGAAAGACCTTGACCAACCAGCTATTGGTCGGTGGCCTCACCCCTCAGGTGCTCAAGGTTTAATATTGCTTCCCTTTACTTGCAGCCAGTCAAGTCTGTTCGACGGACTGGCTCAAGTTTGGCCACCTTCAAAGAGTATCAATGTACCGAGCCCCAATTGCAGGTCACCTGGTGTGTACAGATTTCAACAGCAGGTCACCTGGTGCGATGCCCCTCAACCAAGGACAGTTTCCTTACAAACACATCCTAAGATGCACACAGCGGACCTGTGGGCATGATAATTCACGAACTGCTGAAAGAGAGACGTTAGTAGGTGGAAAATCATAGTCCAACTATCCGTTGCAGGAGGACTCACATCAGCTCCCGCACGCGGCTGAGCCGCACGATGCTCTGCGCTTTGGGCTTCCTACATTCAAGCAGGATGCTTTGCCCGCGCATCCGGTGGAAACAATGACAAAGAATGTGAGCGACCCCGCCTGTGCCTCTTGCTCTTGTCGAACCAAGTTGAGAAGCATTGAGTCTGTAGAAAGAGAGGATTAGCTTGTTTGTTCCTGTTTCAGGACTCTCAATTGCCGGGTTGGCATGCTCGAGTCCACTATGCCTGAGGATTCTTGATCCTGGTGGAAGCGGGCGACTGGTGATTGCTAGCATGGCCAGATCTATTGTATGCATGTTGAGAAGATGCTGAAGAGTGCTCAGTGAAGTAGGCTAGGAAACCAAGAGGGTGCGGAAGTTTTACGCGGTCGGATCTTTCGGAATACATTCAAATGAGAAGGCCTCAGGACAGGTTGTTGATGGACAGATGCAACATCTGCGGTTTGCTCCTTGCAGGCTCTCTTTATCGTTCAGCTGCGTGTTTTGAGTCCTGAGTAAAAAGCTTAGAGCATCTGTTGTTCACAGTGTATATCATTCGATGACTTGAAGAGCTTGGTTGCAGCGATTCACAGAGATAGAAACCAATCAGGAAACAATGTAGGGCCCACTCTGGCGCAGGAGATGCTCGGGGGTACATGTTTGAGTTATGAAGCTTTTAGCTTGGATTTGTATGCTGTCAAAATCAGTATCTAGGGTACATGTTCCTCAATTTTACAATCGAATACTACTGTCTTTCAAAATCAAAGGTTGTAGCCCTGCGTCTTTGAAAGCCTCCTGCTGGATTTCGTGCGAGATTGTTTCAGAATTTTTTCGGCTACAACGGCGTTCGTTTACTGGATTGTCCGACGTCGGACCTCAGCCACCATCTGATCCGTTCTACGAAACGTTCGAGATAGAGAGCTATCAAAACGAGCGTCATTGCGCGAAGAAAAGAGATTCGCTTGGATTATTTTGCAGTTTCCCAAGCAGCAATCGACGCTGAAGCAGACGCTCCTGACAAACGCGTATGGCGCCGCCCTGCCGATGCGCATGGAGATTGAGCGGCAATACCTGTCCAGGTGAGATTGTTGTCTTCTTAAATCAAGAGGGAAGTCACGCGCGATTTGGTCTTGCTGAAGCCGCTTAGGTAACGAAGACGGTTGTGCTTCTTCCGCTCAGTCCAGTTCTCAAGTTGGCGCAAGATTCAACGGATCCAAGCTTGCAAGGACGACGTCAAAGAGGCCTCGCTTTCGTTTGCAAGTAGGAGTCCTTTGCAACTTAGACCGGCCTGCAAAACCATGTTCATATTGTGCACGCCCATGCGCCATCTGATCAATGCAGAGTTGGTGCTTATTGAGGCACCAAATTGTGGACTGACGATCTACGATGTGTCATCGTATGTGCAGGCCTCATCGGTTACCGGGCATGCCAGATTCGCGCGTGAGCCTAGACTCCATGACGGGGGATCTGGACAACTTCGGCTTCGAGGACTATCTCAATCGTAAGTCTCCTTCCCTCATCTTTGTTTTACATCGAAGCCTCTCAATATGCTGCTGATTGATTGCTGATCATAAGTAGTTCTCGTAGTTAGAGCAACTTGACGGCCCTGGTTCTTTTTGGGAAGGAAGAGACCGTTCCTTCCGTCACTTTCAGGAAGTGGTTTAGTATCGTTTGAAGGGTGGGCTTTCGACGTTTGCATAGGCTGTGCAAGCACGAGCAACCGGTTTCAAAAGTGTGCCCCGCTGATTGCACCGCTTCACATGGATCCCCAGCTGAATTGGATTAAAATGAGTGCGCTGCAGGCCCTATCTCCTGAGATTTTCCTATTTCTGTATGCAGTGCCTTCCGAGCGGGAGTCGCAAAACGCGGCAGTGGACCCCCACTATGTGATGGAGGCCCGCATGGGCATGGTGCCCAAACCTTCGTCTATTTTGCGGTAGTGCCAGGTTTTCTTAAGCGGTTCCCATTCCTTGTTCTGTACATGATCCTCGTCAAAACTCACTCAACACAAGCAATGCTTCGCTTGCGCCTTGCCACGAGTCAAACATATCTCAAGCAAATGTCAGCCGGATACAAATCCCTGCGTCACCTGCTTTTGTCCACCTTGTGTTCAACTGCATGTGGTCTCAAATTGTCGGTGCAATCCCTAGCTTCCGGTCCTCCAATACACGCTTTTCTGTAGTGGCCGTAGTGGCACAATCAAGCATTTGGTAAATCCGGCAGCACGTGGGTTGCTGTGAGGCCGTGTGACAAATGCAGTGCCATCGGTGTCGGCTCGAATGCAAAGACTATGCCTCGTATGAGAGATTGCCTGCATATTGATTCGGGTACTAAAGACGTCCGAGCCGAAGGTTGTGACATGATGTAATGGCCGATCAAGGAAACATACTTGACTTATGCTTGAATCTCAATCATAACTTCCATGGTGTGCTTGTGAAACCACGTACATGGCAGTGCATGCTATAGCGCTGTGATTCAAGTTGACCGCCAGGTATTCTCCATCATTGACCTCCATGCAACTTGTTACAGATTCTGTCAAAGATTCTTCAATGCTGGCGATCGAAGTCTAGATACGGTAAATATACAGGCTGTACATTTTTTATGTACTGGATTTGAATACGGATATCATGATCTATACTCCGACCAGACGGTGTTACATGGCGGCACATGTGCGACCGGTCGGACATGATTCGAATCATGGGATCCCACTTCAGATGAGCGCAGGCTGCATGGACATATCATTGCGTACACTAGCGGCACGTGCACATGATCGGATATGATTTATGCCAGGATTGATACGTGAAGCTGCGTATACACACCTAGTCGGCGGCCGCTGGCCGCCTGGTGACTTCTAAGTTAACACTGACCCAGATGATCGGTATCGAGTCGGCCGCTACCCACCGTAGGTAGCTTGTGTTGGTGCATCATAGATCGATCAGTGCACTTCGGATGCCGCCGCGTATATAGTATTGTTGACAGATTGAGTACATGTGATTGGTCGAAATGCCAAATCTGCAGTGTACAATTGCATCGAAATGGTATCGACAGTTATGATAGTAACCGGACAGATGCGTACACCATGCAGAGTCAGCTTGCATGGGCATAAGGCAGCTGGAAGTGACTACCAGATCGAAGCAGATTAGAGAACGGCACATGTGCACACAGCCGGATTCGAGAAGAGGGCCCGCAAAATCTTGAAACAAACATGGATCAACCGCAAACAGACTAAGCAAGCGATGAACGCATGCATGACGAACCCCCACGATTCGCATATTTTGCAGCGCACAAACAGAAACTCCAAAGCAAGGTCTGCAGTACAAATACATACAAACTGCTCGTTGCAGCATGCCGCCCATCCCCAAAGGCTACCAATCTTTCCACAAGGGCGTCCAACTAATCTGCTCTAGCCCCTTGAACTGTACCAAGACGTTCTGTTGCAAACACCTGCATCCAGAAACCAGACTGCGATGCTGACTAGTCACAACAATCTGGTTCCTGATGCATCATGCTGTTCGTTGTGCTTCCACCCCCCCCTCATTCTTCTCGCACCCCTACTGGTGCTGCGGCGGAAGGGGCTGCTGTGCAGGGGCAAACTGGCCGTAGTTCGCGTGGCTCATCTGATATCCGGGCGGCACGCCCGCCTGCATCCCGTTCTTATCCAGCATGGGCCCATTTACATTCACGCCATGCATCCCGGAAGGCGGGTACGCCCCCGAGTTCGGAACCCAGTACATGGGGGGGTGCCCCATGTGCCCGTTACTAAGCAGGCCGTCCGCCACCCCCGGCGGCAGCGAGCGCGTGTGACGCAGCTGCTGCGCCCTCTGCATCCCCCCGGCCGATGCATACTCCGAAGGGCCGTTCTTGTGGCCGCCCCCGCCAGACCCCGCGTTGTTATTCCCCGGGTGCTGGGGATAGTGATGCTGCGGGGGGCCCTGCTGGGGGGCCGGCTGCTGTGGCTTCTGCTGGTGGTGCGACACCCCGTTCGCCTGGGGGGGGCCCGACCCGCTGCCACCGCTACCCCCCCTCTCCGCCTCCGTCCGGTTTGAAGCGCTTGCAGGGGAGAAGGGCGATGCCCCAGGGTGGAGCTTTCGAGCCAGGATCTGGGGGGGGATGCGGGAGTGCACGGCGTTGTACCCCCCCTGCTGATTCTGCCCCGCGTTACCATTGGCGACCAACCCCCCCATGCCAAGCAGATCGTCGTCGAGCAGATCGTTGATGAGCGACAAGTGCGGGAAGTCTTCGGAGAGCCCCGGGCTGTCCATGTGCGGCTGGCCCCCCCCTGCGGCAGTCCGCGCCGCATGCGGGGGGGTCATCCCCACCCCCTGCTGCGGGGCACGCTGAATGACCCCCCCCTGCTGCGGGGCACGCTGCACCCCCTGGTGCTGCGCCTGCTGATCCTGCCCCCCCGGAGCAGCAGCCGGCACCTCCGCACGGGGAGACCTCGGCGGAAGCACGTCCGCGGTAACGGATCCAAACTTGATGCCCTTCCCCTCCGGCTGCGCGGCCTCGGCCTTTCCCCCGCTCTCGTTGCCCCCGCTCGGGGCCCTCTCCGGGCTCATAGCGTGCATCGGAGGCGCGTAAACACCGCCCCGCTTGCCTCCCCCGGGCGACGGCTGCTCCTTGGCGGCAGCCTGCTCCGGCCCCGGGGCGCTCTTCCGGGGGGTGGCTGGCGAGGACGACGGGCTCTCCTGCTGGGACGAGGGGGTCACCGGTGGCGACGGCTGTGAGGAACTGCCCCTGCTCGACCCCCCCTGCTGTGTGACGATCTGCGGAGGCCCCCCGATTGGCGGGAACGCTGCCAGGCTGCTCGGCGGCGGCGCGCTGCTGGCGATCGGCGCCGCCGGGGCCGGCGTGGCCCCCCGGATCTTGCCCGCGGCTGCGTTGCGGTATGACGGGGCCACGGGTGCAGACGGCTGCTCCGGGGGGGACTTGTCCACCACCCTGGCCGTGCCCCCCGGGGCAGCGCTACTGAGCGAGCGGGCCAGCTGGGGGGGATCCCCCGAGGGGGTTGCGACGCCCGGGACGGGTCCACTGATGTGGCGCAGCAACGGCCCGTTCCCAGGAGCGCTCGTGGGCCGCGAAAGCGCTGCAGCTGCGGCGGCCGCCGCCGCGCTCGCCGCGGCGGGGGGCTCCTCCCGTGCACTGCCGGGAGTCCCGGGACGACCCCCCTGAGCGCGAATCGGGTATGCATTTGCCCCCCTGGAAGCGACTCCGGCCTGCTGCGGGGGGGTAACAACTCCTCGGACCCCAGGCCCTGTCGGTGTCGTGGACAGTGCATGCGAGGGGGCTTTCTGGGCGACTGCCGCGTTTGCAGGGCCCGCAGAAGCTGCGGTGGATGAAGTCCGAGACAGTGCGGAGGATGGGCGGGAGAGCGGGGCTGCCGACGGGAGGCCGTTGGGGAGGGCCTGCTGGCGGAGCTGCTCCTGAAGGACGACCACCTCGTCCTCCTGCAGAAGATGGATACAGTGGTGTTAGTATTATTATACTAATAGTACTAATATTCTTAGGCTATATTAATATTAGGCTATTATTAGGCTAACAGTGCAGGGTAACTAGTCCAGGAATGACCATGTAGGAAATACCGAAGTCACCGGCCCGGATCGGGTGGAATAGACAGGGACTTCGGGAAGGATTGCGCAGGGTCTTCATGACAGTGATGAATTTGATTTAGGTTGTCGGCTTTCTAGTCTCAAAGCTTGCCAGCCTGGACCAGAAGATCACGGGAAGCACTGTATGACTTCGTAGTTAGGATCGAACTGCTTTTAAAGCGTGACTTGAGACTTGCAAAGCGGGAGTGTGTATCTGACGAGTTTTTGACGAGCTTCATAGTTAGCAGACTGAGGATGCAGAAGAATCGAAAGGGGGCCTGCGTGATTCGGACACTTCGTTCAAACGGACCAGATTGCAATACACAGGTCGAACGTGCCCCGCCTTCCTGGACCAGAGTGAGGGGCGCAAAGGGTGTACATTGGTTATGATTCCTCCTTCTTACAGAGCAATGGATTCAACAACTTCAAGCGCACCTTTTCCTTCAACCTGTCCTCCAGCCACGAGACCCGCTCCCTGAGCGACGCGATGATGGCCTCAGCCTCGTGGCTGTCGTACTCCTCTGTCCCGCTGCTAGAGGGCGCACCGGCAGCGCCCGCCGAAGCCACGCGCTCCTCCAACTCGGGCCCGTCCATGTCGGGGGGGGTGGCAGCGCCCCCGGCAGGCCTGGGGAAGGAGTCGAAACGATGATGAAAAGCAAGTAAGGAGCACTGGCGTTTCTGCGAGCGCCGGGCTTTTTGCAAGGCTAGTGCTTTTCAGCGATCGGAGTATCGATGATCCAGGTACAAGGAAGAATGGCAAAGAGGAGGGGCAACAAGTGGAATTCGGGGTGAGGATAAAGACAGCTCTCGCCTCGGTTTTTGAAATCTAAGAACAGAACACATGTGGGTTAGAGGCAGTCAACTCCTTTCAAGCACGAGGTTGCGACTTGCACTAAGGCAGCACGGACAAATGACAAGCAACACGCACACTGTCCAAGTCCAGTTGGTTGTAATCAATCATCCAGAGTTGGGAGCAGCTTGGGAGCACGGAGCGAGGGGGATAGGGAGTCCCAAACCCCGTTAGTCGACTGACGTGGACAGAATTCGCACAAGCCTTCTGGTGTCCACAATGTGATTCCAAGGCAAGTTGCTTTACGGACCCACCTCTTGTCCAGCTCTTCAACCTGCTTCTCCATATCGTGCAACTCCCCTCCTCCACTCAGCACCCCCTTCCCAATCGCAGACTCCCCGGAGCCCGTCGACGAGACCTCGTCCACTAGCTTCGCCTCCATCGTCGGAATCGGAAGCGGCCCAGCGCCCCCCACCACCTCGTTGCTCTCCACCCCCTTCTTCTTCTTGTTCCTCCGCCGACGGCTCCTCCCACCCGTTACCGCGGACGCCTCAACCGTTACCGCTCGGAATGCGGGCTCCGCCTCCTGCCACTCGTCCTCCTCCTCCTCTGCGTCTTCCACGGTCGCCGGCCCCGGCCCTTCGTCCTCGTCGGCTTCGCCAACCCCTTCCTCGTCTTCGTCGTCGACGAGCGTCTCTGGCTCCTCGCCCAGAGGCCCTGCCTCCTCTTCGTCGGACATCTCTCCCTCATCTAGTTCTTCGTCTGCGTCCTCCTGGCTCGTCTCTTCCGACTCAGTGTCCTCGTCCTCGGGTTCCGGAACTGGGGGCGCGGGCGCCCGGGCGGCCTTGCGCTCGTTTTCCTTCTCCTTCTTGGTGCGCTGCTCGAGCTCCACTTTCGCACGCCGCTCGTCCTCCTCCTTCTGTTGGCGGTCCTTCTTGCGCTGCTTCGCCTGCAACGAATCGACAACCAATACGTCAAGCTCAGCTTTACTCAAATCGTCGAATCCGATTTTGATGGCCGGAAGACGCACTCAGAATGAGACGCTCAATGGAGTGACGACCGAGCTCCCTGATCAGCCTGATTGACATCGCAAGGACGCGACATTCGCCCCCCAGTAGCCTTTAACCACAAAAATGATGCAAGGTCAAGGGAAAACGAACGACAGCCCCAGAAGCGTGATAGGTCGTGGTGCAGACACCAAACTGCCTGCGATTTGCTCATACTCAACTTTGCGCTGCCCATGTAACTTATTTGCCTCGGGGCTGCCCAGAGGACTGAACGAGGCCTAACAGCTCTCCTCCCGCATATCGACCAGCGCAAACGACCAACGCTCCTTTAGCCTCAAAAGGTCAAAGGCACGACCGGCCCCCACCTTCTGCTTCTTGGACTGCTTCTTCTCCTTGTCCGCCGTCTCCCGCTCGACCCGCTCCGCCGCCTGCTTCTCCGCTTCCTCCTCCTCCCGGATCAGCTCCTCCTGGCGCTTGAGCGCGACCGCCTCGCGGTACGCCACCTCGACGCGGTTGCTGAACAGGTGCGAGAGCACGAACATTTCCACCGTGCGCCGCCCGAGCTCCTGCAGCCGTCGCTCGTCGCGCTCCACGCTGTCGCGGCCCAGCTCGTCGAGCCCGCTCTCCTGCAAAGGAAGGGGCAGAGGTGGTTTAACATTCTGCGAGGTGGACAAGGCTTTACGTCTCTGGGGGTAAGATGCGACGACTCTGAGCAATAAGACAATCGGAGCCGTCATGCTATTGCACCGCAGCTCGTCTGGCCCGCTCTCCTGCAGCATTGGGGGAAGAGTCAAAATCAAATGCCAACGATGGCTCATGAAGCTCCAAGCACAGGCTCCATGCTGAAAGGGAAGGAAAGGGACAACAAAAGTAGAACCGGAGGAAAAGAACAGTGTAGGCCAGTCCGGTCGACCGCAACTCACTTACACCTCGTCCTTTACCTCGTCGTTGGTTCTCACCTTGACGCGGTGCGGCGTGCCAGACCCCTTGTCGTCCTTGTAGGCCGGAATCGGCTCGTGCACGGCGCGGTCGAGCACTGTGAGCACATCGGCGGAGAGCACGAAGTACTCCTTGTCGAGCCACACGGTGGGCGTGCCCCACTCCTCCTGGCCAGCGCGCACCTGGGAAGCAACGGCCAAGAAGTCATGAAAAGCAATCAAATGGTAAGTCAATAACGGCAAGAATGCAACTGCAGAAGGACATAGCACGCAGGAAAGCAAGACACGAAGTTACCATTGACAGCCAGGAATTTATTTTCATGGTAGTAAAGATCGACAGAGCCAACTCAGAATTGCGCACCGTGTGAATGAGCGAAAGTGAACAGGCCGCTAGCAAAAGCGGATGGTAAAAGTGACGGAAGCAAAACAAACGAGTCGAATCAATCGTTCCTGGATGTTTGGCAACCGATCATCTCGAAAGTCAATTTGCGAGATGCTTTATAACCAGGTCAAAATGGACTCAATGCACGCACCTTGTAGCCACGCTCGAGCGACTTGGTGCCGCTGAAAAGCGCGTCCATGACGAGCGTGCTTGTGACCTCCTTCTCGTTGAAGAACTTCTTGACAACCGACTTGAGGATCGTGTCCGTCTTCTCGCACGAGAGGCCCTTCCGCTGCGACTCCTTGATCCCCGCCCAGAACGCGCGGAAGCTGCAAGCCAGGGCCTTTCCAGGTCAACGAAAGTTCCGGGTCGGAAAGCAGGTGCAGATGAAAATTTTCCAGAGTTCTTTGGATGAGGCAAATCACACGGTTACAAGAGTCGTCTCTGAAGAAGCGCTTGACCAACTCGGAACGGCATCAGCAACGGATGCGGAACCAAGAATCAGAAAAGAAAGCAAGAAGAACGCCACCTGGTAAACCAATCAATAAGCAAATAGCAATGAGCACACAGACAAAACAAGCATTGGTTGGAAACCCCTGCCCCCTTGAAAGAGGTGGCGTTGTTGGCATTCGTGAATAGTAGATGCATAGGAAAGGACACAATCATCACTTAGAGCAGTCAACCTTGGCCATACAGATGAGCTTTCTGTAAGATCCGAAGGGAGCCAGACAGGAGAGTATCACTAACTCGCTTGGACAGCCACTTGATTGAATGCTGCCAGGGGGTCACAGATCCGGATTCTGTTCATTTGCTCATCAAGATGACCCAAAGATTGTGCAAGCTTGCCTGACGAATTGGTTTGACCAGAACGAGACACCACATTCATGGTTCATTTCTCAGTCAAAACAGCTGAGACAGGTGGTGTGCCGATACTTGCCTGGCGAACCGGACTTCGTCCGAGACCAGCTTGCTCAGCTTCTCGCGCTTCTCCTCCACAAACCGTCTGCAAATCCCCTCCACGTTTGTCAGGTACACCCGCACCAGCTCCCGCCGGTACTGGCTGTCGAGGCACCGGAACGGGCGTCCCACCGCCTCCCTGAAGGCAACACGAAGCTAGATCTGAGAGAACCGCTTTTTGCATTGCAAAACGCTTCCGAAACACGCCACAACTGCGACAACTACCAACTGGCTGCCCTGGATGATGCTTTGCCCCTCTGATGGTTGCTCAACAGGAGAAAAACTGAAGGAAATTCCAAGAAGCATTTCTCCAAAACACTTCCTAGGAGGATGATTCTGGGATGCCAGAAGGTAAATTGATTGGTAAAATAAGCACTGCGGCAAGTTGGACTACCCTCTCCTCCTCCTGATGTGGTGATGCGACCACTGAAAGAGGTTGTCTCCGCTCAGCTGAACCTTGACCCAAAAACATTCTAAAATTGTCAAAAATCCACTCTGCCTTCACTGGGGTGTCGGATTTTTGCTGGTGCCATGTGACAGTTGAACTGCGTGATGGACTGCGTGCGACGCCAATTGTATGGGGGGGGCTAAAGAACGGGGTTTTCAAAGTGCAAGCAAAGCGTGCGTGTCGTCTCGACTGTGACCTGCGGCTGCGCTTCTTTGACAATGTACAGCGAGTCCCTCCTTAGCATCGGCTTACAAAGTGATCTTTTCCATGAGGTCGAGATTAGGGGAAGAGATTGCCCGCCCACCACAAATGCTAATTCTTGACAAACAGACATGAGTGTAATTCACTGAGATAGCTGCAGTTGACTTCAACAATACAACCAGTCGGCAACTTTATCTTCCTTCATTTTGGGTTTACACAAAGTTTCTCCTTTACAGGAGCGCTTACTTGATAACCTGCACCTGGGCCTTGATGACAAGCGTGTCCGCAACGGTGAAGCCATCCCCAATCTTGGACCTCTCCATGAACTTCTTCCATCCCCAGTCGTGCTCTTTCTTGCAGAACCGATGAAGCGTATCTGGACGCAGACATCACTCACTTAAGCTTGGGCGAGATGCGCAAAGCAAACCGACATGGATTCGAGCAAGGAACACAACAACAGGCCCGTTGTAATCCTGTCATCTGCCATGGAGGGCCATTTTAGAATGGAGCTTGTCAGGAGATGTCTGACATTGATCCCTAGGAGACTCACTCAACAAACCATATGTGCAACGCAGGATCAAGCACCAATCCTCCAGGACTTGCCGTTTCAGGGACGCTCAGGCACCGAGATATGCGGGCCTACTAAGCAGAAAACAACTGCAGTGTCTAAGAGATTCGTAGAAAGTCCTTGCAGCATGTTACTAAGGACGGCCGGCCTCAGAGTTCCTCAAAAGCAGAGTAACGGGGGGTCCGGCTGTACCTGAGTACTTCGACTTCTTTGGATCCTTATTCACCACCGCAATGGTAAACTGCGCAAAGTGGCTCCACCCTGCAGGAGGCATGGCATGCTGACGTCAGACCCTCGTGTCAAGGCCGCATAGTGCGGAGCAGAGTTGGCCAGGCATAGGCGTAATGCTAGGCAGGGAAAAGATTGCCGACTGGTCTTCCGCAATTTCGCAAGAATCGTAAAAGCTTGTCTTGCCAGCTGAGGACTGTACATCTGCGGTGTGCAACTTGCTTGACGTTGCTCGTTGAGAGCCCCGGAAGCTTAGTGCTCTCAACCTTAAAGCTAAAGATCGTCTCAATGACCAACCCAAAACCAAAGTGAGTTCAAGCCATAGTTTGTCTCCAGAGAACGACTTTGAGTACTATGGTTGCTGGAACATCCTCAAGAATAGCATATTCATCTGCTATTCGCAAACCCCTCTTCTTCTGCTATTCGCAAACCCCTCTTCTGAAGCTCCAACTTTTGAGAGAAGGGCGCGTTCTGGCCTGCGTATGACCACGTTTTCTAATGATCCGGCGGTCCATGGTTGCAGAAAAGGTTCCCTCCACAATCTGACATCGCCTAGCTAACCTCCCACGCGATCCTCTTCAGGACGGCAGCAAGAAGAAGTCATCGGACCACTACATCAGCAGATTTAGTACCGCAGTGACACAGACGCCAGCGGTTCACTCAACCCCTCAGCTGCTTCACAGCTTCTGCTTCTCTCAGTCGTCTTCTTGCAGATAGGCAGAAGGGCTTCCTTCCGTCTGCTCTATCTCTAGCTTACGAATGCTTGAAAAGCTCGTCCTGAGGAGATTGCCACAAGCCCCCTCCTGCTGGCCTAGGGTTACCTCTCATTCATATAACAGGGCAAGGTTGGGATAAATGTATCCTCATTGCAAAACTAGCGAGGCCCACCTGGCAACAGCTTGTCATAATCCGCAACACACAGAAACAGCGACAGGTGATTGCATACGTCGCAACCATGAGGGTACACCAGGATATACCTGCAAGCGAGGGGCCAACAATAAGCGGCTCGTGGCCAAACACTGGGGATGAGAGCACCAATTGCTCAAAGACTCGCATTTTACCGCTGTGTTTGCAACAATTCAGAAAGATTAAGGACTAGATACCTCCAGCACATTGCGAGATGTACAAACGGCAATGCAAATGCAGGCCCTCCCAGTAGGTCACAATTGACACACTTAAGAACGGCCCACCCTAGATTGCGGATGCAAGCCTTACCACTTGAAGTTCCCAACCTCAAAAACGTTGCTCCGCAGCTCCCTCTTGCTAATTTCGGTGAAGTTCTCAATCTTCCAGGTGAATTTGCCGTACAAGTCTGTCGGCTTCACCCCTGTGTGCAAGATAGGCCCATTTCATGCTGACATCGCTGCTCAATGTCTGGTGGTAAAATTGCAATTGCGAGCCTGATGTGTCACCTTTTAAGTACCAAAGTATGCTCGCCGGACAAGCTGTCTGCGTGGCAACACAAGAGAGAAGCATGCTACAGGCCAATCGTTACCATATCAGCACATTAGACCAAAGTGCGGAGGGACGAACAGGGTGCCTTACCTGGCTCTGTATCATCATCACTCCAGTAACTGGGAGAGGTGGAAGGCGTGGCTGGCTCCAACTGCCCTCTGGAACGCCAGTCGCCTGCGTCTGCCTGCTGCTTTGGTGCTGCCAAGAGTATACCGTCTGCCTGGGTGGCCTTCCTGCTAGTGGGGCCCTCTCCGTGAGAGCCCCGCGACCCCGACATCCTGCCTCAACCCCTCTCAAAGCACAAATGGGGACAGTGACATCCAATTTGCACTTGCCAACCCCGTCAACGCAAATCTGTCTGCAAGGGTGGGATCATTCAAGACCTCAGCAGAGGTCAGCTGAAGCTCCTGCCTCACTCCTTCTTTTAGGCTCCCTAGATAAGCACTGAACTCCTCCCTTCTGCTGCACTGGTCTCCCTTCTGCTGCACTGGGACCAGTTCCTTCGGAGGATAGAAAACTGCAGTCTGCACCTCAGGTCCTCAGGCTCCAGCGATGACACCCTTCTGATTTGAAATCTGAAATCCTTTACTTTCTCCTGCTTCAAGCTCGGACCTCCTTCGACGGCAACTTCGCACTAAGGTTGTTTTGCGACCCCCGTCAACCCCCGTCGTTCTTATGAACATGTCCCGGTTGAAAGGAACCATCTTATCGTCGAACACATCAAACTGAGACCACCTGTAAGCACACCCGACGATTCGAAAGAAGAGGACAACTGGGATTCGAAGCAAAGGAACTACCGGTGAACCAAAACCGCTCCCTATTTGCAACTCGTCGAAAGTTGGAGGTCAAATGTGGATTCCTGCAAAGTTCCTGTTCCCAGGGGGAAGAGCTCCGACTCCGAGTCCAGCTCTCATCATGATCCATGGTGGTGATGGTGGCCCGCATTGTAATCTTGCCTCTGCGAATTGACCCAGTGATTCTCGCTGCGAAAGTTGGATCGGCGAGGACTTGACGTTTTGTGCCTACATTGTAACATTGCAGAAGATTTTAGAGGGACCTGCCAGAAAGGGCGTTGCAAATTCCATCGCGGTGGTCTTCAGTTCTGGGCTGCTAAGCGTGCTCACTGCATTCAAGTCCCCCAATACAAGAGAATTGTCTCAAAGTTGCTCAAGAAGGACACTAGCCGCAATGAATGACGGCATGGTGGCACATTCTTGCCACCACTGTGGACATTTTGAGAATTTTGTGACACGGGATCTACAAGCAAACATCAGCTCCAGTGCTCACCAAAATCAATCTCTTTGCACCATTTTGACCTCCCAGAGAAAGAGGAAGCTCAAAGGCTCAAGGGAGCCTGATTCAGCATTGTATCATGTTAAGAATCATAACAATATAGCCAGCACTAGGACCGACCATGCACATCTTTGTTTGAGAACTAGGAGGCATGCCAGATGGGGTCCTCCTGAAAACCATTCAGAAAAGTTTTGCTGTGCAAGTTCCCTGAAACCTTCAGTTGATGATCACAACGCTCCTGTGAAACGTCAGCCAGCAACCAACAAGATCTGGAGCGTCGTGATTCCCACTTACAACCGTCTGCCCATCCTGCGCAAGTGCCTCGGAGCCCTTGAGTCACAGGTTAACGTTCTGGAGAATGGCATAACTGATTATGAGATTGTGGTTGTCGACGATGGCTCGACTGACGGAACTCTAGAGACTCTTGCCACCGAAGCTCATATCAGGTACCCTCATCTGAAACTTCTAGAACAAGCTCATGCTGGAGCCACGGCAGCCAGAAATCTGGGAGTCCGGGAAGCAAGAGGGGATACCATCGTCTTCATAGATTCCGATATGGTTGTTGCGCCAACCTTCCTGGCATCCCATGCGAGGGCCTTACAGCAGGCCTATGTAGCTGATGGAGATGACAGGGCCTTCACATACGGCAGAGTGGTGAACACCAGCAACTTTGAGGATCCATCATCGGAAACTTTCAAAGTGACGGTGAGCTCCGCCTCCAGGACTAGGTTCTTCGCTGACTGATGACGATCATGATCAATATGCTATCTGGTTTGGTTTGGACACCCAACTCTGTAGATGCAGGAGGGGATGATTGTGTGAAAATGTTTTCTTTTGGTCCCTAGCTCGAGTTCAAGTGTTTCTGCGTACAAATGCAAGTGCTCGCTTCTGGAATCTACTCCGTCTGAATTGAAGATTGATGGTTCTCCAGATACCGTCATCTTGGACTTCTTCACTTAGGACCCCCGCAAACCACCAGCCCTTTTTAGAATGTCTAGAACGAGATGGATATCCAGTCGTTTCCAATCCTAACTGTTCGTAAGAATCATTGACCGTTTCTTCAGCTTCGGGACGGTGGTTCAGACTGAACCTTCCATCGAGAAAGATGGGACCTTCTTGCCAATCACAATTGGCCCGAGTTGAGAGGTATTTGGTGCTCGAGGGTTGAGCTTTGGATAACCCCGTCACAAGCCAGTCGAGTTCCAAACAGAAGACCAAGTGGTTAGTTCTTTGACTCCGATTAGCCAGTGTAAGGCCTGATTTGTCCTCTCTCCAGGATTACTCTGCAGCCTTCTTTGCTACCGGAAACGTGGCAATCTCGAAGCGAAGGTTGCAGAAAGCGGCCGAGCTGCTGGGCGATCAATCAGGCCCCTTCGATGCGGACTTTAGCCAGTATGGATGGGAGGACCTGGAACTCGGAGGTGAGGGTCGACGGTGGTTATTTTTATTTCCTCGTGTCTTTTGAGGAATTTTGCCATGGCCGTTTTGACATGGCTTAGACGAAGCCAGATGATGTGTTCCCTTCTGTTGGGAGCTAGATTCCGAAGTCGAGTTCTAATTCCTCTGCGAGACGTAAGACTTCCAGCAAGTAGGTCTTGTTGGACAACTTGCAGGTCTAAGTAAAAGCTGTGTTGAAAGTCTTTGATTGTCGCGTCTTGTTGCGTTTTTTGGTGGACATATCATACGAGATCGACTGAGTCAAGTCTTAGAAGCACTCTTGGAAGAGTGATTCGTTGTGGATGGCCTGGGCACCTGGCTTGCTTCTCTGTACGATTCTCCCAGTTCTTTTCAACAACAGATACGTTTCCTGCGTTTCCTGATGCTTTACTGTGGTCCCTGGCTGGTCCTCCTTTGGAAACGGTGCTGTGAGAAATGTGTGAGGTGAAACCGAAGAGCAGTTCGCGTCTGAGTCTACGAAGGAAGTTCCCTTCTCGAATTAGCAGATCCTATCGTGCCCTTCCTGCTTTTCCTCCGAGATTTGTTTCAAGGTGTTCCAATTTTGGAAAGTGCCAAAGATTTCAACGTCGCCTTCTCACAAGTGCCAATTATTTTCGACGTCGAGCTGCACTCTTATTGAGCTTCGAAGGGCAGCCGGCTTGAACTAGCTTGCAAGGCTTCTCGTGGTGCCAAGTTCAAGCACGCTTACGTCCATCCGACGCCAGCTGCTTGTCATGGAGCCCTTTTCACAATTGATCTCATTATGAGGGCAGCGAGAGAAGTTTTTGATCATCGAACATCCTCGTCACTGACCAGCACGTCTTAGTAAGCCTCGTCTCATCAACAAAGCCTCAGTCTCGGTCACTGGTCCACTGAAGGTGTACAGCCGCTCATCTGCTTGAGACAACTCGATCACTCGTCCAGTCTTCCTTGAAAAAGACCGGTGTGCTAAGCTTTTCAGAGCTGAAAGCCTGTCGTCTGCGGTACGTCTGTGGATTTGTCCTTGAATTGACTCCGCAAGACTCACAACACCAAAAGTTTTACCATTTCCAAGCACCCAGTGTCGAGTCCATCCTAGGATGTTGCTCAGGCTCACAAAGCTGACGAGTCCTCTCTGGCCTTCTGTCAGGTCCGCAAAAGAGAAGACATCGGCTCATCAATGCCTTTCCCGAATCCAATCAGGAAGCACCCATAGATTAAAGAAAACATCCTAGGCGCACCACGGCCAGAACTCACCGTAACCTGCTCGAGGATTGAATGGAATCTGGTTTCTGCGCTTCTTGTCCTGCAGAGCGGCTGAGAAAGCAGGGCGCGAGGATCGTACAGTGCCCAGAGGCGGTCGGCTACCACTGGCACCCGCCCTTCAGCCTGGAGCAGCTGCCCAAGCTCCTCGATCAGGCAAGCACCGTCTCGGACTGCGCTCCGGGTGAACAACCGGTCGTCTAAGCTGCAAGAACCAAGACTCGGTCTATTTTCTTTGTGCGTTTTCCTCCAACGTCAGGCTGTTCACACCAGAGAGGTTGCCGGCGATGTGCCGGATGAAAGTGGGGATGACGCCAAGTGCCTCGTGGGGCCCTCACGGGCTTGAATGCTGGAATGAAACCGGTTTTGGATTGTCTGTTTAGTTTCCGGTTTGCAAGAAATGTGCAGCCCCTTTCGCCGTCTGGCCCGTCACTTCTGGTCGCCCAACCCTCTGGAGAGCCTGTGGGTGTATTGCGAAATACAGAAAACATTTTCTTCACTGCCGTCTGGTCTTCAATGCCCAGCAGAGACTCTTTTTTTCTCCAGAGTTTGCCTTTCAATGCTAAATATGAACCCCACGTCTAGTTGCTATGGGGTGGATCCCAAGCGCGCGTGCCTCCACCAGAGACAGTGGTGCACCTCTCTTGAGCACGCTCTCACGAAACCCTCCCAACGAATACGGCTGCAGTACTCCCCTGTGCTCCTAGCAGAACTTGCTTTTTCTCTCACATTTTTGTTCTGTAGAGAGAGGCGTACCCGGGACCACGGAGTCAGACTGGTGACAGAGATCAGGGACCGCAATCCTTTGAATCCAAATCGGCACATGCAAAAGCAAGGACTTGTACCTCTGGCACTGGCTGACGCCCTCCCCTTGTCTCTAACTTTCTCGCGTATGTATGTTGTCCAGGAGCGTCAGCGGGGCATCAACGGCGTGCGCTTTTACGAGAAGCACCCCAACCTGGGCGTGCGGTTGATGATACAGATGACGCCGTTCCACGAAGGGCTGTGGTTCCTGCTGACGTTCGGGGGCCTCTTGAATGAACGGACTCTCGAGCCGCTGCTAAGGTGGCTAGTGCGGTCTGGACAGCCGGGGATAGCGCTAGCAATGCTGTCTCCCGTCTTGAATTGGTACACCGTGCAAGCTGTCAAAAGTGAGCGGGAGCGGCGGAAAGGACTGATAATGCAGAGTTAACCTGATTGTATCACATGTCAGAGGCTGGTCTCCGAGCGACCGACGACCTGCCTTCCGTTTAGCGTTTTGGGAACAAGCTTTATTTTTGGTTCTGTCCAAGCAGGTTGTGGGAAGAGAATATTGACAAGTCAATATTTGGATGGTGTTGTGTCCGAATGCGTTGGTCAGGGCCCATGCCAGCAGCAAAGCTATGAAATGGAGTTACCCGCTAAGATCATTCTTTCCATTAGTTCCTTAGCAGGGTTCTAAAGGTCCTAGTAATCGAAAAGATTTGAATCACGATTTGCCGGGTCATGTCGGACCTCCGGCACTCGATCGCCGCATCGGATATAACCTACCAACGAGATTGGACGGACATGGCCACTTTGATTTTGCGGCCGCCGTGCAAGTATCATACGTGACAGGAGACTGCATCAGACGTCCTGCGTGACCTCGGGCCGCGGGCCCAATATCCAACACGACGCACATACAGATTGTATATATGACGTACGATCAACCACGACTGCATATGGAAGCTAGAGTCCGACACTCTATAATCTTAGCTAGCTTGGCATGCATGCAGCTTGCATGCCATCTCCCGTCTTGAAATCTACTCAGTAAGCGTCGGACATTGGTGCAAGGCTGGCAGCTAGCCGTAGATTGTATACTTCTGTACAAACATGGACAGTGCATATCGTTTTCAAGACGTTGATCCTCTGAAGCTGGCTTTCTGCGGGCTGAATGTATTGTGAAAAGGAGTCCGATTGCATGTGCGCATTGACTGTCGACCTTCATTTCCAGACGTACTGCAACTCTCCTACCCATCATGATGCAGACTATAGTAATCAGCGCATTACAACAATCAATCATTTACCAGGGACGTTAGATCAGAAAATAGGTAGTATATATCTCAAGTGGCACATCAGGACGTGTGATGCAAAGCACCGCGTATGCATGCGACAAAAACCTCAGACTCAATACTAGATGACGTCTCTAAGGTTCTCCGCTATTGTCTGGGCAAGCCTCTCTCCGAGCTCCTTCTGATGATCCTTCAGCGCTTTCTGTGCCCCTTTATCCTTTTTGCCATCCTTGACCGTCCGGGACCCTTGCGCTGCTTGCTTCCGTGCATCGCACTCGAGCTTGTGGTCCTTCCGCCAACTCAGCGTTTGGCACTCTGCAAATAACGGTAAGCAAGAAGAAACGGATTAGCTCTCCTATATCTTCATTTCTTCGGAAAAGTGCGACGGCAAAATCAAGTCTTCTTCTCTGTCCCGTGATTGTCCGAGCATCTCGTCAAAGCTGATAGTCTTTTTCATAAGACCAACTTTCATTCAATCACGAAAAGCTGGTTGATACCTGAATGAGTCTGCCACTTCGAGTCGCTTAAAAAAATGGCGCGCAGATTCTCGTGAATAAGGCTTGTGCCGGTGTCAAGCAGAACCTTTGCATTACTAACTTTCGAGGACTTCCCTTTTTGCTTTGCTCCAGTTGGACGAGCTGCAATTTTCCCCTTTTCGAAACACATTGGCTCACTGTAAAGTACTCAGTCGGAAGTCAAGCTCTGCTCCCGTTACCAATAAATATTGTCAATACTCTCAGACACAGCCTCTTACGCACCTTCGGAACAGTACTTCACGTCTTTGCACTTGCCGCACTTGAGCAGCTGAGCACCCTCAGGCTTCTTCCTGCACTGCAGCCGAAAGAATGCAGGTTTGGGAAAGCCTGACAAACGGATCAAACGACGTAAGTGGGAACGAGCATCCGATGGATCCGGTGCGCCAATCTCATTCGAGCTTGCCTTTACTTCCACTTCCGACTTCGAAGGTCTTCGTTGAGGTCTTCGTTGAATGTCTACGAAACTCAGATGCTGCTTTACCGGCAGGTTTGTCTTATCCTATCTTGACGTCTCGACTCTCCAAACGACTTCTCAAGCACTTGTCTAGTCGCAAAACGACACGCATTACTCAGCGATGTATCAATTCTTACATTCCAGCAGACGTCTGCGAAGCACCTGGACTCCTCCACCAGCTCGCATACGGATCCCCGCTCCTCTGCCTTGTACGGGTCGAGGATCTCCGATTCATCTCTGGTCTTGGGCATGGGGTACAAGCACTTTCTGACTGGCCCCTCCCAGATCTGCAGTCCCAAAGTACCCCCCCACAACGGGTAGGGCTCGAGCTCCACCAGGCCCTGATCGTTGCGAAGCTTCGTCACCTGACAAAATTCAGAGCAGGTCATCGAGGATAGGTTAACGTTAACCCCTCGTTCGCCCTCTTTTTCGTAGATTCGACCTCGATCATTGGGGTGTAGAGTTAAGTGGCTGGTTACCACCACTGATTTTGACTTGGAGCTTCTTCTGGCTTCCTGAAGATGCCTGACCATCTTCACCACGGCTGACTTCGAGAAGTGCGTTGTGGTGCCGAAGAATTTGGTGGCCGAAGAAGACAGAAAAACCGTCATACTGTAAAAGATTGTGCAGTCTCCAAGTATGTTGCAAGCAGTTGGCACTCAATTCGCATTGCCTTGAAAGCATGAAAGAACTTCCTAGGGAAGGGACTGGGAATGAAAAACCATAGAGGCCTTGGCATCAGGCAGAGCAAGAGTTTAGTCCATCTAACAAAGGAATCAGGTCATTCAATGGAAGAACAGAACGCGGTTTTGTCAGGTGAAGCCTACGTGCGGAATCATTCCGTCGCGAAGTCCACAAAATCTTAGGCTGAGAAGAGGCGCAGAAAGACTTACCCTGTAAGGCCGTATCGACACGTGTCCGGAGCCTGGATTGGCGAGTGTCTCCTTGTTTCTTTCCAGCGCCTGCTTCCCCAGAAACCACATGCTTTCGCAGCTCTCGCAGTTCCCTGCATATAGCTCATACTTGAACGGTATAACTACCGTGCTAGTGGGGCCACATCCGAAAGCTCCTGCTAGGCACTCGATGAAACGCGGTAGTATTAACCGAGAGAGCGTACGCTGATCCTTGAAACGCACCCAAACGATGACGGGACCCCATTCATAAGCCTTGACAGAGCAGATTTCGTAATTGCTTTGCTTCAACCTTTTGTTGACAGCTTCCGAGTCTTGTCGCTTTCCAAGGATAGCGAGATGGCTCTCAAGAGGCGAAGGAGTTGCCTCCTCCAGATTCTTCACAGCAAGCTCAAATGCGCGCGACTTCGAAAGGCCAAAGCGTTGCAGAAGCTTTTCCGTGATCCAAAGTTCATAATCGGCCATCTCCAGGACCAGAGCCTTGACGAGTTCTCCACTTCGACAGCTGAAGCTCTGTACAACCATCTGGTCCTCTTTCTCTGACGCTGAGCCTGCCCTGGGTGCACTTGAGCTTTCAGAATCCATGCTGCTGCTGCTGGGCCGTTCTTCTCCATTCTCGTGGAAGTTCCGGGTGAGGTGAAATTCCCATTTCTCACAAAGTTGTCCATGAAGCTTCTGGTTCTGACTGTGAGCATGAGCTTTTTTGGAACTTCAGACATTCTTGGCAATTTTTCACCAGCGGCCAATTCCCTCAGCAGAGATCTCACGGCTTCAGCGCAAAGCTTTTCTGACGCAGGCGCTCCATAATCGAGCGTCCTGTGTAGGTGTGGCAGATTCACTCGCACCGGTCGGGCCGCTTCTGGGAGGCTGACGGTAAGCACTTTCTTGGCACGGCCCCCGTCCTCCTCGCTTTCTATGATGGATCCATTGAGATCCCGCACAACGTCTGAGAAGATTGATTGAAAGGTATCAAAAGTTAAGCTCCCTTTAGCCACGGTTTCCTTGCCATCGCGTGCGGTGCCTCTTCTTGAATCCATCTGACTTGCGTTTTGTGTCCAAGAAGAAGCCTGGAGCTTTTCAACCGGACCTTCTCTCTTCATTCTTCTGCTACATGCTTAGATCTTCACTTCCGCATCTGCACCCTTGAGGGTTGTCATCTCAACACAGCGCTCCTCTGCTAATGCATGGATGTATGCTGCTTCTCGCTTGGACTGGAGGCGTACTCTCTTCCGGATCAAGCTCAAGCTGGCACTCTGAAAAGCTGCGCGCCTCATGCACCCATGAGCGCCCTTAATCGAAGGGCAGTCTCCGCTTCTGCTATACACGTTCTCCAGGGTCACGGCTGATCACACCGTATAACATCAACAATGGCGAAGCACTCCGGTCACAGGAAAGAATGGTCGCTTAACGTTGTCGGTAACATGTTGATCTCGGTACATACCGGCTGCATACTGCTGTCCGCTTCAGTAATCCGTGCATGAGAGTATCCCGTCATGAGAATATCGAGGTAGGGTCTGCAGCTTGGATTTACAAGCACTTATTTACTTGTGGTCAAGGTTACGAGTTGGAAAGGCGAACAATGCAACTGACGATTGACTTCGCGTTTCGGTGCACAAGGCAGGCGCCTGCGCAGGGGCTCTTTGGCGAGAAAGATGGTTTGATGCAGCAGTACGATTTCAGACCTTGACCTAGAAAAGGTGTACAGCAGGAGTGGAGCTAGACTGCGCTTTCAAGGGCGCTCATAGGTAGAAGAGTTGCGCACCTCGGCGAAGTTGCCTTCTCGGGATATCAGAAGCCTTCAGCCAGGCTAGGAGCAGCATGCATTGAAATGCTTTGGTAGAAGATAGTTTTATCGAGGTGACATCTTTGAAGGGTGCGGATGCGCAGGTGATTGAAAGATCTGAGCACGCAGGTGAAAACGAGAATACGAAACCCTGTTGAGCGCAGGCGTCCAGATTCGCTGAACACGAAGACGGCAGTAGGATGGATTCGCAAAAAGGCGTCGCCGTACCTAGTGAACATGAAAGCGTCGCTGGAGAGGGCATCACTTTTGAATCCTTCCAGGATATCTTCTCACAAGTTGTGCGGGAGCTCAATGGTTCCGTCATAGCAGGCCAGGAGGAAAGGCCCGGTTTCGAGGAAGTAGTCACTGTCAGCATTCCTGGTGGCTCAGGGCCGGTGCAAGTTAATCTGCCACTTATGCACAGGAATTCTGCGTATAGAGCTTTATGTTCAGAAACGGATTTGAAGGATTGCGCTGCAGCCTTGAGATCTCTGCTCAGTAACCTCGCTCGCGACAAGCCAAGCAGGTCCCATGGGCCAGATAGACTTATGCTTGCAGTCTTAACCAGAAGCAGAGCAGAGGCGATCTGCAGGAGCAAAGGGGAATTTTGCGTATACGACAGCTCTCAGGACGAAAATGCAGAAGAACGGCAGCAAAGCAGCATGGATCCCGAAAGTTCGATTGAGCCCGCGGATTCCGCCTCAAACTTAGAGGGGCGGCTTGTTGTGCAGAGCTTCAGCTGCCGAAGTGGAGACCTTTTGAAAGCTCTGGCATTGAAGATGTCCTATGGTAGACTTTGGATCACGGACATTAACCTGCACTTCTTTGGCCTCTCAGAGTCGCGTGCGTTCGAGATCGCTGTTAAGAACATAGAAGAAGCAACTCCTTCGCCTCTTGAAAGCCACTTCGCTCTTTTGGACGACCAAAGAGACCTGGAGGCTCTTGACGAAAGGTTGAAGCAGGACTCTTATAAAGTCTGCTGCTTCCGATCCTCCAGAGGGACTCCTGTCTTCGTTTGGGTGCATTTCGACGATCATCTCACACCTGCTCGGCTGATCCTACCGCGATTCATCGAGTGCCTGGCAGGAGCTTTGGGGTGTGCCGCCACTAGTACAGTCGTCATACCTTTCTCGAAGACTGAGGTATACGCGGGTAATTGTGAGAGCTGGGAGAGCATGTGGTTTCTGGGGGACGAGATGGCGCTGGAGGAGAACGTGGATCAGATTGAGAACCCAGCAGGCTCTGGTCACTTGACAACACGGCCGTATCGGGTAAATACATCAACGCCTCTTTCCGCACTCTTTACTGCCAATCAAATAGTGACGAATTCAAGTGAGGTGTTCTTCTCACATATCTAAGATATGAATTCGCGCTGAGAGATAATCAATACTCAAGTTAAGCAGTACGTCTTTTGCCTGACTTTTGCATGCAACGATGACTCGAAGGTCTTTCGGACTTTCTGCAAATGACCGTCCGCTTCATTTCAGCATTGGCTGTTTTTAGGGGAATCTGAGGCCCTTCCGTTCAACCCTCAAGTATTAGTCGGCTTTAGATGATTTTGGCAAGAGAACGTTGCACATCCATGTAGTCGAATGATACGAATAATCCTAGCCTTCTTACCTGCACCCATCTCTGGGTCGTTTAGCACAACCTGACCTCATTCTCTCTATAAAAAACTCGAAACGACGAGACTCGAAGTCTTACGAGCAGCAAAGTAACATTCAAATAAGGTAATCTAAAGCAGATGGCAGGTTTGAGTCCAAATCTCGAAGCAAACTGACTGAGTGAAACTCGTATCACCCCAACGAGCAAGGAAGGTGTGACGTCTCTTTCAGGTGACAAAGCTTTGCAACGACCAAGGCCTGGTGGAGCTCGAGCCTTACCCGGTGTGGGGGGGTACTCTGGGACTGCAGATCTGGGAGGGGCCGGTCAGAAAGACCTTGTACCCCGTTCCAAAGACCGAAGATGAGTCGGAGAATCTCGACCCGTACACGGCAGAGGACCGGGGATTCGTCTGCGAACTGGTGGAGGAGTCCGCATGCTTTGCTGACGTCTGCTGGAACGTAAGAGTATATAAGCTCCTTGTGTACTCAGCTCAGGCGTACTGTGTGGTTTAAAGATATAAACGGTTCTTCATGAAAGTCTTTTGTGCGCTTCCGGAGAATAGGAAGGGTTTTCTATGAAAGCTTTTTGCAAAATCAAGTGCCAAAGCACGTAGGCATTAGTAAAGCTGAGTCTCACCTTCGGCTTCATCTATGATAAAGGCCGTATCCTTTCTCTTGCGGTGGACTTTGTAAAGCTGTCTAACGTCTTCGCGGCGTCTTCCAAAAATCTTTAAAGGATGAATGACAGACAAAAGGTCTGTAGATCATCAAGAAAGCGCGTCGGATGCGGACCTGAAAGCTCTAGCTCGCCTTCTGTGTTTCAACTAGATCGGTCTGGGCGCCGATGCTCGTCCTTACCTACGTCGCTTGATCGTTTGTTTCGATGTCCAGCGAAGCTGTTTTTATTTTCGGTCGCAGTGCAAGACGAAGCCTGAGGGAGCTAAACTGTTAAAGTGCGGCAAGTGCGGGGACGTGAGGTACTGCTCAAAAGGTGGGACGTGTGAAACGCTGGTTCTAGCCTTGCTTAACAATCTGAGGTGGTAAAGAATGCAGAGCATGACTTTACAAAGATTTCGTAACGTTGTACCCGTATGTTCAGCTTATGTTTGTTGCATTCGATCCAACGTCCTCATATCATTGGAGCTAGGTCCAATACCGCTTTTCATGGCAGGACACAATACGACGAATTCAGCCAACCTGCCTCGACTTGTTGAGGCAAGACAGTAAGGATTGCTGGATTGTTCCGACTTTGCTTCTCTTTTTGCAGAGTGCCAGAAGCTGAGCTGGCAGAAAGACCACAAGCTCGAGTGCGACGCACGGAAGCAAGCAGCACAAGGGTCCCGGGCGGTCAAGGCTGGCAAAAAGAAGAAAGCGGCACAGAAGGGGCAGACGGATCATGAGAAAGAGGTCAGAGAGAGGCTTGCGCAAACAATAGCAGAGAATCTTAAGGACGTCGACTCTTGATTGAGTGTGGGGTTTTGGCGCACAATATATGCGCGGTCTTCATTTACACCTTGTGATGTGTCACTTGAAATACAGTTAGTTTCAGAGAACAGTTTCTGACGGAAATCTGGTTGTTAACATGGACTCGCCTACAGACCTGAAGCATTTTTCAATCGGAGTACATTTGTTCGCGCTCTTAATTTGCAAATTTGAGAACACAGGATCCGTTTTTCAAAGCCATGCATCGGTCTAAGACTCTTTCTTCTTTATTAAGTTTGTAACGCGATCTAGTTTTGCAACAGAAACAATGGTATAGATGGATCATGGAGCAACGTACCTGAGCCTATATGGGTGGAATGACATCATTGAAAGTTTGAAGCTACCTCGAGCGCATGTGCCACCACAAGTGCAAATCTCTGTGAGCGCAGCTGGGCGGGCAAGCATGCAACCGGTTTCTTCTAGCTGCATATCAGACATGCATGCCGTTACAGTGACACCAATGATGTCGGCCGCCGAGCGCCGTACAGTCGGCCGCTTTTACACGGTCGGGGCTGGCTGATGCTATGGTTGTATACTACTGTGACCCGGGTCCAACGTCACAATCGGTCGACGTTGAATCGATTGAAAGCTCATTCGATTACTGATTGACACCAAGGCCTGCCGCACTATTTTCATGGCCCCGAACAGTTCTCTAATCACCCCAAGAACTCATGCAGATATCTCTGATTTACATGCAACGACCGGATGCCAAGGTGGTGAGGAGCCGTAAGGCAGCCGCCGCAGAAGTCTGTACAGCATTTTCCGCAGCGGTATAGGAACTTGGCTCGGTGGACCAAAGCCTGGCGGGACAGCGGGGTGGCCGAGGGGGAGCGCTCCAGGAAGGGCGCTGTGCGGTCCAACTCAGGAACGCCGTCCCAAGAGCTCCAGACAGTCTCCGCACAATTCTGCGGCAACATTCGCAACACTCTGTCCACTTCCAATCAAGGGCCCTGGGCACCACTCTGGATGAAGATGAAGAGGAATATACTCATTCTGCACAGCTTTTGACGCAGATCAACACCGCTGCGCTTTGCTGCTACCGGCTTGGCGAACTTGGTCTCAGGTTATGTGGCCAGAAAGGCTCGGATGTGTCCCTCCTAGGTCCACATAAGTATCAACACCACAACTAGAGATCGAGTTTAGATTTTACATGTTCACGCCACCAATCGCAATCGAATCCACGCTCAATCCAGAAGCGCACTATACAAGGTCGGCTTCTGCGAAGTCTTTTGAGGTCCTCCTCTGCAAGAGCGGGCTCGAAGCATCTGGCTCGACGGGCATCTGTCTGTCGGGCTCTCGTGACTCCCGCTTGTTGCCGCATTGCAACTGAAACAAAGAATGAATGCAAGTGACGTCAGCGGTCGGACAAGAGGAGGTGGCAAATGAGGCCACGCAGTGGACCAAGAATGCGGTGAATGATAGCGTAACAGCTAGATACTTTGCAGCAGATATGGCGTCGACTAATTCACAGCTTGGGCCGCTTTGTGCTAAGCAAGTCGAAAAGGAACCGTTAGGCGTAGTTTCCATGTTGAATGGGGGAAATATGGTTCTCGAGGTTCTCTGACATCTTTGTTTTGAGTTCAAACCGTCCAAAGCGAACACCGAAAAACAGGCCTCTATCAACCTGGGAGGCAAAAGGTGACATGACGCCATGCGCCCTAAGACGCGCTCGCAAACCCGCTAGGTCAAGTCGAAGCATAAAACTCGAGTCATGTCCTTCTCGATGGCAAGCCCGCCAGGTTTGGCAGACCGCCCGCTTCCACAGCCGATTCAGAAACCCAAGGCGGAACGTTGAAGCATCATATAGAAACTCAAGACTGGGTTTCTCTTCCTGGTGTTCTACCAGTAGCTTTTGGAGGCATTCACGTATGGCATATGCCTGCTCCTACTTGTGCCATCGACGTCACGACGGAAGACTCCCTAATCGTGCACGTGTCATGGATTGGTGCTAAGAGCCGCTTCTTCAAGAAGGCAGGGATGTCTGAATCAATGCAAAGGACACGAGTAGCAGACATGTGCGGATCACAAGCACCGGCATCAGAGTCCGAGGCGGACGGATGCTCACGTCATCCGGGACGAGGAAAAGGAAGGCGATGGGCAGCAGGCGCGACGCGTTGCGGATGAGCACCGCGAGCCAGAGGCGCGAGAAGTCGCTCTTGGACACGCCCAGCGCGCACAGCAGCCACGCGCCCAGCCACGACCCCGAATGAGCTGCAGATTGAGCAGAGGTTTTTTCTTCTTTTTTGGGGGGGCGGGGAAGAATGACGTGTCAAACAAGCGACCCGGTTGAGGGCTACGCCGAGGGGCCTATTCATCGCCTTGGAAAAGTTAAGATTATGAGCACTGCTAATCATGGGCGAACTATTGGCTAATCCGTGTGGAGTAGGGTTCGTGAGTCACTCCGGCTCCTCAACTTCGGTTTAGGAGTTGCTCTGAAAGAAGTCATAGTGCTCGATTTATGCAAACTCAATCGGACTTCGAACGGCTCTGGTCCAATGAGCAGCTCAAAAGCGGAACCTCGTTTACATCTCTGGCACAGCCGACCTCTTCATCGGATGACGTTAGAGGCAAACCTTTAAGACAACGTACTCCACCTTGTGCATGAGTACTGATATTCAACCCTAGCTTTCCACCCCTCAAATCTTCACGCCGCACGTAGTTGTAACACGCTCGCTCACCTCCAAAGTTGGACACGGACATGAGCAGCGCGAAGAGCGTCCCCTCGATGCCAGGTGGCACGATCCTAGCGGCCAACACGTAGACCGGCATCATGCACAGCCGTTTGAACGCGCGCGAGACGGCCTCGTCCCCGAGCACGAAAATGTGGTCGGGGATGCCTAACCGGAGGCTAACCCGGGTTACAAGCAGCAGGTCCAACATGCCTGGGGGAAGCAACCGGAAGGGGTCGAGGGATATTTCAATATTACAATTACTCCGGACGAAGCCACCAATGGACTAGATCACGTGCTTCGTGTTGCCAAAACCTGGCTTCTTTTGCAGATGCTGTCACGAGGATGGGGTGCTGCCAGCATCTTTATCGAAGTTTCCATCCTGCTGTCACATATGCCTGTAGATTATTCTTTCGCTGGGTTTCCATAAATTTCTCCCGCTCATTCCTTTCCTCATCATCGTTCCGCTTGGCTCTCTACGTCTCCTTTCTACTTGCATCCTCTGATCCTGCTCTTCCCACTTCCTTTTCTCTTACTTAGTTTCTGGTCAGTTGGAACTTCCATCAATCACTCACACAGATCCCGTCGCTATTGCCTTCTCTTGGTCAACTGGGCCCGCTAAAGATTCACCTACAAGAACGGAAAGGTATTTACGTCCGCTCACCAATAAACGCGAGCAGCAGCTGCGCATACAGAAACACGCGGCGGTAAGTGAAGTCTTTCAGGTACCGGTTGTAGACCGCCACGCCGACGAGCATGCCGGCGTATCCGACGGTGTAAATCGCCCCCACGAACGTCTCAGAGAAGCCGGGGCCGACTCCTGAGGTGTCTGTATACCTGGTCACAGCAAACGGGGTTTAGGAGGTTTCTTGAAGTTCGCTTTGTGTTCTGTGTCTGGATCTTTGGTAGACATAGCTTCTTGCTTGTGGGCTAGAAACATTGCAAGGTTACTCCTTGAACTCCATTAGGCGACACTCGGAAAACTCGATGGAATGGGGAGTGACGACAAACGGATCAAGGTCCAAAGTCTGCGGCAGAAAGTCAAAAGGCACGGCTGGCTTTTCAAAACGACAACGCTTAACAGCTGGGAGTCTGCAGAAAATCTGGTCAGGCGAGACGGCAACATCTGCAAAGAGCAACACTATTGCTTGTGGCCCGCTCACCAGAAGAACTTTGCGTCGCTGACGTCCGGGCAGATGGCCTGCATAGCGTATATGTACAGAGCGGGCTTCCAGAGCACGGGGTCCGCTGCGGTGGTCGCCAGGAGCCTTATGGACCGCCATAAGCGCGCGACGCCCGTTTCTACAAAAGGGAATCATAAGATCAGAGCTTTGAAAGAAACGACATGGCGATGTTACCTGCGGGTTGGTACACTTCGATGATCGCTTCAGAGGATGAGGAACGCGTGTCCTGTCCTACCAGTATTGTGCAAACCTGTGCCTGGGAAATCACTATGCTATCTGGAGTCAACTGCGATTCTCGTACAGCTTACTGCGTCGGACTGAATGCGCGGCCGGTTGCGATGTCGATCCAACGTAGCCCAGACTGGGGTGCGAATCGTGTAGTCAAAACGGCGTTGCCTTGGCGAGCAAACGATTGTCGGTGGCACCGGTTTCTCCAGCACCTTCGCTGGACAGTCTGCTCTCAAGACTTCAGATCTACTTCCGAAGCAATCTCGAAGAAATAGGGGGTGGATAAACAGTCTCACCTTGGTCCCCCTGCCGGGGCTCCACTCGTTGGTCGGGGAACCACCAAGAGGCGACGAAGAGCGTCAGGGAAGACAGCGACAGCAGGCCGAACGTCCCCCGGGGCTTCAGATACTCGACGGCACTCCCGCTGATGCTGTAGCCGAGCAAACCCCCCAGCGCGAAACTGGACCAACCCAGGCCCTGCAGGGGGGGTGAGCATGTAGTAGGTTACAGAGTGTAGCGAGCCCCCCAAACAACACTGGACCAACCCAGCTGGCCCCCTGCAGGGGCGGCCAATGTGTTCTGGTCATGACATTCACGGGCTCGCGAGAACGACCTCAGAGCAAGAGTGATCCGTGCAGATTCGGTATGCGAGTTCCTTATGCTCTGATTCGTCTTAAGGCTTACGCAATTTGAAACTAGGTATCGCAACGATTTCTACGTTCTCGAGAGCTTAAGAAGATGACCTCTTTCAGCAGGATTGAGTGCTGTAGGTCAGAGACCATTCAAAATTTTCCTTCTTGAGAGTGGATTTTGGATCATTTCAGAAAGTGTTCGAAAAGCTGAACAACAACCAAGCACTGCTGTCGTACGATTTTTTTGTGGGGTTTGGGATGGTGATGCAACAACCACGATTGAAACGAAGATTGCCAACATGCCAAAGGACCGAAACCTGGGAAAGAGAGGAGTAAAGCTGGGAACAAGCAGAAGAGCTACGCACCTGCAAGTCCCCTGCAAGCTTTGGGTGCGAGCGACTTCGAACAGCAATCGACGCGTCAATGACAACGTCCGGAAGCGCAATCGCCACGTTCGTCCCGCACAGAACGAGCAGCGCGCTGAGCACGCCCAGGGACTTGTCCAGGGCCACCCACCACCAGCAGACAGTGCCCAGGAGGCCTGCAAATGTACCCGGGGGATGGTCAACTGGGACTTTTAGGGGGGTGTTCTTCTTCGGATCCCGGGGGGTGGTCAACCGGGGACTCGTAGGGAGAGTTTTGCTAGCAGACTTGGCACATACTTGCCCGGAGGATGGTCAACCGGACGAATCTGGGGGAATCCGTGTACTCAGAAACGATGCCCAGGGCGCCTGCAGAAGTGCCCAGGGGATGATCTACCGGGGAGATTGGGTGGTCGGATTCGTTGAACGCAACGTCTGATTGAGCGGCAGATCTCCGAACCATTTCACAGCTGGAAGCGTAACATCTTACCAAGCGCGAAGCCTGGAGAGTTGCCTGACAGTTGGTGATTTGAGGGCCTGTCTATTTGGTAGGTACTCAAAAAAGGGCGCGCTGTAGGATGTTCTCATTGAACACTTTTTGGAGGCAACTCAAAGACATGTGATTGTTATACTAGGAGACCGAAGCTATCTTGAGACTGGACTGATTTGCCTTAAGATTCTTCTTCCAAGGGAGTGAAGGAACTCACCGGCCAAGGCTATGTATGGCTGCCGATGATACCCCGCTATCGCAAAGCTGTCGGTTGTGAGCCCGTAGATCGGTTTCACATCCCAGGGTAGCTCTGCAATGGCAGCGTAGGCTTGCAGCTCAGAGGGTTGGACCTGTACGAGAAACCTTTCACAGCTCAAGAACTCGAATGGCCAAGAAGGGTCAACCGGTATACCTTTCTTCCTTCCTCTGCAAACCTTGTATAGCTACTTCTCTTCTTTTGCTCCTTGAAGGGGCCTAGGAAGCAACATGATATGGATTCAAAGGAAGACGGGTTGATGAAAGGGATTCTAGGACAATGCTATATACAGAAACTATACCCTGCATTTGTATATTGATGGCATGGTCAACCTTCCTTATGAACCTTCCTCCCAACTTTTGGTTTTGAAACAAACAATCAAACCCCCAACAAAGGAACGACCTGCCGCCGTGCCTCCCACACCACATTGCAACAAATTGCGCTGTTTATGAACATGATACCTTTGTCTGACCCTGAATGGAAAGAAGAGGAGACCTGAAAAGTTTAGAAGGAGCGTACAAATGTTGTATAAACTGATTCAGTCCCGAATTTTTCTCCCAACGGAGACTTCCTGAGATTGTCAAAAAGCTGCCCCCTTCCACCCACCTTCATGTCATCCTTCCAGTAGTACTTCTGCGTGACGCTCCCCATCATTGCAACAATCCCCTACTATGACTAGGAAGGAACACTGAAATCCCTTCTCAATCCAAGATTCCTGACACATTCAATTGAGTCAGTTGCTTCGACCCACCTTCATGTCGTCCTTCCAATAGTACTTCTGCGTAACGCTCCCCAGCGTCTCGGCAATCCCCTGCGAAATGCCGTATGCCACCGCCACTGAGGCCACGAACGGCGTCCCAAACGCCTCCCTTAACCTGTTGAGCCACAGCAATAAGTCCAGGAAGGGCTGGGTGACATCACTGATGACCCGGGCCGTCCAGCTAGCATTCTTAGACTTCGCTGACTTGTCTGCGTCGTCCCCAAGAGAAGGGAAGGCGTCATGATCGATTGCTGTAATAAGATTCGAGCTGGATTCCCCCGGGGGAGGATCCATTGTTTGCCAGGGCCTTCGCTCCAGTTTCTTGGTTGTCAATCTAGCAGAGTGGTTGCGGGGGTGAACAAGTTGACGTATGGCAACCCTTGAGAGGCCCTTTTAATTGCTTGCGGGGCTCCAAGCTATCAGGATCAGCGACGGCGGTGTGAAACTTAAGTGTACACCATTTGGTCTCAGTAAGGCATGCAATGGATTCCCGCAGCTCTGGCAGCTCCTAATGGCTCTAGCTGCACATCCTCGTAGGATTCTCCCACGGCAAACACTGTGCTTTGTCTCCCCGTTTTGCATGCTCAAACAATGCTACAGCAGGTAACCTGGGAGCACGCAATGGAGAAGCATCTTCCCCTGAAGGCTGAATGCAGACAATGCGCAAAATGGTAATTACCTGTACGTGCACAACCAAAGGACCAGCCTGAGCATGGGATGGCTGCCAGCTAGTGGACTGCTTTTTCATTGGGCCGAGATTCGACCCGATGAATCGGACGGCTGAGCTTCGACGGAATTGAAGCTCGACCCGAATCATAAGCAAAGAAGCTATGTTCGTCTTGATGTCTTTCAGAAGAGCTTTTTGGCGCAAGGTCGCCCGCTAGGAATTTTGCGTCTTTTTCTTCTGGGCGGCATTGCCGATTTGAGAGGATGCCAGCATCCAGAAAGTCCCCATGGCCTCTACTTCAGGACATGCAGCTGTTGTGAACCTCCAAGAAGCGCTCGGGTACAATGGCTTACCTCTGGCACGTTTCAACGCGCCTGCCAGTCTGCTCCAGAACCCAATCTATCGGAAGTCGCTTCTGAGCTTGGTGGGCAGAAGTCGAAGGGCCCTGGATGCGGGAGAACGGGAGTCAGTCTGGGAGCCGAGGCAAGAGTTTCTCCAGCTCATGCACGAGGGAAATGGCGACAGTCTGCTGAACACTCTTAGCTGGGCAGCAGAGGTTTGCTATCGGACCAATGGAATTCGTGCGGAAGACGTCGAGCTCCTGCTGAAGCTGGTCTCATTCCTGGAAGAGTACCTCAGAGTGCCGCAGCTCTTGTCCACGAATGTGCGCATTGACATCAACCTGAGGCAGAAGGCCAGACAGAATCAGGAACGCTGGGGCGAGTACAACAGAAGTCTGCGTCAGCATGAGAAGGACTGCTTCTCCCAGAGAGTCAAGCCGCTGCTAGAAGTCAAGGGCTATGCTCCGGAAGATGTTACAGATCTGCTGGAGGTAGAGTGGGAAGAGTTCTGCTCTAAGAGAGAGAAGGCACGTGACAAGTACTTCGAGCAGACCGGAAACCCGAGCTTTCCGCCGTGGCCCAAGGGGAGGCTCACCTTTGAAGAAAGGGCCTTCGGGCACACGCTGGCGCTCGGCCTTGAGGCAGGTCACGGCAACAACTGGCAGCTTCTCTCGCAGCTGACGTCCCCAACCTTCCCAAACGAGCTCTCCAAAGAAGAATACGTGCGTCTGGCTGTGATCGAACTCCTGGAAGACGCAAACCAGCGCGAGCAGACGGAGGTCTACATTCCGCGGTTAGGGGAACTGACGCGAGCGGAAAAGGCAGAGCTGCGTCTTCTGCGCACGAGAATTCTAGACGGCCGCGAGCTCCGCTGGGCGGAATTCCGGAGCAGGAAGGGGGAACAGTACCCAAACCAGCTCACCTCGGTGCAGCTCCTGGCTTTGGCAGCGGGGCTGCCGTCGACGGTGAGAGAAGCGGAAGACGGAACGGCCGCGGAAGGAGCGGAAACGGAGTACTTCTCGGCGCAGGAAGATTGAGATGTCGCGCGCGGAGGCCGCAGAGTTAGATAGGGGAAGTCCGGCTTTAGAGGAGTTAGTTAGAAAAGCTGGTCCTGAGAGCTTGATCGGATTACGGCTGTATGCAGCAGTCACTCTGGAAGGAACGAGACAATATGAAGTTCTGGCTTTCGACGAAGACTCGGGGCAGAGGTTCAGAGTCAGAGATGCGGACACGGGAAGGCAGCCGTCTGCAGCGGGTTATCCCCTTCGAGAGTTCGACATCGGCCTGGCCTTGAGGGAGCCGGATGATCCCCTTCTTCTGCTTTTGGAAAGGCACCAAATTCCGATCGCCCGATTCATTGCTCCAAGGAGACCGGAACCTGCTGGGGGAGAACGAACCAGGGGAGAAGGGCCAGCCGGGAGAGCGGAGCAGGACTTCGGACCGCCTAGCCTGGGGAGAGACCGATTCGAGCGCAGAACGGGCACGCAGTCAGCAAGACATTCTGTTCCGAGCGTCGGGATGAAGAACGGCCGGCACGGTCCCACGTCCGATAAGGAGAAGAGCGCGCGCGCGACCGCGAGCGCGCGCTCAGCCCGACGCGCGAGGAGCGGTATCCACGTAGAAGCCGAAGGGGCCGCAGCCCCAGTTCATCCTCGTCAGAAGCCCCAGCCGGGACGAAACACCGGCGCCGGAAGCACGGAAAAGGATTCCGCAAACGGAAGTACCGACGGAGCAGCAGCAGCAGCAGTTCGTGGGACGCGTCCGGTTCGGACGGCTGGGAGAATACAATGCCCCGCCGGGCACTGGTGGCCCACGTGGAAGAACTGATGAGGGACCGGAGGGCGAACGGTATGCAAGCGGAGCTCCGGCGCTTCCAGGCAGCGATTCCGCCGGAAAAACGGGGGCTTACAGCCCAATTTGAGATGGTGGCCACGATCCAGGCCGCGCCGGAGTCGTGGGGGCAGCGGCTAGCCCTCGCGATTTCTCTGGGAACCGTCTTAAAAGCCATTAACATGAGCCTGTCAGCCTGGCTTTCCTCGCGGACGCGCTGTTCGCTTTCGCGCGGCAGAGGTGTGAAGATGCGGGACGGGAGCTGTCACAGAAGAAGCAAGCCAAGATTGATGCGGACATCTGGGAGTTTTATCGCAAGCAACGTACGGAAGGGGAGAAGATGATGGCCAAGAGCGGAACCAGCTTCGGGAGCGGAAACCGGAACAGGTGGGATGCTGAGCGGGTCGGCTCGATATTGAGACTCACTGTGAGGCAGAAATTGGTATTCTGGTGCTTCGAACCAAAAGCGACCGGGAAACGTATCGCGTGTTCAGATCCAACTGGGGACGGCACGTTAACGGCGCCTTTAGGCCCTGTCTTGCCCTGCCGAAGCCTCCCGAATGCGGATCGCATTTGCAGTTCTGGAAACCAAGTTTTGCAGCACTTCGGAAACGAGCAGAATGTTGCTTGTCCGCGCCGGAATGTCGGCTGATCTCCGAATGGGATGATGTGATAATCCTCCCTTATCCCCTCGAACAGGGGCCCCGGAAACCGGAATGATCGGAACGACCGGAACGAGCGGGGCCGGAATCAGGGACGGCGCGGCCGCGACCGAGACCGCTCGAGGTCGCGCACCCCATCCGCGGAGCGCAGGCGCCGGAACGATAGGTGAAGCGCCGGAGCGCTTGATCGGAACGGAGCGAATGCGCTCCGTTGAAATAGCTAATTCCAAAAGAGGACAGTCGAGCTGTAGACATGGACCTTCGAGTGTGAAAGGTTGTACATTTGTTCGGCGACGTCGTCGCTCGTACGTTAGCTTGAAATAACCTGAGTTCAGGTGTGTATAAAGTGTAGAGTTTTGGAAAACTCGGGAACGGGATTTCTTTCCCTTTGGAGGGCCCGCCTGTTGGCTCTGGTCGTGTACGAAGACGCCCTAAAGGCGGATTGTAAATAATGAAAGCGCTGGCCGCGAGTCGCTAATAATCAAATGCAAAATGTTGCCCAATGCTGTTTTCCTTCTCCCTCGAAATGAGATCAGGAATGCATTGATTGCGTCCCTTTGACGCCGTGGCCGGTTACACATCCTTCTGCGCCATTAAAGCGCTATGAGATAAAGCGACTAATTAGTCTGAGCCAAATTACATTATACATAGCTAATATTAACGTTGCTTACAGTGACGTACTAGCATGGACCCATTCGGCGCCTCCATCCATGCTGTGTTCATCCGCCGCCGCCGCCTGTCAAAGCAATAGCCCCGACCGCACGACGTCACGGCTCCGAGTCGAAGGGACCACTCTTCCTCAACCGGCAGACGCTGACGTCACCCCGGCCCCACGCGCAAACGAGGGGCCCTCGCTGACGTCATATCCGCCTAGTGCGCCGCGTGATCCGCGTGCCCCAGCAGAACCGGATGCCGTCGGAACGGAAACCACGTGGTTCCGTCTCGGGAGATCTGCCTGCAAGTGGCGCCCCAGCAGCACCGCCCGATCCCTCGGACTCTTCAGACGAATCCGAGGGATCCCCGGAAGGGGATTTCCCGGATGACGTCATCCCCCCCGAGGAGTTTCCCTTTGATGCGGAAACCGATCCTCCAGACGATCCGGGAACCCTCGATCTCCGCAGCTGGGAACGGGAAGCTCAAGGGGTTCAGGCCAAGGAGCCCCAGATTGATCCTCCACTCAGTCAGCGGCAAAACGTCAAGGACGTTCTCGACCGCTTGGACGACCAACCGGGAGAGCCCGGGGCAGAGCACGAGACGGCGCTTCTGGCAGAACTGGACAACTTGCAGTCGGCTATCCCTGATGCAGCTGACTTTGTGGCAGGGAATTTCTCCACGCATCTGCCGGCCTGGGAAGAAATGTTAAAAACAAACCGGACCAGGTCCGCTCGGCGCGTCCTCAGCTGGCTACGCCATGGGTTCAAACCGACCTTCGCCCGACCGGAACTAGCGAGACCGGAAAAGCGGAAAGTGGTGCTAAGCATGCTCCAGAAGGAGTATCCAAACCGAACCCCCGGGGAGTTCCTCACCGGAACCCAGCCGCACAAAGTGGCGTTTCGGAACCACCAGTCCTTTTACAAGCACTGT